GGAAATGACGCTCTGGGGGAATGAAATTTTTCTCCAATTTTAACTAACTCTTCTCTAATTGCAGTCAGGTGCGGACAATCGAGCAGCGGGCTGGGAGATCGATAGATGTCGCGATAACAGGAAACCCCCGGCGGTTCAATTGGCGCGATTATCGCGCATTGTCGGCCACGCCGATCCTCGTTTAGGGAGAGACAACGATTCCAGGCGCACCCTGTCGACATCCGCCTCTGCCTTCGCCCTTAATCAAGCCCAGGACCCGTGATGGCTTCCTGCCTAGTAACACCCTCGGATGCTCCTCTGTCACTTCGCATATCCGCGCGACGTCGCTCGCGAATCGCTCGCTCGGCTGGATTCGGCCTCTTTGATTTCTGCGATTACATTTGGCACGACAGGTGTCCCGGTTTTGCGTACTCTACAAAGGGGACTGCTAACCCTGGATGTTCCCTGGAACATTGAAGGGTGACTCGCGATGTCGACCTTTCAAGATACCTTTAACTATGCTGCAGTAAAATAATTTTTTTCGATATATCTTTAAACATATATATATATTTTTTAACGTAGCACGATATGTATGCATGTATACTTATTTTAGGAGATAGGAAAATATCTGTAATGCGAGCACGAGGTGTAGAAATTTTTTCTTGTTATTTTTTAGGGGACGCGTGGATTTCTGAGGGACCACGTGGGAAAAGGAAATCTCTTGACGCCAGCCGTGTCAAAAGTGCTGCCAAAGGGCAGCGCAAAGCTGAGGGAAATTCTCACCCTTCAGTGGACGTGGGGGCCTCGTAAAGGCAATACAGGTCATCCTACAATCCGCGTATATTGCGGCCCTATGACGACGAAGGGGTGCATTCAGAACGGTGATACGGCAGGGGGTCGAGCGAAACCACACGCGACCTGAGATAATTGCGCTGTCAGAGCCAGTGTCTCGGGTAACAGGAATATCGCGATCCTCCTCGACGATAGGATCGCAGATCGCAGCTTGCCACGTCAGCGAGGTCGAAATCCGATTAGGCTTATCAATTATTTCGGGCTACGTCATGAAGGTGGAAATTCGAGGGAAGGTCGCCGGGGATCCATTACCTCCTTCCTCGAGGTAGGAGATAATTTCTCCAAAAATCTAATTATCTAACTCTTATTTAGTCTAAGTTGGCGGCCTCTTGTTAAGGTTTGGATAGACCTCTCCCCCGGATGTGAACTTACGCACCGGGCGCATTCGTCGAGTCTGTCGAGCAATAGATGAGGCCCCGAAAGAGAGGAGCCGAGCTGGAGTGACTCGAGTGCGATTGTTATTGCAACGTCACTGGCCAATTATCCCGTAGTTGGCAAGTATACGAGTGAAAACGGGGCTTCCAGTGGATCGCGGGGGTGGAAGCCGCGTTAAATCAACACCGCTTGGAGAATACGAAAGCGCATCCGACCCCTCACCCCTGCCAGCTGTGGAAAGAGGGTAGCTGAGAGATGCCAAAGTGATTAACTAATTACCGAAGACAAGACATGCCCGAAGGGGGTGATGCGTGCCACGATGATCCCCCTCTATGTTACACCTTTCTATTGACTAGTCTATTACCATAGGATGAAGTATAAGTTTTACAAAATCTCCATATCCGCGGAGACGCGTTTATCAACCGTGTTATCGTTTTCCTCATATCTGCGTATATGAACGATTATATTTAAATTCATGAATTAATGGATTCGTTAATTGAGCTTCTGCCTTAGAGACGGGCGACACTTGACGTTAGATTCTGCACCCGAGGATGTGCCGCGATATCGAGTGTTAATTCACGAGGTGGGGGAAAAGACTCGATAACACGGACAGCCCCGTTCGCGCGATGAAAGCACCATTAACTCTAGATTACAGCGCTACGGTATTTACTCAGCCCAGGGGCGTAACGTAATACGAATCCACCCCTGACTATCATCCTCGTATCACTTCACTCGTTGGCCTCGTACAACGTGCCTATCGCATCATCCCTATTTGCGCGTCTAGCCCCCAAAGTGTATCACTTCGCTTCATTTAATGTCGTGGGACGAGCGCCTCCCTCCGCCATTGTCCTCCGAAAAGGGGATCATGCTAAAATAATACCAGCTAATGGCTCCCGGTTTTAAGCCGGCAAACACGCGAATTGCACCGCAAACTGGAGAAAAATCGATCGATATATCCGGCCCCATAAGTCGGAATTTTTTCTCCCCATGAATCTCGCTTACCTATAAATTTTAAGGCAAAGTGAAAGCAGCCTCAGAATCGACTCTCTCAGATGGCACTTTCGCACCCCCTTAAACAGGAAACTCGAGTCTGGCAAGACGAAGGAATTTGCGGGGCATATGTATTTTAATTAGATTTTTCTGTAGATTATAATTAAATTTGTAAAATATTAATGAAAGGGCTGCTTTCAGGGGAAACCTTGTTGAGTGGAGACGAACGAGACGGAGCTGGAGAATCGTCGGAGAGGGCGGATCCTTCCTCGCGGTAATTTCTACTTTTTACGGCAGAGAGAATTCCGCATTTGCCCGAGCTTTCCATTAACCCCCGTGTTAACCGAGCCGCGAGGTAATAATAAGGGCTGTGGGAGAGAGGGAGACGGCGCTAAGGGCGCGCCAGGCGGAGAGAGAGAGACGAGGCGAGAGCGCGACCGGGAGGACCAGAAGCTGATGCACGGGCGACGCGCTCTCGCAGTTACGCGAGTTCGCGAGCTTGTCGGTGTGTTAATTAATTATTTCCGCGACAAATACCGGCCCCGGCGAGCCTTACGGGGATCCGCGGGAACACGGAGACAACACCAAGAAACAGGATGAAGGAGGGCGAGTCGAACTTCCGGAATTGGAATGAACTTCCTCCTACCCTAGACCGCGTGATCTAACTGCCGTAGTTCCCTCTCCCAGGAACTCTCCCATCCACCGGGAGGCTTTTTCGAAACCCTCAAAGAGTGCCCCCCGAATTACCCGGAGACGTCGAAGCCGCGAAAAACCACCCTTCGAGGGAAACGTTCATTTCCAGTTTCTAGAAAAAAAAAAAAAAAAATTACTTCAACACGGAAATCTCGTTCTAACCAAGATACGAACTATCATTTATAATAAATTAATATTCCAGGTCCAGGTTACGTGCGTCTGAGGAGAACAGCTGATCACCTGGCGACCCTCCACCTGGTGATCGGCTCGACCTTCCCTGGAACCGGAGGAGCGAATATCTCGAGGACTGCCTTATACGTGCAAGATGCGTTTCTCGTCATTTCTCGGGTTACTAACTCGACCGACCTTGCCAAGGGCCGTTCCTAAAACAATATTGGAGGGTGCAACGAGAGGTCGGTCGGGCATGCATTAGATATTTATTTTGGCCGCGCCGGACCGCTGTCCTCGTCTCGTTGCCGGCCTTAGAAGAGCGCACACCCGACATGGGGTTTCTGCACTAAGTACCTACTCCGAGGCTCGAATTGTTGACCTAGTTAATAGCTTCATGTTTGATTTGACTACTGTCATTTACAGGGTAAGCCGGAGGTAACGCGAGCCTCTTAGCCTGCTCCGAAATTGGTGTAATTACAGATGTATGGTGGTTCCAGGTACACGTGAGGTAATTATGGGATCGCGTTCCATACGTATACCAGCATATAACATTCATAAGCGGGATTTTAGATGGAAGAAAGGAGACATCAAGACCCTGAACATCGTGAATTGAATCCGGTGGCGATAAGATATCCATTTTATCCGAGGGTTAAAAGAAAGCCGTCCATGCTCGCTCGACTCGTCGGCGCGAGCTCAGACAAAGGAACTTTCTACCTCGTTATTTTCCGATTCGCTAATTCGTTTGCAAATTCGCATTTTCCGCGTTGCCGAGCCCGCGGCAGAAACGCCCCGACGGGCCGCGACGTGGGGGGCTAATTATCGAATAACAAGGAAAACTCCACCCGGAGGCGAAATAAATGAAGCATTCGCGCAAGGCGATTCTATTTAAGATGCAGAACCTGCCAACAAAGACTTTCGACTTTTGCGAACTGTTATTAACTGCGTTTACTGTATTCCGCCGGGTCAATTTGCCGACGAGGAAGGTCCTTCATTTTTTACTATTAAGATTGGTGAGCGGGATTTATTCCTTTAATTGACCGTCTTAATTGCGTTTTTTTTTTTTTTCAGCTAACCGCGCATCCAGGGCAAACTGCACATTTATCGTCGACGAGGGTGCAGACCCCAGGGGGTAATGCGGACAGGATCTATTGCTTGGAAGGCAACGAAAGCCACTGATCCTTGTATACAACGAGGCGATCTTTCGGCCGAACGATCAGCGAAAATGAGACTCTTCACAAGCCGACTTACACGAATGACTGGGGATGTAACGACCTCACGACTCGGTGGTGGAGTTTTCCGAACCCTGTTCGATAAATCGATCGAGCGTTCACCGTATCTGCGGAGACACCAAGTGGAAAAGTACGGGACAATAAGTCCACGGCTTGGTGCAGAAATAACAAACACTAAGTCGTGAACACCTTTTAAGACGCCTTTGATCCCGACGTAGAGCCGCCGTTCGATCGTTAAATTAAATCCTTGAGTTTGTCTCCTAGGTACAGGCATTGCCAATTATTTTTGCGCTCATCCCGGCCTCGTGAAATTAATTATTAATATTTTTCAGGGCGGATCTTTTTCACCTCTAATGTGTTCTTAAGGATTTCATCCGGCAGCGGACTTGAAAGCGGCCTGGGAGGCGCCGAAATGCCATCTGCGCAAACCTCCGAAAGGACCATGGATCCTTGTGCAGAGTGTACAAACATTCCGGAGTCCTTTCATACAATGTCGAAGAACATCACACGCTTCTTGACACTGAATGGAGCGTATCGAGTACTTTGTAAGACCTCGGCGTCCGAACTCCTCCAGCTCGACCCTGAAATCGTTCGACCTGCGATCCGGAATGATCGGTTGCATTTGTAAAGATTTTCAACAGATCCGCGTAACAAGGGTACATGAAATTAAATGGTACATGCCTAATTCATGCCAAAACGTCCGCGTCCTTTCGGAGATATTGTTTAGAGGATCGAATCATTTCGCGAAGGAAAATACGCCCGACAATCTCCGCGATATTTTTACCCCAGACTTTTCCCGGATGCGATCGCTATTCAGATATTCAAGTCTGTCAGGCCTTAATAAAAATATTTACTAAGATAACAATTCACTCGGTGGGATAGCCGCCCAGGGAAGAGTTATTCTTATATCCAGATTCAGGGAGTATCTCCGTGATGGGATGGCGATTTCCATAAACGCAATAATTCGGAACAACCCTGGGGCCATCGGAAGATTTACAGCCAAATAGGATTTCGACTGGGAAAAACTTGGATCCTCACCTTCACGTCGCCATTCAGAGATTTTCAACGGAATGCCCATTTTTCCTGCAACCATTGTTTATTCCGTTTGATAGAACATATGTGATATATTGCAACAATAAGAATCATTTTCCTTACAAAAATAAAAAACGTAATCGATATACGAGGGTACGTCATAGTATGTTTGGTAAATCAACGACTCAGACATTGGGGCCGGTTACAACACAATCTGAATCTTCACAAGCTTCCATTTTCTTGAGACGACGTCTGAATTTATTTCTACGACCTCGCTTCATTTTATATCCAACGTTTGTCAATTGATACTCATCGTCATTCAGGTCATAAGACTCTACGTACCTCTGGAATGTATTAAACAATTAAATCATTTGTCTGCCAGATTCCTGAATGTTACATAGTTGCACCAACCTGGTCGTCCTCAAACGTGCAAAATATGTTATTGTAATCTCTTGATATTCTTCGAATACAGCTGTATGTATTATTCGTTGTATCTTGGCACTTGCACGCCATGGCTTTGCTACAGTGCTGAAAATTTGTGATTAAAACGATAACACTGACATAAAAATTTAATGAGTCTACAATTTCACTCCCAGTTGTCTGAGAGTAGTTGGGAATTTTTTGTGAGATAATTTACCGAGAGATTTATATCTGAATCTGTAGGACATCCGGACGATGGAGCCTTTTCGGATTTTTCTCCCCTGTACTCAATCAATACGTTCCTGTCATTGGGCAATGGTTTCAATAACGAAATACCATCTGATGGTTTTTCTATGCCCGCTATATCTAATATTGTGGCATACAAATCTACGCTGCTGACAGCAGCATTAATCTTAGAAGGAACGATGCCAGGTCCTTGTATTAACAATGGTACTTTAATATCTGTTTCATACGGCTGTCGCTTGTCTTGCGGCATACTAAACTGGCCTGGTTAAAGTGAAATCGAAGTGCAATATTTGTTTGAAGAAACCAACTACTTATTTTGATAAATGAATTTTCTGTGAAATTTGCAAGATACAGTACCAATGTGGTATCCATTATCCGAGGTGAAGATAATGTATGTATCGTCTAAAAGACTCTTCGATTGAAGGGCATTGTAGACACTCTGGACAAGTTCATCCACCGCTAAAAGTGTTTCCCAGCGATGTCTGTATAAGTCATCTAATTTTTGTATCACAGAGCTAGGAAGTGGTGCTGGACCCATTCTAACTAGCCAGTGTTTATCCTAAAAAAGAATATTATTAAATTTAAGAAATACCGTATCTCCATATAAAAAAAATATATTACTCCAGCACGAATATTAAAATTTGGTGTTCTTTTTGCGGTTTTTCCTTTATATTTGTCGGTATGCCTCGAAGCTGGTGTAAAAGGATCGTGTGGGGCCGGTGGAGCCAAAACCATCAAGAATGGTTGATCCTTTACTTGAATCTTGATGAACTTTACAGCCAAATCTTTCTGAAGACATTTAAACATTCATTTTACGTACATATCTGTATCCAGCTTTTGTAAAAATTAATATTTAAATGCAACTTACTATGACATCCGTAAGGTAATCTTGTGGCTTATTACCGTACTTTCTTTCTGTACCGTTCAGAGACAGCGAATATGAGTAATATTTTGAATTTCCAACTAAGCCTGCCCACCAGTCCCAGCCAACTGGTACTCGTCGAGTACCTCCTGCGGTTGATTTTCCGTACTAGATGCATAATTAATTGATTTGTTGTCATGACTTGAATTTTTTAGAAGATAACTTATATTATAGAAGAAAAATTACTTCGTTCAAGTATTTTCCAGCATAAAAAGTTTTATACATCATTGAACTTTTTAAATGGGCTGCAAACGTTTGTTTCTCCCAGGTACTTTGCCATTGGGCACTATAACATCCGCCACTTAACGAATTATTAAAAACTTCGTGATTGTGTTGATACCGTCCAGTTAAGATTGACGCTCTGTTTGGACAACAAATTGGCGATGCTGTAAACTGTTAAAAATTATTCCCACATGATGATGTTCGATAGCACATTTTAAAAGTGCAAACGATCAACTTACACAATTCCTATATTCAGCACCTTTACCCATAATGTACTGGGACGTCCATTTCAATGGAGTCTGAAAAGATTGGTTTTACAGAAAGCAATAAAGAAAACACATGCATTACAATCGACATCTATTGACTTACCATGCCATCCAGTACAGAATCTAAATCGTCAACTACTATTAACACAATATTTTTGCTTCCGATTACTATTCCACACATCAGCAATATAAAGATGAGTCGGAGATACATTTTCCTGGCAGTAGCTTTTAGCAACCCTGGAAACTGAACAAGAATTATACACAGGTCAAAAGTCACAGATATAAACTCACCTATCATCCAGTGAGTGTGCACAAAGCACTCATTCGGGGAATTCCCCGTTAAAGTATTTTTCTGTCAGGAATTTGTTTCTTTTTTAATCATAAAACTTGCGCAGAGCAGACGAGGACCATCTAGAGTTCAAATAAGGAACTGCATGGAACTGCGAAATGCGCTCTACTACCAGCAGTTGGTGATAATATTTCTAGTGAAATTGTCAATATTGTGATTTTTTGTAGAATTGAATTGAAACAACTTAATATTGTTTATTTCCTACTAGCTTTACATTGCATCGCATGGAAAGAATTATAGATTTCCATTTTTTTTAACTTGGCTCCATAAGAAAAGCATTTCGAATATGGCGCTAAACGCTAGCTGTGCAATCTGTCAGAAGTTGCTGCGTGTCGCTCACGTGTAGTGACCAAGCCGTGAACATATTTTTCTATTTATTCCGGATATTTATTAATTTATTGATAGAAATGATTGTATTAACAAACGAGGGAAATCCAAACACTTTGAAGCTGATCATAGCAGCTAAGCTGGGTCAACAATCAGTTACAGTAAAAACGGTAACTCCGAAAGGTAGGTAACCTAACCTCTTTGAATATTGAAATCGAACATAAAAAAAGTGTTTATGGTATTTAAATTCACCTGATTGTTAGACCAATCTATTTAAAATTTCTGTGAAGGTTTTATTTGTCCGAAAGTTAAATATTTTAACAAACTACTGTATACATTAATGCGATATAAATAATTAACGTGTTCCTTGATTCATTATTTTATGTCACTTATAAAAATGCGTGGACGTTATGTACAGATACTGCTTTGGGACGCTTACCAATACTAAACTTGCCATCAGGGGTAAGCTTATTTAGTACTAGCGCTGCGGTACAACTTTTAGTACCATCGACTGAAGAATTTAGTATTCTTGCTAATAGATGGTTAGAGTGGGACATCTCTCAATTACAGGTAATATTATTTTGCCTATAACTATTTTTAGTTACTGTATAAATTATATAAAGAAACTGATACATATGACCTGATAATATGGGACGTATTGCAAGGAACGCTTACTTGAAACATAGAAGAAATTGTATACAAATGAAAAAAGTATTGACAGGTCCAATATCTATAACGGTTTCTCACGGTTAATCATATAAACGTACAACAACTTTGGCCTCATAACCCAGTGAGTGACAAAGCATTTGAGTGTGTCATTTATTTTGTACATTTCAGCCTGCCATAGTAGCATACGGTGGGACTGGAATTTTAGATACTTCACATAAGCCTCGAATATCGTCCCTTTTAAAGGAACTGAATATAGTTTTGAAGGCTACAAAGTACTTAATTAAGGTAAAATTAAAACTTAAAATTCCAGATGCACTATGAATTCATATTCTTTATTATTTATAACTAAGATTGTTTTATACAGAATAAGGACGATCTAACCGTAGCTGATATATCCGTTTGGGTTACATTGTGGTCCACTTTATCAGTGCTTGAAGTTAGTAAGGAACTATTTAAAGAATTCCCTTATGTGGATAAATGGATAAAGAGTATTGAAAATTTACCCATTGTTCGTGTAAGATAATTTATTTAATGCTTTTGATTATATTCACTAGTTTTATAAAAATCAGTATATTTTATGTGTATACATTTTTATTCCTGCAGGAGTCAATACAGGAATATAAATTAGAAAGAGGGTTGAAAGCCATGGCTGCGATTCAAGCTGTGTCCTGGTTCCCCGTCAATTCGTACTCAGTTGTGAGTTCTCCCAAATCGAGTCCTAATAATGTAAGCTATACTTTTTTAATTTTGTACAATTAATATTTTCTGAATAAGTAACTGTAATTTACGTTAGTAGAAATTGAGATATTTTCTACTTGAAAAAATCATTTTAGATTGATGCAAATAAAGAGAAGGAAATTGATTCGGTCAGTCAAGATGAAATTAGTACAGTGAAAAATAATTGGATGACGCAATCTTACCCAGAAGTTAACAAAGCATCATACCCTGTGTAAGCTAACACTTCAAACATGATTTACTTTCTTACATTGGCATAAGGCTAATATTTTCCTCTATTACACAGATTACCTAAGAAAGGTGAAAAGAATGTTTTAATAACTTCTGCACTTCCTTATGTCAACAATGTTCCACATTTGGGAAATATCATTGGTTGTGTGCTTTCAGCAGACATTTTTGCAAGGTAGATTTTACATTGTGACACAAATTCCGCCTCCTGAGAATTTCTACGATTTTTTACATTTTCAGATACTGCCGACAAAGAAACTATAATACCTTATATATCAGGTAATTAGTAATTTACGAAAACGTTCTGTAGCATTGAGCTTCAAAATTATGGAAGCCAACATATATACATTTTTTTTACAGTGGCACTGATGAATATGGCACAGCAACCGAAGCCAAAGCTCTTGAAGAGAAAATGACGCCACAAGAAATCTGCGATAAATACTTTAGTATACATAATGATGTGTATAGATGGTTTGGAATAGGGTTCGACTATTTCGGTCGAACAACAACCACGGAACAAACTGAGTAAGAATGTCTTGTTTTAGCATTTCTTTCTACATAAGAGTACCATGTGTATCGATATTCATATTTTTTTAGAATCGTTCAGTCGTTCTTCCTCAGAATAAAGTCACAAGGCTACATCATCACAGAGTCTGTTGATCAGCTTCTGTGTGAATCTTGTCAGCGATTCTTAGCAGATAGATTTGTCGAAGGAACTTGTCCAGGATGCAAGTACGAAGATGCTCGTGGTGACCAATGTGATGGGTGTGGTCACCTCGTCAATGCAACCGAACTGATAAATCCTCGATGTAAAGTTTGCAACAGCAGTCCAATCGTTAAACCCTCTACACAGTTTTTCCTCGATCTGCCAAGAGTAAGTCTTCGTTACGTTATTACTGTACCACTGTCAATCGGAGAGGTTATGAAACTCAATATCTATTTCCAGTTAGAGGAAAAATTGAAGGAGTGGGCAGTTACCGTTGAAAACGAGTGGTCCACTGTTGCAAGGGTGGTCGCTAAACCTTGGTTACGCGATGGACTGAAACCTCGTTGTATAACTAGAGACTTGAAATGGGGCATTCCGGTCCCTGTAGAAGGTTTTAGAGACAAAGTCTTCTACGTCTGGTTCGATGCTCCTCTTGGTTACATTAGTATTACAAAGAGGTACACTAAAGAGTACGAGCAATGGTGGAAGCCTCAAGCCTCGGAAGTTAGTCTTTATCAATTCATGGCTAAGGATAACGTTCCATTTCACGCCATCATGTTTCCTGCCGCATTACTTGCAGCTGATCAAGGGCACACCCTAGTTAGACACATCATGGCCATTGGTATAAATTCATAAAACAAATTACATCGAACCCATCATTGAAGACACGCATGTATGCGTATACGATATTCCATTTAATTGCAGAATATCTCAATTACGAGGATACGAAGTTCTCGAAATCAAGAGGGATCGGTGTGTTCGGAACGGATGCCCGAGACACCGGAATTCCGGCTGACGTTTGGAGATTCTACCTCGCTTATATCCGGCCCGAGAATCAGGATTCGAATTTCAATTGGGTGGACTTGGCCACGAAGAATAACAGCGAGTTGTTAAATAACCTGGGCAACTTCGTTAACAGGTCGGTTGACTAATCACGCAACATTTTGCGGCGCGTCGGAGAACAGTTTCCTGGAATAATCGTTTCGACAGAGCCCTGACATTTGTGGAAAAGAACTTCGCTTCCAAAGTTCCACCCATGGAGCTCCAAGAAGACGATCTAACTGTATTGGCCTTGGCTCAGCGCGAGCTGACTCTTTACATTATCGCCCTGGAACAGGCTAAGCTAAGGGACGGTATCAAACACATGTTGGCCATTTCGAAGCACGGAAATCAGTACATGCAATCGCAAGAACCCTGGGCTAAGATTAAGGGTACAGACGATGATAAGTAAGCAGGCTGCTGTGCAACTTTCGCGTGGACCGAAGGCTTTAACCTTTGCGTACTCTCTTCTTTTCTCCAGGAAAAAAGCGGGAACGGTAGTTGGTATTTGTTGTAACTTGGCATGTCTACTTTCTGCACTGTTGGCTCCTTACATGCCGAATACGGCGCGTAAGCTGAGGTCTCAACTGGGATTGTCATCCGAGGATTATGGTTTCATCCCTGAGTCGATCGCGACCATGCTGCCTGCTGGCCATCTAATCGGCAAACCTTCTCCGCTCTTCTCGAAAATCGAGGATCAGAAGATCGAGGAACTTAGACGAAAGTACGGGGAAAATCAGGAGGCCTCGACGCAGGGGAACTCCCACGAGAATGGAGCTGTATACAAAGATGTAGCATCGTTGGAGGCTGCCATTACCAAGCAGGTTGGCAACGACTTTTTATTTTCGGAAATAAAAAATCTAGAGACTTTTCATCACCCCAGGACTGGTTTGTAGGGTCAACTAGTCAGGGAATTGAAGTCCAAACAGGAGAAGAGCGTCTGGCAACCGCAGGTAGACGTTCTGTTGCAGCTGAAGAAACAATTGGCCGAGATGAAGAGCAATGCCGGCAAAACCGAGGCTGGTCGGTCAGTAAATGACAAAGGCCAGTCTGCCGTTACGCCCCAACAGAATGGGACCGCTGCAGACATTGCTGCGTTAGAGGAAACTGTCGCAAAACAAGTACTGCCCAGATTTTAACAGAAAAAAATAGAAGTCAATATAATTAGTGTCGACTTAACGTAACACCTGCTTATTCTTTTAATAGGGAAATCTCGTTCGCGAACTGAAGGCCAAAGGGGATAAGAGCGTCTGGCAACCGCAGGTGGACATTCTGTTGAAATTCAAGAAACAGTTGGCTGATCTCACGGGCACGGTGTCATCAATTTCCGCCGACAAGAAGTCAAAGAAGAAGAAATAATTCATACACGCTACCCATGGTTGAATCGAAAACCAGTTAGATATTCGCGATCGGAGGAATAACGCATGCCCTGTAAATTATAATCCGATCGTTTAATTTGCACCTTTACTGTCGCTACATCATCGAAGCCGTTTACGGCACTGTAAGATCTATCGTCGGTAAACGGGCCTCGGAGGTGCGAGGCTTCGGGAGGGTCATATTCTGCTGTTTTTTTTTTTTTTTTTTTTCCTACGTCTAATAGGATCCATAAAAGTATCATCGCATAAATTAAGGTAACTTGTAAATGACTAGCAAAAAGGTTACATCACGAGCACATAGACAGAGCCGCACATTCGAGGACGGCGTCCCGGCGACTTCACTCGGCAAATGGCGGCGCGTCGTTAGTCGTCAAGTAGAATTTACCCCGCAGTCTGAAAGATAAAATGGAAAACGAGCACGTGATCATGTTTACTGGCGTCCAAATAATATTACCATTAATTATATACTTTCTGTTTATACGGTTAAATATAATTTATTGTGTATGTATTACGAGGTGGATGCGTATTCTCCCATTAGAACCACCGGGTTGTACTCGCAGTATCCGTCTTTGTACTTCTCCCAACTCTCGCAGGGTTTCGCCTTGAACCCGGACGTACTCCCTATGCTTTCCGTCATGAACTGGTGTGCTCGGGTATGGCTACAGTATGCTGAAACAAAGCCCACCGTAGCCGTGCGATAACGATCATTCATTTTTCTAACAACTATTTTTACGTGAATATTACTTGTCGTAGGTAAAAAGGAGCACCCTGGCTGCGGGAACTTGCCGCTGTTAGGATAGAAGTCGGCGTGTCCAAGAGGAGCCAGGAAACCGAATGCTGGCCCACTCGTGTGAATCACGTCCACAAACTGGGCGTCTGTTGGGTCCAACCGGAACTCCGGGTCCACGATGCCGGATATCGTCTCGAAAAGAGGACTCGCAGGATCCAGACCTAACGTTCCGTTATGAGTAAGTATCCCTAAATGGAATTCTTAAGGGGATGAAAAAGCAACGTCTAACGAATCGATCATTCATGAAACTTCAAACTGAGCGTGCTGAAACGTTTCGAACTTTGCATCGTGAATGTGCATGCTACAAGGAAGGTCCTGACACTCGTGAAGTTTCATTTTTTTTATGACAAATTAAAAAAAAAAATTGAAATTTCATCAGTGTCAGGACCTTCCATATACCCTCCAAATTGATATTGTAGAGTTTGAATCGATTCGGAACACCCAGTTTGGGGAAAAGTTTCGTGAACGAGAGGTCTTCGACGCCACTTTTTTTTCTTTCTAAGACGCTTTACCCGTTATTCTGCCAATACGACCGTCTAGATAAGCGCCTGCAAATCCAGCCACGTGGCACCCCAAACTGTGTCCACATATGTGCACATCCTTGTACTCGAGATTGGATTCCCGATTGAGGAAGTCCAGGAACTCGCCCAGAAATTCACCGACTCGCCTGGTATTATTCGCTGCCACGGGGTAGACGTCGGTTGCCAAAATTCCCCATCCGACCACTATGACGTTCACGTCCTCGTGAAGCAAGTACGCTGCAAGGTTTAATATTTATTCAGGTATTAACGTACGTTTCCAGTTTCCCAGCCGACATTTAAAGGCTCTCGAGGGAATCGAATTTCACTGCGATAAGTATTGTAACGAATGCATAATCGTCCAAGCTATGAATACCAATATCGCTTCGATTTGGGTGGGCTGAGCAAAAAAAGCTTCCGGCGGCGCTAATCATTGCGACACAAGCTTCTTGCCAGTGAGTGACAGCGCAAAAGTGTAAAATACTCAATTACATCGCTATCGCGTTGACCATTGATCCCCTCATCTCCGATTCCGTGTTTACCCAAACCCGCTTCGCTGGAGCTTTTTATATTCGCCATTTTTCACAGACATTTGCTTTAACAGGTACTTCACCGGGACTGGACCTCGTCTCAAGAACTCACCGTCTACCAGATCCTTGATCCAGACCTCGTTTCCGGTATCACTGAACCCGTGGACAAGGACTTTCGTGGGTCTGCTCTCGTTGAAGTGAGACGCGTACAACACCTCGGTATTGTTCAGGAACAGTTGCTCCTCGCCGAATGGATTTTCTCTGGAGAAAATTGCCGGGCATGATGGCGATTAAATCTCAATGAAGCTTATTTTATTGCTGATTTTCTGTTTTTTTTTTTTTTTTAGGCGATTCTCTTCAAGGGTGAGGATATTTTCCCGAAGGGGATCATCGGGGGATTCGCCAGGGCGAAGACGAAGAATAAACGAAGAGACAGCGTCGCTACGGGGCCGAATTATCGAAGTAATGCTTCCTACCCGAAATCTGGAAATTGCACGACTTTTGGGGCGATTTTTAGCTGATGGATCTCTCCTCTTTTTTATCACTCAATGAGGGAAGAGGCGCCTTCGTGATATTCACGCGTCGATGATAGTCATTGGAGCGTCAGCGCTGAGAATAGAATACGGTGAACGCTGATTGAACGTATCGCTAGAAGAATTCTTGCACTTATAAACCACGTTATCGGCCGGTTTCTTTTTGGATTTTCTCTTTTGTAAACACGTTTCGCCACGCACGAGCCGTGGAGCACTCCGAAAAGTGGAAAAAAACTCTGGACTTTGAAAATCCACGGACGGCGGCTCCGGGTTTTTACGCGATCCGTGTAAAGCGTGAAGCGATCTTGACACTGTCCCTTCTTTGAATTTGTTAAATATCTTAGAATAATGTTTTCCGGAATCGCACTTCAACGCACCTGGTGTACAAGTTAAACGTCGCCGGTTCGCGGACGAATTTCAGCACCGACTTGATGACGGTCTCCACGTCGTTCAGCAAAGTCTCCTGGGGATAGGGCGATGCTAAAATAGTTATTAATTTAAATAAGTCTTCGTGGCAATGGATTTTCATCGCGCATCCTAACTCCCACCTTCACCAAGGCGGCTCTTTATTGGCACCGAAACTTAGAAATATTTTTCACGGCAATTTTGACTTATCAATTTTAACCACTCGTGCCTCTACCGTAAGAAAAATGTCAAACCAAGCGAGTCTATTTTTTGTCTGTTTAAATTAATTAATTAAGGTCTGGGTGTATGCCTTCTCTCTGGATAAAAATTAGCAAGACAGACGAAGGAGAAAAATCGACTCGTTCGGAAGGGGCGGATTTCATTCGATCCGTGAGATTATTAATTAATTAATGTTTCACCTGAAACGCAGATTAGTCCCAGGAGAAGGTGAAGTTTGACAAGTGACATGTCGCCTCCCGTGATACCACTCGACGTTGCACTGGGCTACTACTGCAGCCGTCTTAGTAGCGGAGCGCCATTCATCCTACGATTTCTTGTCTTTGATAACCGATAAGGCAGGGCCTCGGTAATTAGCCGATCAATTGCGGCGGTGCCTTGACCGAATGTGACATCCCACTGTCGCGAACTTGAAGCCGACGCGTTTAGCTCGGTGTTCTCCCCTAATTTCGATTTTAACTAGAAAAATTCACTTTCCAGAGAAAGCGGCGTCACTTGCGGAATTATCATCGACACGAAGCCGAGCTATCGTCAGCCGCTATAAGAGATCATGACGTAGATCAGTGAAATCGGAGTAGTTGCTAGAAAAAGCCGATTTTTTAATCAACAAACGCACACATTCGCCAGTGGACAGCGATAGACGAAACAAGCTCGGATGAAACGTTCGTGCTTGTACCGTGATCGATGGCGCTTACATTCGTCGGCTTATCTTTTTAAACGGAAACTCTATTGGCTATTTCACTCCGTGCAATGGCTCGTGATAATAGAAAGTAAGGCTTGAAGAAAAAAAAAAAGAAATCTTATTCTACGGGAATTCCTTTTTATCCGCGCCGCGGGACAGAGTCGAATAGTCGAAGCGAGTTTAGCTTTATCTTCCTTCCGCCAGCCTTGGCCCTCTTCACGTAAGATTCTCGTGCTCTGAAATCGTAAGACCATCCGTGACCATTTTTCCCTGAAAGAGCGAGGAACGCCATTGAAATTCTCTTCTCGGTACCCTTTAAGTCGATTGAAGACGATTATTTCCATGAAACAGATCCCAGTCGCCAGAATGGACCCCACGAGTAGGACTATCAAGGCAGGAGCTGTCTCGAAAATGGTAATGCTCTTCAAGGTCAAGGACCCAGCTTCACAGTGAGGCCTTCTAGAGCTCCATCGCTTCACCTGGCGTACTCTTAATCCCATATTGGTAAGTTTTGCCAATCTAAAAAAGAATGATATTCTCGAGATGCTAATATTTAATCCTTCGACAGAGGATGAGGATGAGGCTGAAGAGGAGCACAGTTACATTTTGGGACTCTCTTTACCCGACTTTCGCCATCTCCACCAAAGGGCTTTCGTAACTTGCCCAAAGAGCCATCATGGTGGGTTGAAATAAATGAACCTCCGTCAGTTCGCAGATCATCTTGTCGTCGAAGAACTTCTCCACGAAGGGGTACCCGTTGTTCGGGTCGGTGTGATACGCGAAGTTGCCTTCGGACATCCTTTTGATACCTTCCTCCAGGGGCAGATACCTCTTCGAGTCCGGCAAATTCGCCCAGCGTTTCCTATAAAATGTCCTCACCTCCCAGTCGGGCGATGTCTTTGGAAATATTCGACATTGGGACACCCCGTCCAGGAAACGCGTCGACGCCAAAGCGTTCCGCGATATTTTTTATCGGGGCATGTAAAAGAGAAAAAGAATAAGGATAACGCTCTCTATCGGGAAGAGAAATTACATCATCGATTATAGCGTTCGTGGTACGTTAAGAGATTTAGCTAGCGAGATGTGCTCCTCACTTGATTCGGAATCGATCCAATTATAATTCATGATATTTAAGGATTTTTCAGGTGGAGTTGCACGTTTTACCGTCAAGAGGAAGTCGGTGTATGGAATTGGCTCAGCTGCGATGCCGAACGAGCTTTTAGCTAATTGACTCAGGGAATCGTTCATCTTATCCAAGGGCTCGCTTAGGCGTGCCGAGACGATACTCGCTGAATAGTAATTGTACATCATCAAACTGAAGACGAGAAGGTGAAGAAACGCGATTCGACCAGCTGCTCGACTAGGGATATATGAAGAACCTGCGGTAATTAAGACAGTGCTTAAAAAGATTATTCTCCCAAAGACTACGCTTCGAAGAAGACTCGGGAACCGACCTTGCTGGCACAGAGACCCGATCGTCAGCATCGAGGCATCCGTACATATCTGCAACCAGTGGTCTGCACTTTCGGATATTAATACCAGACCGAAGATCAAAATGGTAAAGGCTGACAACAGGAGGACGGAGTACCAGGATTCCGGAGACAGGGCTCGCCAGAGCTCGTTTCTTAGTTTGGTCGGCGTCGAACGGAACATGAAGCACGTTCTGCGAATTTAAAGGACACTTAGCTCGGGTCTTATTGGATCGCTTTTTCGTTTCAGATACTCCCACCGAAATGGCCAGGCTGGACCGATGATTTTCCCGAGGCCGAGCCTTTCCGCGGTCATGACTGCTGTGCAACCTCCGAAGTCTGCTTCTCCTCTTTGCAAAGCTCCCATCAGGCCACTGTGAGAACCATTCGGCTGGATCTTGTCCCACATGCCGACCTCCGATATCTCCATTCTAATTAACAACCGAAGGGTATTAATCTTACCAATGTTCACGAGGAACTACTTAGCGATACTTAGGAGGAGCTCACGTAAAGTTAAAGAGATCGGCGATGTCTCGGAGGATCGCATAAGTGTACTTGGAAATTCTGTCTCGAGACCGTGTTGTATAATCTTCAAGGTAGTCCTCCAGCTTCGTGTCGTTCGGCCTGTACTGGGTCTACCGGTTTCAACAAAGAGACGGTAAATAGGTGGGAAATAGTTTTAGCATAGATTTAATATTTCTAGTATTTTTAATTACTCACGATGCTGGTGACTTTCAGCTTCATGCCGTGAAGATTAGCTCTTCTTGGGAACTTTTCCTGGACCAGGTCGACGGTCAGCCCTTCTCCCTGCGTCCAAGAACCCAGTTTTGTCGTGTTCAAGGTACCACCTCGAGCTTTGTGAGGATTATAAATGTCGTATAACGTGGATTTATTGCCCGTTACTTCCGCCACCACGAAATCGGTGAGAAAGCCGAAGGCATCATCGTTTATGGGTTGCAAGAGAGCGTTTAAATCTGCTCCCAGGATCAGCCATTTATGCAGCTCGCCGTACATGCCGTATTTTCCAGCCTGGATTGAAATATATCTTCGAAAATGGACCGACTTAATGTCTTGCTCGTCGTTAATTATTTGTTCATTCTACCTCGGTTAAGATAAAGGAGGTACTTTCGACAGAGCACCGGGAGTCCACGAAGAGTCCCACTTTCCAGAAAGTCGAGCTCAGCATCGCCTTCAAGTTCGAGTGGTCCTTTAAGGCCTTGATCGTTGCCGAAATCCCTAAATCGTTCAGCGTCTTCACGAGTTGACATTGACCTTGAATTAGCGGAGACAGATTAAATAGGTAAAGAAAATTTGAGAACAGCTTGGCGAGCCTTTATTACGTGTTATATGTGCGCAGGAAAACCCTACGACACTTCGCACATTCTTGTAGACGAAATAATCCCTCATGATGCCGTTTTCCGTGGCTTCGTTCGCTAGACATAAAGTATTGACTAATTGAAGCACAATAAAATGTTTAAACATTGTAAAGCTCATCTCATTTAGTGCTGCGTATCGGCACTGTCTTGTGCGATAATGCTGCAACTGGGGAATTTCCCTGGGGAGGAGGAAAGCTTGCGTGTCTAGTAAAATATAAAATGCTCCTTTGCCATCTATTTTTTAACACGGAGAAGGCGGTGCTCGTGTCGCGTCTCGTTATTCTGTCAATCATTATTATCCTTCGACCGCGTTTATAATTCCTTTTGTTCGGTGACATACTTGACGTATACTGACTGTTGCTCGACTCGAATAACTGGTAGCTGGCGAAATTATAAATTAAACTAGGCGCCTTAAAATCTAATCTTCAAAAATTATTTGTTAATCTCCCTCTCTGGATTAGACATAAGAAATAATTTGGCGTTAATTATTCAATGCTGCGTCAAATTTCCCGCTTTTTATCAGCCCTCGATTTGTTGACCCGGTGGCGCCATCTTTCGTCACTTGTTCCAACTTGGACGAATATATATCGCGATGGTATTTACAGAGGTGAGTTGATGAGAACAAGTTGGAGAAATTTCGGGCACAGCCCTTCTAGTGCTAGTTCGTTTTTCGTGGACGTGAAAACAGTGGAAAGGTATAGAACTACGATTGTTTCACGCCCGGCGAGACTTTTGTGGAATTGGCTGCCGAAATTGGAGTTCTAGACCCAAACTGCGGCCGTGATTTATTTAAAGTTTGTGCAATTCGGCATTGAGAAAACAGAAGAATGTTTGGACCAGGAGTCGCGCCGATTGTGGTATTGAGTGAGTCGAAGACGTTGCCGTTAGTGCTACCCGGTTGAATGAAAACGTTTTGATTCACGCCATGCCTTACTCTTTGATTATTGCAGGCCAGAACACCAAACGGGATTCGGGCAGGAAGGTTCAGAAGGAAAATATCCAGGCTGGAAAGGTCAGTATATTGTCTCTTGATCTCTATAAGGTATTTCCTTATAAGGTATTCGATCCGCACGTCGCACCCACGTGCATAACCACAGACAATGCAGAGCGTTTCTAAGTGAATGTATTCAATTTTAATGAAATTTAACATTATTAGATTGTGGTTCATTGGCATTATTTTTTAGGTTGGGTTATATGTATCTAGGAATAAAAAGTTAGAAATCTTATTTTTAGCTTATTTTGTATTACGTCTTTGATTCATCGTATTTTCTTCTAAAGGCTATCGCCGATGTTATCAGAACATGTCTTGGCCCACGAGCGATGCTAAAGATGTTGATGGACCCCATGGGTGGAATCGTCATGACCAACGATGGAAATGCTATTCTTCGAGAAATCACGGTTCAGCATCCAGCGGGGAAATCCATGATTGAAATTGCAAGAACTCAGGACGAAGAAGTGGGCGATGGCACCACTTCCGTTATCGTCTTGGCCAGTGAAATTTTGGTTACCGCGGAACCCTTTTTAGATCAAGGAATGCATCCCACTGTTATAATCAGAGCTTATCGACAGGCTCTTGAAGATATGCTAACAATCCTGAACGAGGGGATTAGTATAACGCTAGATCGTAACGATAGAAAGCAATTGGTTCAAGTTATTAATTCTTGCATCGGTACTAAATTTATTGGGCGTTGGTCACAGCTGGCATGCAATATTGCATTAGATGCCGTGAATACTGTCATGCTCGAAGAGAATGGACGTCGTGAGATCGACATTAAGCGGTATGCTAAAGTAGAAAAAATCCCTGGTGGAAGCATTGAAGACTGCGTCGTTCTTAAGGGTGTCATGATCAACAAGGACGTTACTCATCCCAAGATGAAAAGATACATAAAGAATCCAAGAATCATTCTTCTCGATTGTCCTCTTGAATACAAGAAAGGTGAATCCCAGACAAATATTGAAATAATGAAGGACACTGACTTTACAAAAATTCTGGAACTGGAGGAAGAACACATTAAGAAGGTGTGTGAAGAGATAATTGCGGTCAAACCTGATGTCGTATTTACCGAAAAGGGGGTCTCAGATCTGGCACAGCATTATTTGGTCAAAGCAGGTATCACAGCAGTTCGCCGATTGAGAAAGACCGATAACAACAGAATCGCACGGGCCTGTGGAGCGACAGTGGTCAATCGAACCGAAGAATTGAGGGAAGAAGACGTTGGAACTGGAGCTGGGCTTTTTGAAGTTAAAAAAATCGGTGATGAGTACTACTGTTTCATTACCGAATGCACAGATCCAAAGGCATGCACGATTATCTTAAGAGGAGCAAGCAAAGACATTTTGAATGAAACCGAGAGGAATTTACAAGATGCCCTGCACGTTGCGAAGAACCTCCTCCTCGAACCAAAATTAGTACCAGGTATTGCTTATCCGTCAACAATTAATTTTATTATTTACACTGTATTTCTTTACAGTGCTTGATTATTAGATTTTAAATTATTAAGAATGTATTACAAGTTGATGTACGTTTTTGATTTTTCAGGTGGAGGAGCAGTAGAGATGGAAGTGTCTCGCCTTCTGACCGAAAAATCAGCTGGCCTTGCTGGGGTCGAACAATGGCCTTATAAGGCAATGTCACAGGCCTTGGAAATTATTCCTAGAACATTAGCTCAGAACTGTGGAGCAAATACAATTCGCACCTTAACAGCTCTCCGAGCAAAACATGCTACTGGAGGAACTACTTGGGGGATTGATGGGGAGACTGGACAATTGGTCGATATGAAAGAACGTGGTATCTGGGAGCCACTTACCGTTAAGTTGCAGACTTACAAAACGGCCATTGAAACCGCCATTCTGTTATTGAGAATCGACGATATTGTTTCGGGGAGCAAAAAGAAGACTAAGGAAGATGAGCATAAACCAAGTCAGGTTACGGAAGAGTCTACGAAAGACTAATCGCCGCAACTCCACTTACATTAATCATTTCAGCTTTGATGTAATGAACTTTTAACTTTAAAGTAGGATTAAAGTTCAAGCGTCATCATTTATACTTAACGTAATAATTATTGCAAGTTGTTTACTATTCGTACACGGCCGATTGTTCGCTAATTAAATGCCTTTTCTGAGAATAAATAAAGATTTTTAAAAATCAACTTCGGGCTATGAGCAGTTTTGCTTTCTCGTGTTCTCTTCTTCCTAACTTAACCTTAGACCGATCATTAGTGTCTACAGTTTCATTGGATAGGATAAGAAATACATCTAATAAAAAAATATTCCAAATTTAACCATAACGTTTAATTGTTCATTTTTTTTCTTTTAATAGATCGAGCATATATGCAAATGTCCTGGATTATTAGACTCCATGGTTTAATCGAAGCAAGTTGGTAGTATATAACAATTGTCTTCAATTCGCACAGCTCTGCTGTGTATCATTTCTTAACAATTAAAATCATTGTATATAAAGTTAAACTAACATACAAGTATTTGTCCTGCTTTGCTTAGACTGAGTATCTTATAACTGCGAGCGCCAAAATGTTGAGGATGAATCAAAATAAATTATCTTTTCTTCAAACTCTTAAAGAGTTACTATATATGTAAGTACCATTCCTTACAGAATGATAATTGTAGCGGTCTTATTGTAACTTCATTATCATTGACAGAATAATATCTCATCTGCTAATTCATCAGTAACTTTTCCAAATTTCATTCTTTCTTTTCGTCATGTAGGACATACTTTTGAACCATCTGCCATGCCACGCCAACCGTTAAGCTGGCTATGACGAGTCCTTGAGCAGTGACTCGTAGTTGCATCAGAAAAGTAGAAGTGGACACCTTCTTAGTTTTGAACGAATATGCACCATAAGCACATGCCGCTACCAACCCTGCCAGTCCTTTAAATGGGTAAAAATTAATTTAAACAAACTTAATAATAATAATGTATTTAAAAATTAAAGTAAGCAGTACTTTAGACATACCAACTACTAAGAATGGCGATTCCTTCGATTTACGTATGAATTTTGATCCTGATGTTTCGTCAAGTACCTCTACCGTTCTTTTATCCATTTTTCCCTGATAAAATGATTAATAACTGCTAACCTGTAACATCACCGTGATACACTGTGATAAATTCCACCTTTTGCAGATAAATGTGATGACAGATATTAGTTGTAACGATTACAGTATAAGTTGACTTAATTTCCTTATCCTTTCGTTTGGAAACAACTAAACATGAATTAACAATAGTGAACAAGTATTGATAGTGCAAATGAGTGTCAAGAGCGCGTGGCTCGTGAAATTCAAGGTCAATCGACAAGGGCTTACATCCAAAAATACATGACAAGTTCAACACTCGAGTTACACATTGTTGGCACAGACTCCATCCCACAGACATATTCAAAGTAGTTTCTTTCAACGGTAACAGAGACAACGTATACATCACTTGCAATTCCGAAAATTTGAATTCTTATAAAAATACCATTTTACCCTGTGGCCTACATCGGTCAACATCGGTATCACGTTATCAAGTAAAAAACGATTACCTCTAGGGAAGACTGAATTGCAGGATGGAATTTCTCCAAAAATAATGAAAGTTCGTGCCCTAACAGTAAAATGACAGTGACAAGTCAACATTTTTCTGATTTTATCTTATTAAATATGAAAATCGCACGATATGGGGACTCCGATAATGGCTCATTTGCCCCTTTTATTATTTTATTAGACTGACTATTTGAGGGATGAGCTTTGACGAAATTATTGTATTACCGCATCATTGAAAAATACCAAAAAATACAGTGCACGTACCTGTAAAACTTGAGCTCACTCTCATTTGTCGAGCGTACACCGAGTCACGTCGAGTGCGCGCGATTATATGGATCAACTGACGTAATATGTCGGTTGGTAGCGCGCCAAAGACGAAGTCCGTGACTCCGTGCACGTCTGACGTCCACCTTAGGGGCATTGTATAATACGTTACTGTACAGAAAGATATTTCTGAGAACCAGTTCAGATTAATGGCGCCACGTGAACGATCTTATAGGTATATACGCGCACATGTTTCAGCAGTTTATTACAGTGCGCTTTGTAATAACAATTTTCAATAATTAGTGCATGGACGTAATGGACTGCGTAGTGATATTTTCAGTACTCGAAGATACTTCACATTTAATTTAATTAGTGTACAATATATTCTATGGTGTATACAATCGATTTACAATATGTACAAATAATAACTTAAATTCGAAAACCTCTAGACGCGTAACAAATCAGTTCTCCCTGAAGGCAGCTATCGTGTGGCTGACATCAAGAATGATAATCTATCGTTCTTTGTCCTCTTTAGCATTTATGGATATAGGATTAGAAACAGACAAGAATGGCCTATTATTGCGCTATTTGTAAGTACTCTTGGCGTAGGTTAATCCGTGTATCAGCATACGTTTCAGCATTAAAAAATGTGCAGGAGTTGTTATATGTGCTTGCGTTAGAAATTAAATTCTGTACAAGAATATGCCAAATCGTTTCGTTGCTTTTACCATGTTAGTGAATCTTATCGAGTGGTAATTGCTTTTCACGTTTGCTCCAAACGACATTTCGCTTGATCTTTAATTGATTAAGGTTTTTTCTCTAACCATTTGTAAAAAATTTTCCTTAGTTCGAAAATATTTTGATAAACGTGAACTTTTCCAATTTAGACGATTAATAGATATAGATACTGAATAGAGTAGAGCTTGCAATTTACCTGCGGATTACGATTCTAAATATTCATGATTTCAAAAGAACAGCACTAAGCCATGGAGTTTAAGATGCGTGTAGTCTGTTTTAATGTAAGGCTTCTGACCTTGTTAACAGAATGAGGGAATTTCCTGCTTTCTAACAAGCTCGAGGCTTATCGCAGCAAGAACAAATGTACATTATATAGCAATCTCAATCCCTTTGTTAGTTATTGTTCTCCGATTCACACAGAGAGGTGAGGATGTCCTCGTATCGTCGCATATTAATTTCAAAAGTCTCTAGCTGCTTGGTAAGATCACCCACTTGCTCAGCTAATGTTTGTTCCTCCATGAATGCATGCAACTGCGGAGCACTTTGACATTCGCGATAAAAGGCACCTAAGTCGCTGTTTGTATTAGTACCAGCGAATGGAGTTTTCTGTTGAAATAAAAATGATTCATTGAAAAATCATGCCCAGACTTGCTACGAAAACGTCATATGTTTAATAAAAAAAAAAAAAATCAAGGTAATGAAGGTCGAGGCTAGTAATGTATAATTACCAAATCAACCATAATAAAATCCCCATTAGCACTCGTTAACGAACAGCTACTTCTCCTCGATCCATTTTGTGAGCTACATTTTGGCGTTGCATTGTCATTAATTACTTTTTCACCGTTTCCATTATTACTATCCGTTGCTGTATCCATCACTAAAGTTGAATTGACAATAGCCGTAGCTGCAGCAGTGGTGACGGTATTGCTACTGGTTGCATTCATCGAGGTGCTAATCGTAGTGCTAGTAGTAGAAGTTGCAGTAGTAGAAGTACTAGAAATAACATTGGTAGCAACGGTAGAACCAGTAGTAGTAATTGTGGTAGCAACAGCACTAGCAGCAGTAGTAATGGTTACGATAGCTGTAGCTGCTACAATTGTAGTAATAGGTGTTGCAGTTGTAACTGTTGCCGTAGATGTTACCGGAGTTGTATTTACTGTTGGAAATGCAGATATTCGAGGAGGAGATGTTTGACGTGGCGTTAAGAGAAAACTGAATGGAACATCAGGGATAACCAGATCCTCCTCGTTCACAATAACTTGTTTGTTAATCGCAAAAGCGCCCACTTTAATGGTATCACTTAAAGATTTTGCGTTATCTTCGCTGGAATATTTAAATAGGTTGATTAGTTCGTGACTCAAATACAGGTTTCTCAAAATATTCTGCAAATACTTGAAAATTTAAACAAACCTTTGTTGATATCGAGCATGACGAGGGCTTAGGTCGGAATGAAAATGATCACTTTTTAGCATGATAGAATCTCGCCCGGTCTGAGTAGGAGAAATTGCCATTTTGGTTCTATATGATACTGACAGATGAATGGTACCCACTGGTGTACATAATTGGCCAACCCTGACATTTTTATAATTGTCACCTAAAGCATAAGTATACAAAAATATATAAAATATTGGCAAATGCTACTCACCAACGAAAGTCTAATCAACTGATCATTTACCCAATGTATGCAATTGAGGTTCACCCATATAAATTCTGTAACAAATGACGTAGGACTCTGGACCTTGTCTACGACTTAATTTATAAGCTGGGGTGATTCTCGATACTGACAGTAATGACTTCAATAGAATTCCCATTCTATTATAAACTGTATAAGTAACTCTAATGGTAGGATCGCTTTGTTCGGGTAGAATCCCAAGACTCCACATCTCTAAAACCATGGTATCACCCTCAACCGTTCTCAGAGAAATTTCTATACACAGTGGTATTGTGGAATTTAACATATCTCCGCATAATGCTCTTTTTGCTTCAGCCAAAACTTCCGGTATATCTTGGATCGCAAGATTAAACTAAAAAAATAAAGAGATGTGTTTTGCAGACATATGTTGCAGGGTACGAAGAGGTTGAGTCAGTTATAAAATAAAAACCTCAATAAATTTGACATGCGGACATACGATTTCAAGCATACCCAATCTGTCCCAGACGAATTTGGTTTACATTTCGTGTTGATTTTCTCGCCCGATCTAGACTGTACAATGATCTGAGCAGCCTTTAACGCCAGGAACTTGGTAAATTTATCTAAATCTTTCTTGTCCTGCATGCCCAGTTTCATAGTGGACATCGTAACGTTGGTCATTTTGCAAGTCTTACTCCAAACCAATATGCCTAACGAAGAATCCCGCGTCTACCTTTGACCTGTGTACGGTGCCTTGCATAATTTACAGGCAAATCAAACGAGGATCCCTTGAAATAGAAGAAAAATCGTGCGTTTGTCGCGCGGACCTCTAAAAACCGTTGACTGGAGCATCGAACCATTGGTGGTCGAGTGCGTTCACGAATCACATTTATTACGTAAGTAAATTCACCGAATTGAGCATCAACTCTTTCGTGTACTCGGAGCAATATGTAGAGAAACGTCGTTGGGTGAAATATATTTTTTCCAGAGTAACCTCGGGCAGATGCAAGTCGTCGAACGTGCAAAAAGCTCTCAAGCTTCTCAACGGTACTCAACGGAACGACCTGCTACCTCGAATGAAATTAAAGTCCTACAAAGCACGGCGCGTCATCGCGTCACGGGCGATCAACCAATCGGAACTGCGGCGGAAGTGACAATGTTGTTAAGCACAGTTCTGATTGGTTCGTCCACGCCGCATTCTCATGCCGCACTCTCTGCGACACTCGTCGTTCCCGGTGAGACACCTGTATCAGCGAACTACGCCTCCCACTTTAGCGCGCCAAATGTACACTCGCCATTTTGAAACGTGGCAAGCGCTGATTGGTTGGCTGTGTGATGGCGCCACCTGCATCTTCCTTAAAAATATGAGAATTATTATGGAGACTTCAATTACTCATTACTGATTGGTATCACACTGAGAGCGATGCACTTGCAAAACGAACAGCGACGCTGCGTCACATCCGTCAAAACGAACAACGTCTGAAGATTAACAATTGAATTTGTCGCTAAGTGCAGAAATTCAAGATGGAGGCCGCGTAGGGAGCAGCTGACTGTCAAGGGTTTTAAGCACTGTGCCAGATCATCGACAATTATTCTATATTTCAGCTCCCGTAAAGACTTTTCGCCGAATAGGAGGAAAGATGTTGACTGCAGCTGCGAATTCGTTATCGAATAATGGGGGTTCGTACAGTAATGACAGACCTTCGAGTGCAGGTGAACCCGAATTAGCTGCTGATCCTGCATCGGGGGGTTTCTTTCATTCAGACTATAAAAAGTAAGCAGTTTTGGTTAATTAAATTGAGTTTATTAAGTATACTGGATTTATTCACTTGCTCCGATATCTTATAGCACTACGTTCTATTTTGGTTGCAGTAATTGATAAAATAATCCCATTAAACAAAATTGATTAAGGGATAAATGAATACATATCGTAATTTATTCTCAAGAAAAGTTTTCGTTATCCTTTGGTTCGTGAACTGATTGTGCAACTCTTTCTCATTTAGGCATGAAGACTTAAAACAGATGTTAGATAGTAATAAGGATGGCCTCAAGTTGGAAGCGATGAAACGCATAATTGGGGTAAAAATAATTTGATTCTTTGTGACTGAAATATAACTAACCAAGGAGGATTATATGTTGAAACTATAAATGCGGTCAAAATATATATTTGATAAATTGTTTTTATAGATGGTGGCAAAAGGAAGAGACGCTTCTGATCTTTTTCCAGCTGTAGTTAAAAATGTTGTATCAAAAAATATTGAGGTTAAAAAATTAGTTTATGTGTACTTAGTACGCTATGCGGAGGATCAACAAGACCTTGCCCTTTTATCAATTTCCACATTTCAAAGAGCTTTGAAGGATCCAAATCAGCTGATAAGAGCCAGTGCACTGAGAGTACTCTCTAGTATACGAGTATCAATGATAGTTCCAATTGTTATGCTTGCCATTAAAGACTCGGCTAGTGACATGTCTCCGTATGTTAGGAAGACTGCGGCTCACGCGATTCCTAAACTGTACTCTTTGGATCCAGATCAAAAAGAGGAGTTAATAGCTGTTTTGGAGAAACTATTGTCGGATAAGACAACTCTTGTCGTGGGATCGGCAGTAATGGCTTTTGAAGAAGTTTGCCCTGAGAGAATAGACCTTATACATAAGAATTACAGAAAATTGTGCAATTTATTGGTTGATGTTGACGAATGGGGACAGGTTGTTATCGTAAACATGTTAACAAGATATGCTAGAACTCAATTTACTGACCCTAATATCAATGTAAGTCTTTATTCAAATGAAATTCGTTAGTTTATAGCTGTATAATTTTTTCATTCAATGTAAATATAATTTATTTTTAAAGGATGTTCCTGAAGATGATAATCGTCCCTTCTATGAATCGGATTCCGATTCATCGGTTATGAAAGTACCTAAGTCTACATTAGACCCTGATCACCGTTTACTGTTACGAAATACGAAACCTCTTTTGCAAAGCAGAAATGCATCCGTAGTTATGGCTGTAGCTCAACTGTACCATCATGCAGCACCTCAAAACGAAGTCATGATCGCTGCTAAAGCTCTAATAAGATTGTTAAGAGGACATCGAGAAGTGCAAAGTATTGTTTTGCATTGCATTGCCAGCATATCAATTACGAGAAAGGTAACGTAAGTATTCTGAACGGTTTTACTAACAATTGATGTCAATAGAATTATTCATTAACTTTCACTAGACCTACATACTCTATAAAAATGGCACAGTTGAATTATTTATGAAAATAATGTTGTTATTATAATTTGTAGGGGATGTTTGAACCTTTCCTTAAGTCTTTCTTTGTTAGAACTTCTGACCCAACTCACATAAAGTTACTGAAATTAGACATCTTAACTAATTTGGCTACCGAAACAAGTATTGGTGTAATACTGCGAGAATTTCAAACTTACATCTCGAGTAGTGACAAAGAATTTGTGGGTGCAAGTATCCAAGCTATTGGAAGATGTGCCAGCAATATAAAAGAAGTAACAGATACTTGTCTTAGTGGATTAGTTTCATTGCTGAGTAATAGAGACGGTAAGAGCATAGTTGAGAATTTGCTTCGGTAGAAATCATAGACCTTATAATCAGTTGATATACAATGTACTGCTCTTCTTTGTTATATAGAGGCCATTGTAGCAGAAAGTGTAGTCGTCATAAAGAAACTACTGCAAACTCAACCGAATGAACATAAAGACATAATAGCTCACATGGCAAAATTAATGGATTTTATAACCGTACCACAAGCCAGAGCTTCTATACTATGGCTGTTAGGAGAATACTCCGACCGGGTACCGAAGATTGCGCCAGACGTGCTCAGAAAAATGGCTAAGAGTTTTACAAATGAGCAGGATATCGTGAAACTGCAAACTTTGAACTTAGCTGTGAAATTATGCTTGAACAATCCTGCACAAACCAAACTATTCTGTCAGTACGTTTTTCAGCTTGCTAAGTACGACCAAAATTATGACATCAGAGACAGAGCTCGCTTTTTGAAGCATTTCATTTTTGACGACGAAGAAGGGCCTAGTAAAAAGCTAACGCAGCTTGCAAAGAAAGTTTTCCTCGCTCCCAAGCCAGCTCCGACACTGACATCCAAATTCACAGATTCTCAATTTCAACTGGGCACATTGTCACATTATCTTAACATGCCTTGTGCGGGTTATCGACCGTTACCTTCGTTTCCTGAGGTTCCTCCAGATCCATTCCTTAGGGATGTTGCAGAGCCTCTGCCTTTTGTAAAAAGTGAGAAGCACGGCAAGAAAGAAAAGCGAGAAAAAAAGAATAAAGTGAAGGAAAAGGTTATTTACAGTGAAGAAGAAAGCACGGCTGCTGAAGGTAGTATAATTTAATGTTTCATGGAATTATTTTTTCTGATAACTGAAAAGAATTTATTTGAATAAAAATCATGTGTTCCAGAATCCAATGCAGAAGAAGAAAGTACTGAAAGTTCATCGAGCCAATCATCTGAGAACAGTGACTCATCTGAGTATTCTGAATCAGAATCAGGGAAGTCAGATAACGAAGGTGGACAAAAGAGTTCAGGAAGCAAGTCGGAAGATTCTGAGAGTGAGACGGGTAGCCAAAGGTCCGACGAGGAAGACTCAAGCTCAGAGGAGAACGATAATGAGATTAAACAAACTGCAAAAGAAAAGACTACTAAGAAAGAAAATGTGGAAAAACCTAAGAGTAACCTTGATTTACTGTTGGATTTAGATGACAGTGAGTTGACAGGCTTTCTATTATAATAATTACATTTTCACATAGCTTTAATGTCATTAATAAGATCGTGATATTTATTAACAGTAATGCCCATGACACCTGTCATGACTCCAAGCTTCGGAGGTTTCCTTACTCCGATGAATCCAACTGTCTCAAATGAAACTAGAGAGGTTGCAACATCTTTTGTACCAATTAAGAAGTCTGAATTATTAAATAAAATTAGTGGAAAAGGTTTAAAAGTTGAATTCAGGTTCATGCGATCACAGCATTTAGTTAGTTCAGTTATGGTTTCAATAGAATTAACATTTACAAACGAAGGCACTGAAACTATTCAAGATATTCACATTGGGAGTAAGGTATGACGACTGTTATGATAGTAAATAATATCTTTATATGTATACGTATGATAGCATTTTTCTAACCTATAACCATGATTTCAGAACTTACCATCTGGAATGCTAATCCATGACTTTTCACCTATATCTATTTTGCTGCCAAATGCAACCTTGTCGTCCACTTTGGGTGTCAATTTTAATGATTCTACACAGCCCGCGCCTTTTAGTATTGACTTCACCATAAACGAAGACAAATACTCTCGATCTGTCAGTATAAGTGCACCTATTGGTGAAATAGTGAGGTCGGTTCTCCTACCTGAAAGTACATTTATATCTGAAAAAGCAAAATTAAAGGGCATGAATGAACACACCATGAAAGTGGCTTTCTCAGGGAACAGAAAGATCATTTCTCAAAAGATTTTTGAAGCTGCAAACGTTGCTGTAATATCCAGTGAAGACGATATAATCAGGTAATAGTAACAACCTCTTTACATAGCTCTTCCTTATCCTATTAGTGTGTTTAATAATCTTATTATATTTTCTAGATTTGCAGCACACACATTGGCTTCAAAATCATTAGTTTTAATAACTGTAAAGATTCTGGAAAATAATGATTTGGAAGTATGTGTGAATTGTGAAAAAATGGTCGTAGGTTCTATGTTGCTGAATGAGTTGAAAAGTAACCTGAAATGAGCCTCATTTCTTAAGAGACTTACATGATCGTACGTATTTGACCAGACGCTCAAGTTTTCCTCAATCGTCCCAATTATCACCAAGAACACTCGTATCTCATTCCACTTTACGACTATAAAGTGTACATTTGCGGATATACATATATATACATATATATACATATACACATATAAATATTTTATTCAAATATTACCTCTTTGAATCTTTTCATAATAAAATTTAATTGCATATTTAAGTTTTGTTTGCGTTCTGTCATTGACTGTACTTTCCACATCCTTCAACAGAGATGAGTTGGGAGATTGCTCACGGGTAGGGTCGTGCACTCAAATCCTGTAATGCCCTCTGGTTTCGTACTCAGCTTTCACCGTTTTTTGCCCCCAAAGACGAGAAAGAGGCAACCGGGGGGTCGGTTGATAAGGAAATTTTTCAAAAACTAGGTGTACCTAATCGTTTGAAATTTTATAACGTGAGTATAAAGACCCTGAAAAAGGATTCCATAGCAAAAAATTCTGTTATTATAAAAAAATTCCAAAATAGGAATATACAAAGGTGTGATAAGGAACTGCGCATGCGCATGTCGGGGTCGGGGACCCTATATAAGGCCGAGCGCGCCCTCGGAGCGTCATTACCCTTTGGTCTTCCGAAGGGTAAACATCGGGGTACCTGCTTCGACCGTCGCTCTCACACACAAACACACACTTGTATGTATGTTGGAGCCCTATTTGGGTCCGGTTCCACCCTCGAGTTAACTGGAGTTTAACTTATTTAACCCCAGTTTAACCTAACGGTTAACCGCAGTTTTAACCTACGGTTAAATCTAACGGTTAACCGCAGTTTTAACCTACGGTTAACCCCAGTTTTAACCTACGGTTAAACCTAACGGTTAAAAATAAAACTTCGGTTAACTTGGGTTGTGAACCCGGGCCTTCTGGGAGACATCCCCCCTCCCTTCCGTTCCCTTTCTTAATATATATTTAATTTAATTTATTACGTTTGTAACGGGCTTCGGTGCGCAGCAACCTCCACGTGGTGAGCCTGGGGGATCGGTGGTTTCCAACTATCGTTGAAAACCCCCGATCCGCAAATAGCTGCGTGAGTGTTTCCACTTAGCGTGTTTTTTTTTTGTATGACAGTAGCTTAACGTAGTTAAAAGTGGAAGCACTCGTTGCGTGCGTGCGAAATTGTAAATTGCGGACAGGAAGTTGTCGGGTATGTTTCCATGCAGCTAGTAATTCCGGATTTGCGTACTAACCGAAGTAGATTTTTTGCAGGTACGGCATTGCCGTACCTTTAGTGTATCCGGCAGCTTCCGTCGGCACCTAGTACGTCGTAGCTAAGCTACGGCGTGCAAGGCTACCTGGCTCAGGTTGTCGGTTGCGCGATACGTTGTTTCGCTCTGGCGGCATCCCGCGGGGGCTCTGCCTGCTGTAAGCCGGGACAAGCCCGTCGACTGAAACTCGTATTCGCGGGCCGACAGCCGAGCCGGGTTAGTCGTCGGTAACGGTGGAAGCTGCTGGATTGTTCGCGTTAGAAGTAGTATGCCCTTCCGGCAAATTATATCCGTAATTCAATGCTAACTGGCAAGGTACTCGGCGACTTACCCTGTACTCTGCGGCGAGCGTTGTATGGACGGATGAGTATGGTATGCGAGTGGTGTGTTGTATGGACGGATGCGTATGGTATGCGAGTGGTGTGCTGTATGGGTTATGAAATCCTGGTTCTGAGGTGCCTATGCTTAGGCGGGTCCCAATCACAGCGGCCTCCTCGTGGCGGGACCTGGGGGATCGGTACCATCCTTATGGGATGACACCGATTCGCGAACTGGCTGTGAAGTAGCATTTAATTAAGATAAAATTTCACCTTCCCGTAATTTAAATAAGTTAAGTGAAGGGTAAAGTCAATTCCTTCAATTGTAATGTTCTAAGCATTCTGGGACTTTGAATCATGTGGTAGCTCCCGCGTTAAAGGTCAAGCAGTGAACTACAGAAATTTTTTAATGAATTTATAAAATAGAAAATATATTTAATTAAAGAACAATTTTTATTATTGTGTACTATGAGTGCAGATTACGTTAAGTAAAAAACCGGAAGCAAAGAATGGATACGGATTTGACCTTAGTGGTACGAATCCCTTTCGCTTGGCACGTGTAACCTGTACGTGGACTGGTTCAGCGCTGGTCAGTTTTTTCTTGAATTAAATTGATCATCTCGACCAGGGACGTAATTTCATAATGGTAAATCGTTTCTAAGCATCTGTACATTAATTATTATATGACTCTGTAATTTTTATTTGAACCTAAATTTGAGTACAAAATTTTAAGTAACTTTTGAGGTTATGAGTCAGTATGGGAGAAACGCTACACCTTTCAAATTCTTTATTGAATATCTAATGATTACATCTTGTTAACTATAGGCGAGCATGAAAGCTGATAATCCTGAAAAACCAGGACAAGAAGTATCTCCATCTGTTCATCGTATCAGAATCACTCTTACGTCCAGGAACGTAAGATCTTTGGAAAAAGGTAATTTCAAATTAGAATGTGGTTTTGCTAACTATCTTTAATAGTTTGTTCAGAGATTAATGTTAGTTGTGTATATTACAGTTTGCTCTGAATTAATCAATGGTGCTAAGAAGCAAAAGCTGAAGGTCAAAGGACCAGTCCGCATGCCGACAAAGATTCTCAGGATCACTACTCGAAAGACTCCTTGTGGTGAAGGATCTAAAACCTGGGATCGCTTCCAGATGCGTATTCATAAAAGAGTGATTGACCTTTATTCACCATCAGAAATTGTGAAGCAAATTACTAGCATTTCTATTGAACCTGGTGTAGAAGTTGAGGTCACCATTGCTAATGAATAAGTTTTAATAAAACGACAAATCTTTAATTGGTCCATTGACTCTTTGAATCCTATCCATTGTCAAATTTAATGTTGAACAATTAAGTAATCATATGCATATTTAAAAATTTTATTAAACATCTCATATTAGATTAATTACGGAGTACCTTACAGTAGAAATTTCAGTAGCAGTTTACTGATTTTTATTTGTAAAATTCTAAGGTGCAACGATAAGCAAATTTATTCGTTAAACAGTAATGCCGTAAACCATCGATGATAGGACTTCCGATCAGAGTATACATTACAGGTTCAGTTTTCTTCATGAGACCCATTTTCATCTTTGGTCTCATTTTCACCTTCTCCTCCACTGAAGTCACCCATTCCCTCGACTTCTTCTTCATCGTCATCACCAGCGACTTCTGCATTTTCCAGTTCTGCACGTTCCATTTGCCTTGCCAGTTCTGCTTCGTCAGTAGCAGTCACAACTTTAGGCTGGAATTAAAAAACACAATTTAATAATATATACGACTAATGTATTTTAAAGTTATTTACAGAATTCGTAACTTACAGCCATTTGCATATTAAATACACCTCCCAATGACGTAATCTTTTCTTGTATTACTTCTATTGCATCATTCAATGCTTTCAAACCATCTTGCTTCTCTGCAGTTGACGTTGTCATTACTATAGAATTAAAACATTTATAAATTGTTAGATCGAAAAAGTAATACACTTCTTCACATATCTCAAAAATAATAAACAGACCGTATAAAGGAGGGGCAATCAAGTTGATCTTTATTGGAATTTCGTACGTTGAAAGGGCTAAACCAGCTTTCAAAGCCGTTTTTACTGCATCAATTCCTTCATAACCATAGCAGGCAACTTCAACATCAGCTCTGATTTTTACAGCCTGAGATGTAAGTTTCCTTTTTATGTTGTTTAACAATACTTCCTTCGTATGTTCATCGAGACCACATTCAGCCAAGATAGAAGGATCCCTAAAAGTATATTAAAGTCAAGAACATCTCATCTAACGAATAAATAAAAAAGTGCCGATTAGCTTAAATTAATGCATACAATACTGATTGTTTAAAAAAGTCATATGCTGATGCTTTTTGCTTCTTATATTTTTCTTCAAAATGCCAAGCTGTCTTCTGATACAGTTCCTCTAACTGTTCATCACTGTCATAATGTAATAATTCTGCAACGTGTCTGAGAATTGAATTTACAGCTTTCGCCTTAGCATACCTTTCTGTACATTTTTCAACATCCTCAGCCGACACTCTTCTTTTACTTAAATCAATGTAACCTGAATGTAGGAAATAGTCACATCCATTATCATTATATACACTCAGCATGTCAACTCAATGTTTTGATGACGAAATAATCATAGGATACCTTTTTCCTTGTCCACACGAATGACTACGACCGGTTCAGTCTTTCCTACTCTAATAAGCTTATTAATAGATCGAATTCTTCTCCTAGAGAGCTCAGACAATAGGATCATGCCCTCGATATTATTATATTCTAATAGATGAACGTATGCACCCATTTCAGCTATACTGCGAACATTCACCATCACGACGTCTTCTATTTCAGGATATTTCCTTTTATAAAATCGACACGATAGTACCATGTTGGCTAAAAGTAAACACGTTAAAGAAATTACCTTAATATATAATCATGTATTGTTCTATTTACCATATTTCATAAGCACGGAAATATTAAATTAAAATAAAATCAATTTACATTACAGATATACATTAGATCGTATCTTGCCCGGGCGCAATTCACTCTATACAAACTTTGATGCCGATATTTGGTTTTAATACAAGCAAGCTAACAAACAGGTTAGATTGAATGAATCTGTGAAAATCGTGCAAGTATGACGTATATGGTTACCTGTATAGTGTCTTATCTGTACCAAGGTAAATAGAGTATATTTACAATATGAACAATTTGTTGAGGTGTATCAAATCCCTTTGAATATGTTGACAATCCACGTGCAATCTTGACTTTACTATGGCAAAGCTATGGAAAGCGGAGATCAGTGGTTCTCAATTTGTGCTTACTTAATTTCGATGCTTTCTATTTTCAAGTGGCGATGGCATAAACTATAAATAAAATAGATAACCTCTCAACCACTGACGATGAATTCCGACGTCTCCTAGCAGTCCCCTAGAAGCCGATTGGAATAGGCCGAAGCGTGCTTCACGGCCATGGACTATAACCCCACAGAATGCTAACGCAGTAAAACATTCCTCCACTTGGAGGCGCCTTAATCAATGCGCTCTGCAGTTCGATTCGCGGCCACAAGAAAGCGCGCGCGAAATCGCTCGATTTGAATGAAACCGCGCAACCGAACCGAGGCGTCTCTTTCACGGGGCTCAGAAGTACGTTACCGTTTTTTAAAGTGATACAATCAATTCAGTCCGAGTAAGACGATTTGATATCCCTTATTTCGAAAATCCAGCAAACGAAAGGCAGTCCAATCCTTTCTAACGGTTTCCAAATGCACGGAAGAGGAAGGAGGTGAGGATTGGCGAGCTTAACGATTTGGCTTACTTTTATTTGGTATTCCGTAAGTTTATAGTATAATGTTCTTTGTTAAGCTTTATGGTTCTTACACACATAGAACGGGGTGTTCTCCGCCCCTTGTCACGATACCTTTAAACGAAATACCCGACCTTGTACGCAAAGTGCAGCGACGGATCACTCGGTGGACGCGGATTCTTTTCGGGAAGCTTCGATCCGAAGAAAATGGCGGACCGACTCGCGAGGGCCGAAGTTACCATCGGCGACCGAACTAGGATCGTCCGAGTGCGCCGAGTAAGTAACCCCGGTGGAGATCTAAAAACAGGTGAGTTCGATCGAGCGATACTAGAAAATCCGAGGGTTAAAACGTTTCCTACGCAAGAGGGGGGCCATTTCCAGGAAAAGATTCCGCGTCCGAGACGAACGTCCACGAGACTTCGAGACACCTCAAAAACGGTGCGGCGAAGTCGATGGATCGAAACGAGGAACGGATATCCATGCTCGACGCGTATTCTCGAGTCGCATCGTCGCGAAGACAATCCCCTGAACAAGTCGGATCTCAAGAGGAGAAATAAAAAACGAGGTCCCTGACGACACGAGTCACACGGAAAGGGCGAAGCGCAGCCCACGTGACGTTCGATCGAACTCATCCGTCGATCGATTGGTATAAAAATCGATCGGAGACTCCGGATCGAATTTCCAAGCCGTCGTCGACGACGGAGCTAATGAAAAAATCCGACGATCCCGAGAAGAATTCGCACGTCACGGAGCGCGGTGTTCGCTCTCTCTCTCTCTTCCTCTCCGAGGCCATCCCCGTGGTTAAACACGAAGCGGACAACGGAATCCGAAATGACCAGCTTGCACGGTGATAACATTGATTTATTATCCCAACTTGTCCGCCTCCTCGTCCTCTCGTGTCTCCCGAACACCCCTCTCCGTTCCGTTTCCCCCCTCCCCCCTTCCCAACCCCCCTCATAGTCGTCTCTCGCGACGTGTCGCGCTCTCAGCATCATCTCGGGGATTCGACGGGTGTGATTTCCGCTAGAAAATCGCAAATGGCTGGCCATAGAGAAATCCGCGAAACGAGGCGTGCCCCTAATAACGAGAGTGCCGTCCGCTCATTCGCCCGCTCGACAGGGCGGTCTCCTTCTCGCTGGTCGCTCGCGCGTGTCCGTCCTCGGCGAGGCCCTCGCCATAAGGGTCTGACTGACTCGGCGAGACCTTCGTCACGTAGGTCTGACTAGTTCGGCGAGGCCTTCGTTACGTAGGTCTGACTAGTTAGGCGAGGCCTTCGTCACGAGGCTTGATCAATGCATCGAGGCCTTCGCCCCTAGGCTTGACTAACTCGGCGAGGCCATCGTCACGTAGGCCCGACTAGTTAGATGAAGCTATCGTTCCCAGGGCTTGACTAACTCGGCAAGGTCTTCGTCACGTAGGCATGACTAATTAGACGAGGCGTTCGTCGCGTAAATCCAACCAATTAGGCAAGGCCATCGTTACGTAGGTCTGACCAGTTTACCGGGTCCTTCGTTACATGGACTTGACCGATTTAGCGAGGCCTTCGTCACGAAGCCCTGGACCAGGCGCGAGCGTCCCCGGACGAGTGGAGGGCCCGGGAGTGGGGGGCGCGGCCGAACGAAGGGCCAACCTTAGGGCGGGCACTTAACCACTACGATAGAGACGTCGGTACAAAAATTCAATGCCGCTACTATCGATATCCTAGACGGTTTATCCTCAAAGGAGCGACGAGGACGCGCGCTCGGTCCCCCGGGGCCGGTCGGGGTTCCCGCCGGCGAGGGGGGACGAATCCGAGGCCGCGACCCTCGAGGACGGACCGCCGATCGCGGTCGACCCCCAGGAGTCGCTGGACGCGGCGCCTCGTCGTCCCGGGCTGGGAGCGCCGGGAAAGGAGGAGTCGCCGTCGCCGGGCTGTCCCCGTCGCCCCTTTCCGTGAACGTCATTCGACCGACGCCGCGACGTCGGTCCAACGAGCCTCTCTCTCTCACTCTCTCTCTTTCTCTCTCTTCCTCTCTCTCTCGCCGGCTACGACGCCCGAGCGAGGCGTCGCTCGGCCGCTCGTTACGCTAGGCGTGTTAGGTTAGGGCGCCGGCATCTAGTCGCGTGTGGCCGGCCCGTGCCTCGGTGAATCTCGAGGCGCTCGGGTACTTCCGTGCGTCTTCGGCCGTGCTCGGCACGGGCGGCCAGACCGGTCCGATGCCTCCTCGCTTTTAACGACCCCGGAAGTTACACGTTAACGTTATCCCTTTAATGCAACACGTACGGCGTTATTTTCCCTTCCTCCTTGGTTTCCCTTTTATCGTTAATTAACGTTACGTTACGTTGTTTTTTTTTTGTTCTTTATATACTAGGTATTTACAGACAATCACATGAATCGTAGATAATCTATGACCTTCTCGCGTCGGTTCTCGCGCGCCGGGGCCGGAAGCCCTCCTCCGCGACTTCCGGCCCGGCGTCCCGATCTCGCACTCCTCCTTTCTCTCTCCTCTCTTCGGAAACTTCTCGAGCGAGCGGGCGTCCGCATTGCGGCGAGCCGAAACTTGTTCAATTCTACTTGGACACGCCGGTAAGCGCGAGGGTGTGTACTTGTGTACGGGTGTACGCGTGTACGAGCGCGCCGCGCGGTGCGTCGACGGCCACCGTTCAAAGTACTCGAGAGACTCGCACGCTTTTAATCCTTAAGGCGATTAGAAAGTGGTATCGGGGTAATCAATCGTTCGTTCGCCAATTTCCCGAATCGGGGGGGCCAATTTCTTCTCAAATCTTCCCACGTTAATAGGGAGGCCCCAAGATAGGTCCCGAGACTCGGGAAATGTCATTTCTTATAGAAAAAATTCTGAAATTATCCATAAACGAATTTTCTTAAAATTCATATCACACAGCCTCCATATTCACGTTGTAAAGTTTCAAACGATTTGATGCATCAAATTACGAGAAAAGAACGATTCACCCCTCAGTTGTCGCTTTCACATCCCCTTAATGCCGTACAAAAATTGGAAATACTCGTCGAACTTGTTGAAACGAATTTGTTAGTTTATAAACACACGTTGTAATCCTGGAGTTCCCTTAGAATGTTATACCTGGATTTACGACGTGTGTTGTAGACTCTACTTGGAGATATGTCGTCAAATTAGTATGTCACGAGTGAATGGAAGGTCTAATTAAGATGTTAAAAAATTGCGATAATTGTCGTTCCTTTCAACGGTGTTTTTTATCAGCCTTATCTAGCGTAGGAAACCTCGAGGACTGGCTCGAGCGAGTCCTCCGCGGTTTCCTCTTATCCTTGTCGACGCACACGTGGCGTCTCGATTATATATATATTCATGTATACATGTATAAAGAAGAAAAGATCGATCGCCTATCGAACAAGCTTCGATTCTTTGCCAACGCGGGACGCGGACGAAGCGGCGCCGTGTCCGCCTGGACGTCGATTTCCGAGGAACGACCTTAATTTCGGATAAGCTCGATTTATCGATTGATTCGCTCCTCGAGAGAGCTCCATCGAGTTTCGAAGACACCGAGAGAGATGACGATCGAATGCCCTAATTAAGGGGGATGTGAAAGTGGCATCCGAGTCAACCGTCCAAGAACCTTTTCTCCAAACTGGAAGGACCGATAAATATAAAAAAAAAATGTATGTAATCAAATTTTAAAAAAATTTGAAATTTCACGGGCGTCGAGACTTCCCTTACAACCTCTACAATCACATTGTGAAGTTTGAACCGATTCGGTACACCCAGTTCGGAGAAAAGTTTCATCGACAAGATCTCCGACGGCACTTTCGCGCCGCCTTAAGACGTCAGGTCGATCGCATCGATTTCAGTCGATTGATTCCATTGATTACGCGTCGAGTGATTAGCACCGTCACCGTCTTCGGCTCTCGAGGAAGCTCCTTCGAGAAGGGGGTCCTCCTCGTCGGGACGAGACCGGACCCGAGTCGATGCTCGGAAAGGCTCGAGAATGGAGTCGCGGGGTCTAACGTCGTCGTCTATAATCACTAACGGCCGGATCGTTGCTGCGTCTCGAGACCGAAGACCGCCTAAGTCCTAGTCGCTACCTCGTCGTTCGTCAGCAACGCGCTGAGCCCCTGAGACCGGAGCGCACGTCGTGGGCAAGTCGACGAATTCAAGCTCGGCCAATTTGCAAAGACAATAGACCCCTCGCACAACGATAAGCATATCGATAAGAATTGGCCGTCCAAGAGGGCGAACATCGACGCCACCTTGAACATCCCGGCCAGTTCCCACGGTTACGCATATTCCAATGCGAGACGTTCACGGAGACCTGAACGCCGGATTCGTCGGGTTGCCGACAACGGGCGCGCCTCGAGGGGTGGCCCAGGGAGAATTTCCGAGGTCCCAGGACTGGCGGTGGAAGGGCGTCGCCAAGGTGGCGGGTCGTCGGGCCCTCGAGGAGGGAAGTCCCCGTTGATGGGCCCGTTGCAGTCCCAGTGCTGCCAAAAGGTCCCCACCGCGTCCTCTCTTCCCCAGCCTCCCCCTTATCTGGGTCTTCCCCTCGACCAGGATGGACAAGGAATGGGAGGAAATTCCTTAGGAAGGGATTCCCCTCCTCCATCGGTGGGAGAACGGCGAGGGAACTCTGGCGGCACTGGTCGGTCCTGTTGGGTCCTTTCGGGTCCTCTTGGGTCCTCTTGGGTCCATTCGGATCTAATCGGATCCATGCGGTTCCTCTTGGCTCCTTTTGGGTCCATTTGGGTCCTCTCGGTCCCCTTACCGTAGAAGGTGGCCGGGTCGGGGCCCACTCCTTCGGGCGGAGCCCTATCGAGCGGCCGCGCCGCCCGATCGGGCCAGGACGTGGGTCAGGGCGTGGGCCAGGAAGGCGGCGGCGAGCAGCAGGGTGAGCGCCAGCAATCTCTCCCCGCGGCTCGACGAGAGCGCCACGGCGCCCCCGAGCCACCACAGAGCGCGGCTCCCGCCCTGCGACGAGCCGATCCCGCGCTGGATCGCGGCTGGATGTTCTCCTGAAATGTTTATTAATTTTTAATATCTCCATCGCTTTCATCGTTAATTATTTTTATCCTTTTCCAAAGGAACCTCGTTACCGTTGAGCACGTGGAGCTGCACGCTGGCGCTATCCAGGTTGCTGGGACTGCAGGTGTAGTTCCCCGAGTCCTCCCTCTGGGCGTTATGGATGACGAGACTGCTGACGGTGTCGCCGTTGGCCCGCTCCGTCCTGATCTCCCGCTTGCCCTTTCCCTCCTCGTACTGGAGCACCCGCTCGTCGAAGTGGTACCAGAACACGTAAAAAGGGCCCTCGAGGGACTGCTTGATGACGCACTTCAGGGTCACCGTGCTGCCCGTCTTGACGAACATGTCGCGGTCACCCACGATCTCGATCTTTGGCACTGCGAGGTACCCGCGAGGTCGGTTTACTCTCTTACTGTACTCTACTATACTTAAGGTGACATGAAAGTACCGCTAATGAAGCTTAGTTAATGAAATTTCAATTTTTGCTTAATTTGTTTATCGACGTTATAGAAGAAAAGAAAAATGAAATTTCATGGGGGTAGGGACCTTAATCATAGACTCCGTATTCACATTGTAAAGGTTGAAACGATTAGGTATACCCGGGTCGGAGATAAGTTTCATGAACGATCGATTCCTAGGGTGCCACTTTCGTATCCCCTTAAGGTACAAACGGAGTCCGAGGTCTTACCGACGACGATGAGCTTGATGATGTGACTCCTTTTAGGCTCGGTCGAGATTTGGCACTCGTACTCGCCCTCGTCCCGCGCCTGGACGTACTTGACCTGCAGCGTCCACGTCTCCACGTTGTCGACGAACATGGCCTGGAACCTCTCGTCGGCGATGAACATGGTCCTGTCCACCGAGAGGATGTGCGAGTCCCTCATCCTAATCCATGAGACCTTCGGAAACCAACGACGCTGTTACTCGATGTACCTTTCATGGAAGGATTATCCCTACGAGCTCGATCACGTAGAGCGTTTTCGAAATTATTTCCACCGTGGCTTTGATATGCAGGGTGCAACCGAGTTCATGGCCGTGGTTTGCTCAACCTCGTTGAAAATGGAGTCGAAAAGTCCTGTAGACCTTCCCTCTACCGTCTATACCTTGCTTGTAATAATTAATTGAAAACTGGCCGACCGGGTGCGTCGGTTAGCTAAACGCGATTAACGAGAATCAGCTCTCTGCCGCGCAGAGGCAGGATGACTCGGTCGGTCATTTTTCAATGAATTATTAATTACGGGCAAACCGTGTTCTGAAAAAAAAAAAATTGCACACGACTTTTCGACCCCATTTTCATCGAGAATAGTGATGTGCAAACTCTGGACGCGAGTTTAGGTCCATTATCTCGCAATAACGCATTTTGTGAACCTTAGCCTAACCCAGCCATTTCGTTTCAGTATGTTCGAGACTATTGCTTACGAGTTTGCCCGTCTTCGTGGACCTCTCCGAGGCCAAGGGAACGCCCGGGAGCTTCGAAGGAGCTGCACAGGCACGCGATCCATGACCCGCCACGCGAGTAGGTACATTTAATTAGAGGCGATACTATCGGCAGGGCGTCGAGTGCCCCGGTTAATTATTCCAAGTCGCGTGTCTCCTGGCGATTCGTTAAGCCCCTCGAAGGAGGGGTCGATGTCTATCGAGAGGGCGAGTCAAAGGACAGCGTGCGTCCCTTCGAGGAGCCCCGAGTCCACCTTGAAGACGAACTGCAAATCGCCCAAGGAATGACCCGATTCTAGACATCCTGGACGGCAATATCCTGGATGAAGGTTCTGTACCAGGCGACATCTTCGATGCAGTTCCTGTACCGGCGATGTACTACCACGTGACCCTGGCGACCCGGGGGACCTTTCACGGTCCACGAGAGGACCCCTCGAGACGGGATGAATCCCTTATCTCTTATCGCGAGGGTCGTCGTGCCTCCTCAACTGGGAGAGCAGAGAGATGGGAGGAAGGTTCAAGGTGCAGCCCTCTCGAGGCTCCGTTATCACTGGCGATCCGGGACCACTGTTATCGGCAAACTATCCGGGGACACTTACGGATTTGTTTCCAAGCTGGCGGACTTTGCAAGGCAGATAGGCGTGGGTGCCTAGCTGGGCCGTGACGTTCGTCGGGTTGTGGTCGAAATAGGGCCCCGTGTAGAGTCCGTTGAACCTCTTCACCAACGAGTGCGACCTGGTGCTCACCCCTGCAATCGAGAGAGGGAGAGAGAGAGAGACACCCCGATGAGCCCGACGCTCCCCGCGGATCGATCGAGCGAGTTTTAAGGGTCGCGTAAATCCGAGCTTTCGTCAAAAGCGGAGCCATTCGCGAGTCCTAAGGGGTCCATTCCGGGTGCGAGCCCCGAATCCGAGCTTACCGGGACTTAACGTTCTTATTCGCGACAAAGGACGCCATTTTCCGCTGCGATTTCCGTAGAATTGGTCCTGCCGAAAAAGGCACTTTTCCCGAAATTCGGCATCCGCATCGGATCCCATGATAATGGCACATTGGACGGATCGAAGCAACAAGTCGATCGCGATTAATGGGACCGACTTTAACGCGTGCCTTATCACGGGGCCTGTGATAAGGGGGACGACGGACATAGCTCGAAGGCTTGAATTTCCCCGAGAAATGTGATAAAGAAACTGGAGAATCGATCTGGCCGAGTCCAGCCTTCCCTGGGGAACGTTTCGAGGGTGCCGTGAGAGCATCCTAGGGGAGGAATCGCTCGTTCGATTTCACCGAGACGTTTTCTCTTCTTTCCAGAATCGCCAGTCCGGAAAGAGGATGGCCGGATTAAAGTGCATCGCACTCCGCCATCGATCAGCACCCCAGGACCGATTTCGCCCGCGAGGGTTGCGCCACCCTGAAGAGCTTGCCTGAAGAGAGAGAGGAGCTCTTTAAGGCAGGGGCTAATGACGTGAAAAAAGGTCGATCCAGGCCTTATAATCCTGGTCGGGCAAAAAGTGCAAGTGCAAGACTGACAATGAGTCATTTTGCTGATCACTGTCTAAGGTCCACGAGCATAAGGAATTACGCCCACCACGAAGGACATTGTACCGTCAGGTATGCGTAATGAAGATACACTGCAAGGTGAATTAATAGTAAATTAAGGAGAGGCTTCCTGCCCAGCGTCATCGGAAATTGCGGCAATCACTTCAGGGATTCGTAGATCGTATGGCTTAGAGGAGTCCTCCCTTATTTTTGGAGGGATGCCGACTTCTTTGTCAGCGACCTCCGAAATCGCGATGATAACTAAATGATGCTACCATAAGGAGACCTCCCTTAGAGAGCCGTCGACTTCCTGGTCAGCGGCCTCTAAGATCGTGGGAATCGTTGATAGCGACGCATCGACCCGTGGCCAAGACGGGGTTGACTTCCTCAGGTGCCGGCCGGCCAAGGGGGGTTAATTATTATCGACTTCGTCGGAATCATCGAGACCCCAGGTACGGGGTCGGGAGCGATCGATGGGAATATTTAGGTGAACGCCTCGACGCGAACCGCGGGGGTGGCGGGGGCGGCCCGGGGCGGGGCGGGGCGCGGAGGGTTAATTCCTCGCCCCCTTGACCGTCGTCCACCTCGAGTCAGGGGTCGCTAACACGGATCCGTTCCTTCCACAGGAAGGAGTTCCTCCCCCTTTCCAAAAGTTCGAAGAAACCGCCACCTTCGCCCGGCACCCCGATGACGATCCACCCATTCCTGGAGAACTGCACATCTCTAGATCTCCGGATCTCCGAGGATTCCCGGAAATCCTCACCTGCAAGGATCACGAGCTCCGACTCTCCTAAGTCCCCATCCTCAGGGGGTGGAGGGGGAGTGCATCGACGCACCCCTAATTTCGGCGCTGACCCACTTAACTCGGCGCGGCCGATGAATTAGGGCGGCGGGTGGGAGAAAAGCGGAAGCGACCTAGGCTAGGTCGGAGGTCGGCCGATAATAGCGATACCGGGGCCTTCCTGGGGGGTAGTCCGGTCGCGAGGGGGGCGGCCCCAGGCCGCGGTCGGCCGGCCAGTCCCCCAGGAGCTCCCCCTGGGCGAGATCCCGCTCGATCGATCGTCGCGCCGATCTCGGCCAAGAGCGCCCTCCGGCGCCCGGGCGAGGTGGGGGTGGGTCAGGGGGTGAGGGGGGCCCGCCCTTACCGGTGATGCCCAGCAGTATCCAGCAGACGAGGCACAGGACGTAGTAGTTGACGTGGGAGGAGGCCCTCATCTTGGCCTAGCTCGGGGACCGGGCCGCTGGCATGACCTCCGGCCTCCCCTACGGCGCGGGCCCGTCTGACGGCATCCCGGCCCGCGCCACTCGCCCTGGCCCTCCACTCGCGCTCTCTCTCTCTATCTCGATCGCCTTCCCCGCGTCCCCCGCGGGCCCTTCGGCCAGTCGCGCTCTCGTCGAGCGAGGCGCGCGCGAGTCTCGCGAGCCGAGGGTCGCTCTCGTCCCGCCGGCGCCCGGGCGAAGCTCCGAACTGCCGGGACGCGACGGCACTCTCGCCCGGCCGGGCGGCGCGCATGCGCGGCCGCGCTCCTTCTTCTCCTTCGCCTTGCCCGCGCGCCCCGCCCCGCCCCACCAGTCGCGGCGGGGAAGGCGCCCCGGAAGGAGGGACGCGCCGAGCCGAGCCGCGGGCGAGCGAGCCCGTCGGATTTTCGGCCCGCCCGACTTCGCCGGCTCCTGGGGAAGATCTTGCCGCGCTCGATACTCCCGATTCCCACGGAAAAACGGAGCCGTTTTCCCGACCCGGCGGAGGCACCCCTCCCTAACCCCCTGGGTACCGGTCGCGCTCTCCGAATTAATTCGATCAATGCGCTCCCCCCGCTTTAAGGGAGAGATCCGATTCGAAAACACTTCCGAGACTCCTGGTGATCCTCGGAATTACTCCCTACGAATTAACGCGCGGACCTCTCCCGCGTGCCGATGGTATGGCTCAACCCCGATGTCGAACTCGCGGAAGGTCTAAGCCATCCCTGGCGAAGCTGACCCGGAGATTTCCCTCCTGGGGGATATTTCAATTACCCGGATTCCAAAGAGCGACCTCTCCGAAAGCGAGGTGTCGGGGTAATTAGAGCGTTGCGTTCCCGCGGAGTTATCCGGATAATTCGATGACGCGTTACACGGAAAGTTTTGGAGCCCCCGCCCCTCATCCCCTCCCAAGGGAAAATAAGCTCGTTCCGGAAGAACCGCGACCCAGGACGGGGAATATTTCCTCCCCTTTCCCTTACACTTAACGCTTATTCCTGATGGGTCTAAAAACGCACCTGCGTAGCTATAAATCGTCGCGACTAATTCCTCGAGCCGATCCGTGCGGTTCAACTCACGATCTTCTTTTTATTCAGCTGGGAGCTCAACGGAACTAATGTTCTACTATATTTGAGAAAAACAGCTGATTTGAGCTTTTCGGGAGAAGGGAGCAATTCGAGCTATTTTCGCAGTTAATTGAATAATGATGAATGTATTTGGCTAAATTTTTGTAAAACGGTGTGTTTTAAGGGGATTTTCTTGTTATATGTCCCCTTTCTTCGCCCCCCTCGTCGACCCTGAAAGCTCCTCTAATCTCTGATCGCGCCGGAGAGTCGACGGAAGGGCCGATCGATCGCGATTGGCTCCAGACTCTTTCTGTCTCTCTTTCTCTCCTTCGTCCCCCGGGATCCTCCGCAAGAATCGGTCCTTTTTATCCCGAAGTCGCCCTTATCCCTGCCACGGTGGCCCGAGCCCGCGGAAAAATAAATCGAGCCCGCCGACGGGACCGGGATTTATTCCTTCCGGTTCTTTCCGCGCCCTCCAGTGACGTCAGGCTCGCGACGCTAGCGCTGTCTCGCTCGCTCGCCCGCTACGCCCCCACGCGCCCTCTCTCTCGCTCCCACGTGGCGGCCCGAGGTGAGGGCGAACCCGGCCGAGTGGACGCGTCCTGTCGCAGACTCCTGAGGAGTCTCCTCTCGTTTTCCATTTTTTATGGGCATCTTCCTCGGACCTGGCATGGTAACTTCAATCGGTACTTAAGGCCTTGCGTCATGAGGAATCGGTATAAAAAAATAAATATCGACGTCGTTAGGGAGAAACTTGCTCTTTTTGGAGCAGGTGCGAGAGGGGCGATTCGTAATAGACTGTAGTAAGGTGCCTCGTGACGTTCGACCATAAAGTTAAGTGCAAATTGTGCAAAATCTGCGCAATTAGATCCTGGAGAAAATAGATAAAATTGTAATCAAGTCTCATTGATGAGTCTTCAATGGGATGCTTCACTTCGATTTTAATTAGGAACGCGGAAGGGATGATCGTCAGTGTTTCTGATTTTTTCTTTTCTTTCCTTTCCCTGTTTCGAAAAATCAACTTCCTGGGCAGGAAGGAAAGAACGAATTAGCGACCCTTCTGGAGATCTTCTGTGGCGATACTTTAATTAGTTCGCCGTCTCGCTGCAAGACTTGGCAATTCGCGGATCGATTAATCGACCGGCGACACGCAAGGCTCTCGTTACCCGGAACCGGGTCCTGATTTGCGGGTCGAGAGAGAATTTCGGGCTGGTAAGGAGTCTAGGAAGGCTCGAGGATCCTGGAAACGGTCTCGAAGGACGTTTTCGAGCTCCCGTTCTGCCGAGATTCCATTTTTTGGCAGCCCTAAGTCGAGGGTGGTCGACTTCCGGCCCGGTCACGAAACAATCTCCTCGCGTCCGGTAACCCGATGCCGGTGCCGGTGGTCGTCGGAAGCGCAATCCGGAAACCGGAAGTCGGAGGGGGTGCGACCCTCCAGGACTGGAAGGGCCGAGCACGCACCTGGGGGAGGAAATAAAAAATTCGGGAGGATTTCTTCCCGCCACTCTTGGTTCCGGGACGTGATGGCATTTTCGGGAAATCGGGGAATTCGGAGAAAATCGAGTCATCCGGTGACGAGGCGAGAAAACGCCCTTCCTTGATTTTCTTACTTTAACCCTTTAACCGGGGACACGTGGGCTCAGTGACCCGGCCATAAATTCATATATTTTTTATCGGTATCATTCGGTTATCGTGCAACGCTTAATCTCCTTGAAAGGTTTAATTTTCGTACGGTTTAGGTATTATTTTCTAATTTAACGCTTCATCTTATACCCGAGACATTGTGGTGGTCTCTGCGACCACGTGTCTGTTGGTACCGATAGGATGCTGACATAACAAGTGTATTTTTTCAGGGTTAAGGGTCTTCCTTCCATCCGTAAATTATATTTGTCAAGGAGAGCTTCTCCGAGTATGAATCAATCCGAGACCACGTGTCCATGTTCCCTATATTTACCCGGCATGTCTGTTTTTCAGGGTTAAGGATCTTCGGGATCTTCCTCCCATCCGCAGCAGATTATTCATCAAGGGGAGCGTCTACGCGATCGACTCGGCGCACGGAGAAACCGCGGCGTTATCCCCGCGAATCATCCTCCCGGATATCCTGACAAATCTAGCATTAATCCCCGCGACATCGGGCGACTCGAGTTAGGGAGCCTCCGACTTCGATCATCCTAACCACTGGATCTCCCGGCCGTAAATCTCTCCAGGATTTACTCCCCCAAGGGACGATTAGGTCGGGTGCTCGTCTTGCAAATGGTGCCCCATGGCGGGGTCGATCTCCACGTCCAGGTAGATAAAAAAATACATCCAAGAGCCTTAAAGAAAAAAAAAATTCTAATTCCCATAATTAATACTACTCCCAGAACCTAAGTTCCACGTCGCGGTAAAAAAAGAAAAAAAAAAAGAAAATCCTTAAGACTTGGAAAGAAATTCAATGAATCTAATTTCCATAATTAATACCTTCCTAGGACCCAAGTTCTTCCCCAGACGGGATGCAGGACTCGCAGGCTACTTATCAGGCCTTATCAAGAGCCGCGGTGCGTTATCACCCCATCGAGGTCCGAGCGATCGATCAAATCCGAGAAAAGCGGGAAGAGGAACGTCTCAGGTAGTATTCGAATGAGTTTTCTATTGTCCCCTTTCCCCCATTCTCGGGGGAAATGTAGGCCAGTCGACAAGGATGGTCTCCGAGAGAGGGAGAGACGGAGATAGAAAGAGAGATAGGCCGATAGGAATCCATCGGGTGCATAAAGGAAAGGTGCCCCGTTACAAAATCCCTTGCTAAATCGAGTACCCTCCCCTTCTGAATCGCAGCCCCTCTTAAGAATTTCGCAACTTCGCGAGTCGCTCGAAAATTTCACATCTCCGGGGGATGCGGTCGAGATAAAAGCACCGGAGGCGGGATTTCCGCGTTGGTTTCCTTCCCGGCGATATCGGGCCCGTTTTACGCGCCCTAAGTGGAAGCTTATTGCGGGTTGCGCAAACTTCCCCGGGGGGAGAGAACTTTTGGAAAATCGCGCTTCCGCGAAAGGCTTTCCCGCCCCCCGGGGTTTCCCTCTCTTCCCTCTCTCTTTCTCATTATTCCGGCGTCCTATCGATCGAAGCGTTCCGTTTCGTTCGCTTGTTACGTTCGATGCAGGTGCATCCACCTCTTCTCTGCGCCACTTTTCCCTCTTGGTTTCCCTATCTAGACCTATATGGACCCCGAGGGACGCGTCGTGCTTCAAGGGACCCCCTCCCCATAAAAAAGGAGAAGATGGCGGCTTCTAAGGCCAGTGTCACCCCATGCGTTTCCACCGGACCGACGAAACCCAGTTTCCCTGGAACAGTCAGATCGAGGGGCTATTTACTCGGTAATCAGGGGAAATTACTTCCTCCTTTGAGACGCCACGTGGTAAACAACAAAGCAATGCGGTAACAAATTACGCGTGATTTTCAGAACTAAAATCCATGATTTCCTTTTTTGAGAACCGATCGCCTTTGACCTCGTGTGATAAGCAACGTGGTTCGATAACAAATGACGTTCGGCTTTAAGACTGTGACGTTGTTTCAAAGACGCGCGTCGACGGTGGGTTATTTTCTTATTTGCCAATCCTCCACGAGGAGGCCGATTCCTGGGGTTCGGAATTCGCGCTATTTACGGGTAGGCACCGAGGGTGGTCGGGGCCGATTGACGTTTACGGACTCCTCGTTAACGAAATGCCACCCCCGGGTCGTCATCCTCGAATCCAGAGGCCGCAAACAAGGGCGGCTTCTTTAACGAGGTCCTCTTAAAGTATTCAGCACCCTTTTTACGGGGTGCGGGGGGGGGGGCGGGAAGCTCGAATTGAAATCCCATCGATTCCCGATCGAGTCTCCCGAGTCCCATTGGCGCCCGCGTTATCTTTTATTTATCGTTTATTTATCGGGGACTCCTCTCTCCCTCTATCGCGAAGGGTTGCAAAAGCGGTCGACTCGAGGGTGGCGCGTGTCGACTCGGGGCTCGATTCGGCACGTGCGGGAACGACCCTCGAATGTCGCGTAAAAGTCCCGGGGAAGGAGCCCAGGTTTCCGCGGGGGGAATAAAACGCCCCGCTAAGCGGGGGTGGACGCGCCCCCCGGGACCGACCGCCCCTAACGAGGTTTTCGGGGGCGCCGACGCCTCGAAGGGCGCGAAGGACTCCTCTTCCGGGTACCAAGGTATCGCCGATTCGCCCTTAAGCCTTAGCACCTCGGATGAGTACCCGGAAGGGATTCCGGAAACCCCGGAACTCAAGAAATCCCCTATCGAGTTATATACTCCAGGGAATTATTAACAGGTTGTCTCCGTTTCAGCCAAGGATCGGTCGCGGGGGTCCTTGGAGCGAATACAAGAAAAAGAGAAGGAGACGTCCCTCCACTTTCAAGGCCCGACCCTGGACCTCGATCGTACAAGGTACCGTTCCATTACCCCTTTCCAATTTTTATCTCGCACCTTGGCGAGCATTTCGAAAGGGATGGATGGTCCTTCCACCCCTGAGAGGGTCTGGAGGTAAAATCAAGGGCAAGCTTTTACTCCAGGGTTCGGGGGATGTTTCTACTTTCCGCAATCTTGGACCTGAAGTAGACCTCGATTCGCGTCGAATAGGAGGCGAAAGGGTGAAAGTAGGGCGCAAGGGGGCGAGTCTTTTAGCCCGTGCTCAAAGGAAAGCCGAAATTTCGGCTCGGTTGAGCCACTTTGAGGTTAGGTTGGCGCCGGTCAGTTCCGATCGGGGGGTAACGCGGGGTATCTCCGGGAGGCCCGGGTGTCGGAAGTTCGGCACTCGAGAGTAGTTAGGCGGCGGGCGTGGGGGCGCGAGGAGTGACGCGCTCTCTCCCGGTCGCAATTAGTTTGCGGCTGGCTTCACCGGGCCGTCTCTCCCCGGCTCGGGAGGGAAAGAGTGCCGCGCCGGGGTGGCCGGGAAGAGGCCGAGGAGACGCCGGAGGGAAGAGCCCCGGCTGCTGGCTGGTTGCCTAGCCACCCCCGAAGGAGCGAGCGGCGCGCGCGGCGGCCGCGAGGCGCGAACCTCGGCCGCGTTTAATGGGTGACTTCCCCGGGCCTGGGAGCTCGGAGGATCGAAAGATCCCTTAAAAACCTACGTATATTTCGTCAATCTTCGATGGATCTCCTCTACGATACAGGGGATTTTTTCATCTTTGGAAAACCTCGAAAAATACCGGTTCCACGGGTAATAGGAAGAACTTTCCATCCCCGGAAATCGACAAATACGAAGCTACTGGCTAGTTGCCTCGATAAAGCGAACAGCGCACGCGCGGGTGCGGCGCGGCAGCCGCGAGGTGCAAACCTCGGATGCGTTTAATGGGCGACATCCCCGGGCCTGGACGCCTGGATGGAAGGGTCGGTAAAAAAAAAAAACCAGAAATGTTTAGAAACACCCACTCTATGGCGCAGGAAAATTGTCAAACCTCGAGAAATAACAGCCCTACCCACGGGGAAAATTTCCACTCTTGGAGATAGATAAAAAAAATCACGAGATCCACGCTCGGACCTAGGATTTTTTACCCTTCCCTCTCAGCGCATTTGGCGTCCCGATGCAAGTTGACGGGAAAATTATGGTAATGAGAAAATTCGGTAGCAGTTAAAAAGGGTTAAAAATATCTCGCTGCAAGGCATGTTCATCGCCTAGGATGAAATACTGTCGAAAAATTCCATTTTCAAGATTCACGCGAGATGAGCGCAGCTTCCGGAGCCAGAGTCCGGTCAGCTGATATTCTCGGCGCATCTCGGAGGCCCTCGCGAGCCTAGAAAACCGTATCTCGGGGAATCGGGCCGGACTTATTGATCCGCGGGATGTAAATTCTTTTTGCAGGGAGGTATCGATGAGGCCCGGATTTAATCCGCGCCATGTAAACGAATCGACTCTCGGGTGGACGTCCGACCCAAGGTTCGACCGAGGAGGCGCGACCTTCGACCCCGTCGAGACGAAGTCGGCGAGGACGCGCGACGAGGGCGTCCTGGAGGACGTCTCTCTCCCTCTGGCGGTCCATCGGTGAGACCCGTTTCGGGCGGTCGCGTCATCGACCCGAGGACGCGCAGGCGTATCCACCTGGCCCGGTCCTGGCATCGATTCCGGATTTCCACGACGACGACGACGCCGTCGACGACCAGTCCCGAGCCAGGGTAACCCTGGAGCGTTGCGTCGGCCGCACCTCCTAGCTCCATCTCGACCGAGGATGTTAATGGCCTTCACGGATACCCCGCGTTAAGGTGTCATTAAAGGGTCATTCCGATATATACCAAAACATTTATAAATAATTACCCAAATTGGGTGCACCGAATCATTCGAAACCTTAAGACGTGATTATGGAGGTCCTAATAAAGATCTTAAAACTCATGAAATTTCATTTTTCGAAAGAATAACAAAAAAATTTGGGTCATGTAAGGAAAAATACCCAAATTTGTTTCCAATTATGAAATTTCATGCGCTTCAAGACCTTCATTAGAACCTCCATAGCAATTAATTACATAGCACTTTCATAACACCTTAAGGCCGCAACCCCTTAACATCCGGTGTCACACCTCGCGCATCGTGCCGACGCGTCGAGGAGAAGTAATCAAAACCGCGGCGGAAATGACGCACGAGGTCAAGCGCGGTTTCGATTGGTTAGACATCCTCGCCGCGTCGACGCGCCGCGCTCAGTAGGACTGCGACCTTACGAAGGGTGACAAAATGGCTCGGCAGGGTCAAGGGGTGCAAGACGGGTGGCCTCGTCGTCAACGTCCACAGTGCTGTACATAATATTTCATTTTGCCTTACAAATATTATATAAAATTACAGTCGATCACGGAGAGTCCTCTCGCTCGCTCGGCCACATTCTGCGCATACGGCGACGCACTCGCTGCGGGAACGTAGCAATTGGTGAACGCAACGACGGGAGAAAGCGCAACTAGAGCCACGGCGTCCGTCGACGGTCGTCCCTCCTCCGTCGACCACTTCCCCCGATATATCGACATTTCGAGTATTCTCGATAATTCTCTCCTCCGGAACAACTCTGGAGATATAATGACAGATCCTCGCGATAAATCAGCACGACTCGACCCAATCCGTAGATATGAACAACTAATGAAAAATCGCCAGGACATATCGCTCCCCGGGCAGCCGCCATTTTGAATTTCCCCCGTCCGACCCTGATCGCCCTTTTCCCGTCACTATTCGAACCCTTTTCTTTCTAGATCTCCAAGAGAAGCGGAAGAAGAGTCAAGAAAGAACCATCGCCAGGAGAGGGCGGTCGTCAGCGACCCCCGGGATGCCCCACCGGGACTCGAGACGATATCTCGGCGATGCCTCAAGAGGGGCGACGTCGACGCAGCGAAGAACCGCAACGCCGTGCCGTGGCGATAACGACGGCGGCGCGGTAAACGGTAAACGCCGTTCAGGATGACGTAAAAAAAGGAGGATAAAAGGGAGGAGAGAAAAAAAGAAGAATAAAATAGAGGGGTAAAAAGGAAACGGAACCAAGCTCGGCTCCTAGGCTGTCTCTCTCCCTCCCCCGGCCAGGGTCCGCGGGGGGTCGAAGGAAAGCGAGAGAAGTCGCGATCGGAAGACGAAGAAGAGGGAAGGCCCCTCTCCTCTCGGCTCCTCGAGGAGCGTCGTAAAAAGCCGCCGTAAAAACCGGCGTAAAAAGCCTCGGACCCCGTCTCGCTCCCGAGCTTTCCCTCTCGCTTCCCTTTAAAACCGGCCGAAAAGTTCAACACCTACGTATGCTACACCCACGTAACGCTCTGGCCTGTATACATGCATACTCACATCAATATATGTATAATGTATGTATATATGTATTCATGTATGTATACAGTTCGGTAACACGCACACGCACTCGTCTCGCACCCCCTTCCTCTTTCTCTCTCTCTCACTCTCGTTCACGCTCTCCTTCGCGTCGAAGAAAAATAACGGTTGTATATAGATCTGCGTATATGCGTACACGTATATGCAGGTATATGTATATATGTGTACGTATATATATAGAGGTCTGCTTTTCCTTAAGTGTACACTATATATAAGATATACATATATAGTCGCGCTTTTCGGGCCCACGCCAAGAGACGCGAACGGGAAGAGCGCGAGCGTCGCGACGTCCCGCGGGATCCGCCGCGGTCTCTCCCTCGGGTAGATTCGATTCGCGATTCCCCCGGGAATCGAGTGCCCGGACCCTCCCCCTCCCCCTTCCACCCTTCTCAACCCTCTACCCTTCCCGTCCGGGACTCCTCCCCGCGGATCCGCGAACGGTGCGGCGCGAACCGGACCCGAAATCCGCGACTCGTCCGATACGAGCGGATTTGACGCGGATATCGAGCCACGAACAATTCTCGTGGATTTATCGCGGATATCGAGCCCCGAAAATTTATCGCGGATTTATCGTGGGTACCGAGTCACGGAAATTTAAAGCGGATGTTGAAACCCGCTTATTTATCGCGGATGTTGAAACTCCCGGATTTATCGCGGATGGCGCAACTCGCGGATTCATCGTGGAAATCAAGACTCGCGGATTTGGTCGTGGATCGTGGAACCTCGCGAGTTTAGCCGTAAACTGTGAAACCTCGGGAATTTATCCGCAAACCGTGAAACCTCGCGAATTTAGCCGTAAATCGTGAAACCTCGCGGAATTAATCGCAGATCGTGAAACCTTGCGAATTTAGCCCTTAAATCGTGACGCCTTGGGAATTTAATCGGAGACCATGAAACCTCGCGAATTAATCGGCGATATCGAGACTCTTCGATTTATCGCGACATCCGGCCGCACCGACCGCGAGCGGGTCTCGCGCGCGCGACAGAAGCGTATGCGTTCGTAACGACGGGTTTACAGGTTTTAATAGCGGTTTTCCATTAGCGCTTAAATATTCTGCCCTTAAGATACGCGAGTACACCTCGACAACGAGTAATATCTGGCTGGTTAATCTAAGCAGGGCCCCGACTCGGCCTTAGATCCTCGGCGCCGAAGAGTCGGCCCTCTTCGGCTCCATCCTTAGGAGTGTCCCGCGAAGAAAAGGACTCGACCTCGAGGACCATTTCCTTCATCCGACTCGTTTTGTTGACGTTATCGATAAAACGCGCCTCCCTCTCGAGAGGCTCCCCGGATTCGCGTTATCCAAGCCCTCGACCTCGGCTTATCTATCACCCGAACTGAAAGACGCGGTAAACGCACCGCCGACGCACTCATTTACACGTATATATATATTCTTTGCTTTCTTCAATATTTTATATATATATATAAAATATATATATAAAACAATGTAAAGCATAAAAGAATCCCTGTTCGCCATGTCGATCGCGCCCGTCTCGAAGTCCGAGACGAGCTAAAAGAAGACCGCGCCCTGGACCGCCGTAACCCGCAACGCACGAGGAAGTTGGACTAAAAAAGAGAGTTTCTTGACTCCGTCGTGTGTAAAAAAATAAAGAAGAAAGAGAAGAAACTGCGAGAATAACGAGGGAAAGCCCGAAGGCACCGGTAGACCTTCCAGTGGGTCTAACCGGTGCCTTCTTCAGGGCGACGAGCGATACCGGTGTCTCGGTCTTGCGTATCTCTTATCTCACACTTTTCCCCCGTTCTATATTTTTTACACGTATTCGCGCATTGTTCGCGATCTTTTCGCGGTTTCACAAGACGAAGATCAAAGCCGATTTCGCTCGTCCCCTCTTCCTCCCCCGTATTTTCGGGAAGGACGAGGCGAGACGTCGCTTCCCCTGGTTATCGCTCTAACCGAACCTTATCAATGGTCGTCCCGTCTTCGAGTAGGCCTGCAAATCGCCGAGGATAAAAATAGGAGGGCCGGTCCAAGCGGCGGCATTAAAAAGCAGACAGAACAATCAGTCGAATCGCGTCGGGAACAAAGAGGAAGTCGACTCGGCGGTAAACGGAAGACGATTCTTTGCCAGCTCGTCGATTTGCACCGGGTTAACATACCGCGAGATAATCAATTACCGCGGGTCGATAATTAATACAGGGTGTAACGCTCGCCGTAGATCGAGTCGGTCCCCCTCCGACCGCCATATCTCGAGGGTTCATCGTCGAGCTTATCAGCGCCGTCGCCGTGATAGCAGAGGGAGACAACGCTCGCAGCCTCTCGGATGCGATTCTCCGGAATCGCTCTACAGAAGTATCCGGGCCTTAGTTGCGCAGAAACGAACGGTATCGAGGTTGAACTTCCCCGTGAAAAAGAATTGCCAACCGATCGTCCCCACCTAGAAATATCGGAGTAATTCCGAGCTTCGATCCGGAATAATTTCAACCACTGAGGAGATAAGATTATCGGCTAAAAAGTGCACACAAGTCGATGCGGTTCGTCTCTGACGTGATTACGCGAAGAACTGGGATGGGAACTTAAAATAGATATAAAAGGCGAGCGAGGGGATAGAAACTAAATTAAAAAAGTAGAATCGGTTTCCCTGGTAAAAAAAGAGGAAAAAAAAAAATGAAACATAGATGTCGGTCCTGGACGAGCGTAAAACCGAGGCTCTCTAGGGACGCCTTAAATAAAAATAGAAATATATATATATATAAAAAGAAAGAACCGTGTGATGGACTCGATAAACGCCGATTAACGGTGATAAGGCGCACGTATACGCGGAGAGACTTCCCAGAGAGTAATGATTAGCGATTTACGACGTACGCGCAAATGATAGTAATTAATAATCTTGGTAACCACTTAAGTCGCGCTCCTCCCTCGTCCTATCCGTCCTCCGACTCCCTCTCTCATAAATGTAACAATAATAACAGAACATTACGGGGTATCTATTAAAATATTTACACGGTGTATATATTTTGGTTTCTCGCGTTAATTAACCGCTTAGGAGCTACCGACTCGGGAGAATCTCGTCGTTCGATTGCGTTGGACCATTTTATCCCGTTTAAATTCGCTTTTTCCCTCCCTGAGTCGCCCGTGCTTTCGTCCCTCGTCTCTGGTGCCATAAAACTTACACGAATAGATTTCTAAAACGGAGGAAGAACTAAGATTCATCGCGCGCGAGAAGGGAGAAAAAAAAACAAGGAGGGAGAGAGAGAGGGAGACAGAGAGAGAAATAGAAAAGAAAAAGCGATATTTCTGAACCAGCTTAAACGCGTAAAATAAAAAAAAAAAAAGAAAAGAAAAGGGGAATCGAGGAACCAGAAAAAGGAGACTCTTATCAGACATTCTATCGGTCGCTAAATCATAAACGGAATCATGATTAAGCAGTCGATCAAGGAATCGCGCAGAAAACTTTTGTGCCAGCTCGATTTCACTCGAGGATCCTTGGATCAAGAGAACTAGAAAAAAAAGAGATTAAAAGAAAAATAGAATATCGACGAGAGACTCGACGAGTCGCCGGAAGTCGAGGAGCATCTCCCGGCGTCTCTTTTTAGAAACTTATCACAATGACTTAAAAGATTCTTCTAACAGAATTCGTCGTCGCCAATGGAACGTCGCGATGCACGAAAAAAAAAGAAAAAAAAAGAAAAAACACGATTCTCGAAAGAGTCAGACGCGTAAATGGGTTTAAGAAAATATTTTAAAGGGGGGAGAGGGGAGAATACTTTAAAGAGGATATTTAAAAAAACGACGGCTCTCGCGTAAGGGTAATCCGTGATACCATAATGATATAAATAATTACAGTATTATAAACACGCCGAGAAAGTTCGCGGTAGCTAGAGGGGTTACCGCTCGCGGGGATGCAAAAGTGCAAGACAGTCTTCGACGAGAAATGCATTGTCAACTAACATTAAATAATTAACTGGAAGTTCGATTTATCTTTTCGCGTAAAGTCGGTTCATCCGCACGCCAGCGCGTTCCCGACCCAAGTCGAGACCGCGTTCCCCAGGACCCCCCTGGAGGTCCTGGAGCCGTTCAAAGGACACGAAACGCCGCCCTGGCCAACCTCGAGACCTCCGCTCGAGAGACCGCAACTCGGGAAGCGAGAAAACCTTGGACCTGGCTCCGAGGTTTTCCAGCTGATCCGACGTATCTCCGGTCTCCAGGGCGAAGTCGGACGTTGTAGCGACGCTTGCCTTCAGTCGGTGCCTCTTCAAGGTGTAGAGTCAGTGTCTTCCACTTTCGGAGACACTCGGCTAACGTGGCTGCCCCTCGATGAGAACCGCAGGTCATACCATCACCATGTCCTCGTCGACGTTGATGATCGTAGGGTAGGAGTTGTCGGCGGAGCTCTGCCTCTGGATCGGCTTCTTCCTGACGAGGCCGTCTGGGATTGGAGAACAAGAAGAGGGGGCTTATAGTCAGCATTCCCTGGACATCGGGGATCGAATAGAGGATAGGATGATTTCTTACCAGCCGATGGAGGCACCAGGTCATCGAGGGACCCGTCGTCCAAGTCGGTAGCCGATAACAGGAGGTCGTCATCGGACGAAGCCCTGGTCAGGCTGGGCAAGGTCGAGGTCAAGAGAGCCTTCTCCTTCTGGATCTCCTGGATGTGGTCGACCAGGAGAGCCTCTTCTTCGTCCCCCCTGTCTCTGTCCCTGTCGCCGTTCCCCCTGTTCGCAACCGTGGTCGCAGCGATGCCGAGCTCTTCGGGGCTGAATATCTTCGAGGATCTGATACTGGACAGTCTGTGGGTAGCGGTGTGGCAAGCCGACTCCAGGGTGTTGATGTCCGCCAACGTGGCTCTCAGGATCCTCAGCTTCTCCTGGACTATCGTTTCGACGCATCTGGTCTGCCTGCCGACGTCCTGTAGGGAGTCCTGGGCCGGCAAGGTGCGGTTCGTCCTCAGGATACAGGGCGCGAAGACGATGGCCAGGGCCGAGGGCGACATCCTGTTGTCCACCTCGTGCAGGGCGACCCTGGCCAGGTGGATGATCAGTCGCTCCATAAGGTCGAAGTTCGGCTTCGGCAGCTTCTTCAGGATCGCGAACAGCGTGCAGATCCTGTCGTTGGGGTCCGTCAGGTTCGCGGCGTGGAGGAAGTCGTCGTAGTACTCGAACGTCAGCAGGGGCTCCGGCATGTCTCTGAAGAAGCTCTTCAGCACGGCGGCAAGGACGTGCACCTGGTAGTTTTCGAAGTCCACCCTCTTCAGGTCGCCTTCGTCCATCTTCATCTTCAGCTCGCGGACCTTCGAACTGACTCCACTCTTCCTGTAGATGCCTTCCGTATAGAGACCATGCATCTCAATGGTCGTGATAAGTCTGTCCACGACGAGAGGAACCTTCCCATCTCCACTGTCCAGCTTAAAGAGCGGTACCCCGAAGACCTTCCTGGGATTAGAGTCCTGGATAGAGCCGGAATCCTTTCCGCAATCCGCAGCCACCCTCGTGTAGCACTTCTTGTGGCAGGTCATCTTGCAATCTAATAGCGAATAAAAATGGACATTTACTAAATCTACTAAATATAAACTGAGGATAATTGAAGAGAACCTAGAAGACGCCATTATACATACTCTGGCAGACGAGTCCACGTTCGATGGGCCACATGAAGAAGGAAGAGCAGACCTCGCACGCGGTAGGGATATTGATTATGGTCAGCTGGAACATATGATTCCCATGACGAATGGGCTCCTCCTGCTTGCGCTTCTTCTCCTTCTTCCGTTTGCTCTTGCTCTGCTTCTCCGGGGCCTCGGTCTTGACCAAAGTCATGAACTCGTTCATGAACCCCCTGAAAGCGTTCACCCCCATCGTCACGGGGAAGTCCTCGCTGGTGTTCTCCTGTTTGCAGACGGTCTCCATGACCTGGAGGAAGTTGGCAATCAGATCCGTGTACTTGATGTTCCCCTCCACCCCCTGCTTGGTGGCCACGCTGTAGGTGATGACTAAATCGTCCTTGAATTTCCTCAGAGCTTGCTTGAAGACCCGATCGACCTCGCTCGGTTTCTTGCCCTCTTCCTGGCCCTCCATTATGTAGATCTTCTTGGTGATGAAGTCCTCCATAAGGGCGAGCTCCTTGGCGTCCGAGATGATCTTGTCGGTGCTATCTGAGAATGCGGAGGTACCGGTCAGGCTGAACTTGGAGGCGACGGTCTGCTTGGCGGTGTCGTAGGGCGTCCTGGGGGGCTTCCTGTTCTTCCTCCTGTTCGGCGTGTTCGCCGAGAGACAGGGCATCCTCAGCACTCCTCCGTTCTGGATGCACTTTACGTGGAAGAGCTGCTTGCAGTCGACGCACTTGTACCCCTGGGTGACGAACGCGTCCATCTTCTCGTGGCAGCAGACACAGACGTCGTCCTTGGAGAACCTGGCGACCTTCCTGAAGCGATGTCCAGCCAGAGTGAAGTGATCCATCCCAGGGGCCAGCTTCAAATCGTTCGGGCTGGTGTCGACGATGGACTTGTCCTCGCTCAAGCCGGAGACCTTGGTCGCAGGGTCGGAGTTCCTCCTCCTCAGCTCCAGGGTGGTTATCGCGTTGTACCTGACCCTCTTGCCGACTTGCTGGCCCTTGTACGTGGCTTCGGTTTTGTTAACTGGCCAGTCCGTGACGGACCTGGAAGTGGGCTCGCAAGGGCTGCCTTTCGCCGTCCAGGAGTTCGAGGACCTGTTCAGATCGGTCTCCTTGATGGTGCCAAGGAACAGGTTCCTCGCCTCCGTGGTGGAGCTCGCCTCGGTCACGCTCTCCCCCATCGACCTGCACTGGACCTCTCTGGTCGGTCTGTTCCTCCTGGCGCTTCTGACGGGAACATCGGGCTCCGTCCTGTCCTTGGCCTTGAAATCCTTGAAGTCCCGGTCCTTCGAGTAGCCACTCCCCTTCAGACTCGACCTGACGTTCTCGTCGTTCGCCAGATCGACCTTGGCGGAGGCATCTCCCTCGGAATTCTGCCTGCGCAGAAAGTTGTAGTCCTTCTGCAGGGCCTCCTTCCTGTAGTCGAGCTCCCGCCTGGAAGGAGATCCCGGGACATCAGATCTATTCAGCGGTACCACGGTGTTGTCGCTGAGTCTTCGCTGCTCCTTCGACCCTGAATTTTCCCGCCTCGTGTACCGATCACTGGTCTCCAGCTTGACGTTGTAATTGGACGCCTCGTTCAGCCTCTCCAGCCTCGCCTGCTCCAGCAGACTCTCCGTCAGAGTCCGGTTCTGGCTGACGTTGGGTGACCTGGTGATACTGGACTTCTGCGGCGTGTAGTCGCTGTAGTTGCCCGAGAAGTCCTGCCGCTTCCTCCAGATCTCAGCATTCGGGCTGTGGGTCAGGTTAAGACTCGCGTGGTGGTACTTCAGGTCCCTCGGGCTAGGAAGCGATGGAGTAGTATTAAACACCGGTGGCGCACTCTGCACCGCGTTCGGAGTCTCGGAGTCGTTTTCGCCGTCGCTGTACCCGGTCGACGAGCTGTCGGTCCTTCTGCTGATCGACGACATCCTGTTAACACTGGATATACTAGCGTTGACCGCTGAGGTGGGCGCCTGATCGACTCGCTTCGACCTGGTGCTCGGCACCGGCTTCGAGTTCGTGCCGATCACGTTCTCCTGGGAGTGATGTGACTCCGAGCTGTCGACGCTGACCTGCGACTCGTAACTGCGCAGACTAGCCAGGCTCTCTAGGCTTCCCTTCCTCTCCGGAACCTCTTCAGGGTAGAACACCTCCACAGGTTTCAGTCCCGAATTGGGATCGTTCAGGGCTCGCTTGTTCTGGGTGATCTTCCGCTTCGAATAGGAGATGCCGGAGTCGATTGTCGTCTCCCGGGCGATGTCTTCGAGTCTGCAAGGTTGAAATTAGTCTCGTATCTCGGTATCTTCGCCACCCAGGCGCGTCGACCTCGACTTACCTGGAGGGAGTAAAGCGGTCCTGGGAATCCGGCTTCCTAGGTGAAGCAGAGGCGGACCTTGGGCCGACTTCCACCGACCCCACGTCGACGTATATTCTGTGGAATAAATAACATCGAGGATAAATAACCACACTCGAACTATACACCTATCCATAAAACAAAATACGCACTCCTCTCCATCCCTGACCCTGCAGTGATCTTTCTCCTCTCCGAAGGACTCCTCTTCTGTCTTGAGCCTCTCCGCCCTGGCTTCGCTCCTCTTCCTCCTCTTAATCTCGGCGAACGTTTTCCTGGCATTATTGCCGCGAACGTACGCTTGGAAGGTAACTATACAGGCCTTCAATTTTTTAAACCATCCCTGTTGTCGATACGTCTTCCAGGCAGCCTGGATATGGATCGCGGCCTCCGTCCTGGCCCTCAGGGAGTGCGCCAACCTCTGAGCCGCCACCATCCTCCAGAAGGCCTGGATCAGCACGGCGGCATTTTTTATCCTGAGGAACTTCCTTCTCTCCAAGCAGGCTCTGAACCATTTCTGAATGGTCGTGATGCTGGTGATGATCTGCTGGTGCAGCTCGATGTCGAGCTTGATCTTCTCGGATTCCCTGAGGAAGACCTTCGTCGTGCCCAGCTGATAGTTGTCCCTGTTGAGGTTCAACGTCAATAGGAAGTCCCTAACATCCGTCTGCGAGCTGAGGAGTCCTTTCGGCAAGAGCATTCGGTACAGCTGGATGAATTCCTCGTAAGTTAGCCGCACGTTGAAGCCTGCTTGTCTTATGCGGACCGTCTCCAGCATCCCAGTGTATCTCAGCTGGCGCTGGACCGTCTCCTCGTCGAACTCGTTGGGCACCTTGTTGCTGTTGCTTTTAATGCAGCGGATGAAGAACGGGTTTGCTTGGTTCAGGGTGTCCATTAAGCTGTGCAAGCTGTGTTGGAACTGAGCCGACACCGTCATCGGTTGTTTTCTGGCTTTCCCAGGACCCGTCCCGTAACTCTGCGTCCTGCCGGCCAGAGTCTTCACCGTTTGAAGATTTTTCAGACCCTTCTTGCCTCTTTCCCTCGGTCGGAAGGACTTGTTCTTCCTGCGGGAAAAATATACATGAAAATACGGCTCGAGTCATGGTACATAGATATGTAAAGGTTGGATATCCTTTTTTTTTAGATTTATTTGGAGGACTTATCGAGGCAGAGAACGAGTCGACGAAGCACTGAAAAGAAGCCTACAGTCGGCTGGAATTAATATCGAATATGCTCGTCGATTTATGGATGACGAGCTCTGTCGTTAGGAAAAGCCGCAGCTGAAGCGCGCAATGGCCACGCGGGGGTGTGAGAAAAGCGGAAAAGTTCGAGCCGGACAGGTATATCGATTAAATTTAAGCTCAACTCCCAGCATGCGTACGGATCCTTCCTCGGTAATTCATTGCCGACTTCGTTGTCCCCGTAAAGGCACAGTCGTTAATAAATTAATCGAGAGGAGCAATCAAGAGGCCTATTCTAAGACAAAGTGGCATGCAAAGACCCCGAATCAATCGGGAGGAAAGACTGCCGACGCGTGATATTTCATGAATGAGGAGAAAGAGAAAAGTCGCCGGAGAGGTGAAGAAGAGAACCAAGGGCGATGAGCGCGAAGTGGTGTATTAGATGGAAATGGAGAATGCAGAGACCGAAGGATTTGTACTCGCTACTCGGGTCTACGGCGAAATTCCCTCGGGAACACGAGGGACAATCCTGGGATACCGCCCCGAGTCGCAAGGAAATAACTTCCACCTCCACTCCGACGAGCAGAACGTCGTTTAACTAATCAGTATTTTATCAGGCCCATATTTGACGCAAAAAAAATTAATTCTCCACCCGAGTCGAAATTCTACGCCTCCTTAAACCCAAGCACGACCACCGCCGATAATGAACTTCACAAGCGCGAATATTAAATCCCCTTTAAATTACATTTTCAACATTTTTCATCACTAACATTTTCCTTTCCCACTCTTCAAGTACTACATCATACCCAAAACTATAATAAATAGAAGCATACATTTTTAAGGTAATATCTACAATTACAAATTTTTTAACAAGCAGGATAATCTCGACTCGGGTAATGGACAGCAGACCATGGTTTATTAATTGCACCGTGGTTATTAATCGGCCGAGCTGCGAACAATTGTATAGAACGATAGAAAGACCGCTCAGCTCTTAATCGGCTACCGTGCCAATGAGAGATCAATTGAACGATAATTAAACGACGTTGAGCTCATCCCTAACTTCTACCAAGGAGTAGCTACAGTGCATGTACACTAGGGCCGAGACTGCACTCTAGAGAGACAGCGAGGAGAGAAGCCCTCGGTATACGGTAGAGTAGTAACGGAGAAAAGTCGTACGTTAAGGTTGGATTTAAATCAGAGGCGTATTACATACATGACGATCTGATTAGCGCGTTCCATGACGTTAGCCTCGTCTTTTGCGAGCACCCTCTCTAGCGGCGTGTGCGACTCCCGCCTGAATTTATTATTACTATTAGGCTGCTCCTCCCTGCCCTTTAAAACGCAACCCTTGGTCGCCGGGGCGCCCGGTCCATGTAGTGCCTGATTAATGTTTCGAAACTGCGGCCACGAGAGGCGGTTGTTGTTGTTTAGGCTGTCGTTGTTTTCGACTTGGGTGCCGGCGGGAGTTCCGGCCTGGACACCGCCCGACAGGCAGATACTTCGCTGCTTCTGATAGCTCGGCGGACGAGTGTGTTTGTGCGAACTGAAAAATCCTCTAAACGCTTTAGACAAGTCCTCGACAAAGGTGAAACCACCGTCTCGAGTCAAACGCAAGTGATTACCGATTAATCCCGACGGGATGGCGTGAAAAAAAAAAAAAAAGAATACCGAAAAAAATTACATTTTCTTCTGCATGGGTCTCTTGGATATCTTAGGACGGACAAGAGGACTCTATATTAATATCGCGCGATTAGATCGTTTACATTTAACTGGCTTGGCTGACATGATTCGCCCTTATGGCTCTCTTCGCGACACGGAACGTCACGGGTGACGGTGAAATCGAATTTGCGTTGTGAATCCTCATGGTCGGAGAATAAAAATAAGACAATGAGCCGATAACTGTACGGAAATCGAGTGACCAGATGCGATGATGTATGGGGTAGAATATCATGAGAGGTTGCATTCTAATTACATCTAACACAAGAAAGTGCGTACATACACATATCGAACGTTCGAAAGAAATGAATATTAACATATACAGGAGTCTAGCAAAGTTGTTGCTTTATGGGTTTACAGGTGCAAGACGAGTAGGCCGGTTACCTCAAGTTGGTCTATCGTCGAGCTACGACGATGTTAACGTTAAATCGTGCAACTGTAAATCCATAACCTCGACTTTGACGGATCTTTTAATATGACACACATAGTGGATCAAAGGACCACTTACGCAATTCGGTTAATAGTTAGATTGACGGCCGATAACGTCACAAGATGGCTATAGGGGCAGAAGACAATGTCACCAGTAAAAAGTGCAATTGTCGTAGCATCGTTTTAAATCTTATAGCACCCGTACGTTCTCTTTTAACAGTTCCCGAGCCACGACTCCACGTTGACGAAGAATTTCCTCTCGGCAATTCGCGGCAGTTACAAGCGGATCGAAGTCGGTGGCTCGTTAGTTAGCTCGGCGAATTACGGTGAGATATTTATGTCGATCGATAATCAATCACATTTTCGTCAATCAATTTCAGTTGCAATTGAACGGAAAAAAAAAAAACCCCCGCCCTTTGGCGAGGTACTCTCGACGGAGAAAGCAAGAGAGACCTTACCTTATTAGATTCTCGTTCGGAGTCCGGTACCTATTTTGTACGGATGCCTTGCTGCCATCAGCTGAAAGAGGAAAAAAAAATCAATAACGAAGGTGAACGTTTGCCCAAGGAAACGAGAGTATAAAAATTTAATCCCGAAATCGGGCTAACCTCTGACGTGTCTATGTGCACGACCAGCTTCTTGGAAGGCGAAATGAGCACGAAAGAAAGCCCGAAGAATGGCCCAGCGAAACACAGCAACAGGATCAGCTCCGACCAATTCGCGCACGAAAGCCAGAGACGAGTTCTTCAGCACACCGACCACTCCATCGGGTCGCATAAGGTCCAGATTTTTTTCTCGCATGTTGGCAGCCTGATACTTCACCGCCCCTGCATAATGTCGCACCACGAAGGCACCTTCCCGCCGTTGAGGAGCCTCGTAAAAAAGATTCTCCTTGTGCACCGAGTTGAACTTTTGTAGCAGAGTCTCGTTCGTCGCACCGGGGAAACTGGCAGACAATCGACAAGTTACAGCACACAGGAATAAAATAGATCCAGGGATCCAATACGTGTACAATGGTAATAATTAATTATGCGTATAAAATATAAAAGTGGCACTGACTTGCACTGATCGTCCAGAAGACAAAGGAGCCCATTAGGCTTGCCTTCGATAAGATTAAGACATCCAGAGTTATCGCTGTACCCGATGTCCGTCCACCTGATTTCCTGTTTCCTATACTCTCGTTGTTCGTACTGAAAGACGTGTTGATTGAAGTAATGCTGCAACTGTTCATTGGCATAATTGATGCAAAGTTGTTCGAAGCTGTTGCAGGTCTTAAAGTCCTCGAAACCAAAGATATCCAACACGCCTATGCTATTGCCTTGGTGATCTCGTAGGGTATCCTTTTTCGATAGAAGAGCGTGATTCACCTGGAAGGAATTGGATAAAGAGAGGTCAGGCTTATTCAAATTCTAAATATAATCCCACGTGGTAATTCTTCCCGGAATCTCGTACTTGAAGAACGATCCAGTCGAAGAGGGCCCCGTAGAGGCACTTCGCCATCGCGTCTCTCGCGGCTATTGCTTCCGGAAGTCTGTAATTGATGACCAAGGTCTCTCCCGATGCCCTCGCCCTTTTGGCAGTCAGGGCTGCAAGTAGGGTCTCCTGTTTCACCCTGAGAAGCTCGGATATGATAGCCACGACTTCGGGATTCTTGACTCCAACGGCCTCGTCGTGATGATGGTAGAACTTCCTCGGTTGGAACTCCACGTTACCTGGATGAGAAATCGATGGTTAAACAAATGGAATATCAAAAAGACGGAAATCAAATCGCGATATTCACCAAGAAGCAGAACAGCTGATAGGACAGCGAATAGACGTCGTTGCTTCTCCGGTGTAAAGCCAACCATCTCCATGGACTGCTTCAGCCTGGAGAACTCGTGTCGTTCGTCAATGTTCTCCAGGCCGTAACAACCACTTTTGTTCAAGTAATTATATCGATCGCAGCTTTCCAAATGGAGAACCTGCCTCTCCTGCTCGTTCGCCCCTGCCAGAAGATAGTAGAAGACGTGGTAATTCCGTTCGTTCCTTCCCTGCGACACGATTCGCGACTTTTCCAAGAGGTACTTCTGAACCACCGCCCTGAAAAAGGAATGGCGATAAATCCCACTGTCCTAGATCCTACAGGAAGTCAATCGGCTTCCGACTGCATCGAAGAGCGTAATACCTCAATAAAAAAAAAATTACGTACCCATGGACCATGCCATTCTCCTTGTAGTTGACCTGAATGAACTTCCCGAAACGACTGCTGTTATTATTGTGTGCCGTTTTTGCATTCCCAAACGCTTCCAGGACGGGTCCAGCACTGAGAATGGTTTGCTCAACTCCGCTCCCGTGAGAGCCCTTCTGGCTGAGGGCCGTTAAGTGGTGCAACAGAAAATTAGTCGATTCCGTTTTACCGGAACCGCTCTCGCCGCTGATGACGATGCACTGATTCTTCTTTTCCTTGAGCATACAGTGGTAGGCCGCGTCTGCTATCGCGAATATATGCGGAGGAATGTCCGACCCTAATCTTCTGTTCTGATAAAGCTTCACATACTTCGGGTTGTAGATGGGATAGAATTTGAAGGGGTTTAAAGCTATTAAAATGCTGCCGACGTATGTGTAGATATTGCCAGCTAGGAATCTGTCTCGGAGATTGTCCAAGAGGGTCTGTTCGTTGAGATCTGGAAGCTGGCAGAGGTCCGGATACTCCTTGTCTCGGGGTTGGTAGAGAAATCTATTAAAGTAATCCTTGAGGAGCTGAGGATCCATCGGGAACCTACTGTCGGACCACAGGTAATCTGTCTGTTTCTTTCGGAGGTAAAACCTGCAGAGAAAAAATCGTTTCATTTGATTTTACATTTAACATGGTCTAGTTTAAGTCAATATACATTATATTACAATATACCTATAGTATTCTTGTTGCGAAGCACTTTTCGGCCAGAGTAGCATGAGTGCCACGGGACATTCGGAAGGACCTAATCGTCTTTCCTTGCATTCTTGCCCAACAGAGTTGCCAACGACCTCAGCTAGTTCGTAGCTATTAGAAATAGCAGCATCGGTCAACCCTAGCCTCTCGACGATGCATTCCACTATTTCGGCAGAAGACGTTTGTTTGGTGGCTTTGATCGAAAGTGCTTCGTATTCGGGGCTCCACTCACCCACGAATACTTGCACCACTCCTGAACCACTGATATCCATGTCTCCTGACCCTGCGGTCAATATTTTACCATAAAGATAATTTTACTCATCTAGAGAACATCTAACGATACAATGGATGTATAAAATAACATTTTCCTCACCAGCATTAACAAATCTATCCTCTGTCATCCATACGATATACAAAAAGAGCTCCTTCTACTTCTTCTCTTCGGTTCGATGTATCACGTATCCAGAGATGAGAATATTTAAAATATTTATTACATATTTTGTTTAAAAACTGTCAGTACTTTAGATCCTTTCTTGATTTCGATTTAATTCGAATATCTGCAGATCACCTAGTCATTTGGAAGGTTTCTTTGTTCCGTATTATTTCGTTCAGTTGGTTATACTTTAAGTCTTCTAATATCTAACAGTTACACATGACTGTCATTGCATTATCATCTATCCAATTAAATTCAAACTTAGAAATTTAATCGAACAATGTACACATCTTCATACTGTCCTTTCTGTATTTTCAATCGAGAAATAATAGATTGAACCTTCAAACAGTTATCGATACTCCTTTTTAAATTAATTAAAACCTCGATACATAGGACAGAACGTCATCTATTGTGATGAACACAATAATAGGTTTTTGTAATTCAAAATAAGATTATTTAAATGCCTATTTCGTAGTTTGCGACTACTTCAGTCAAAAGTGCTCAGTTGTTACTGTTGCTTTTTTTTACTGCTATTGGAATATTGAATTTAAACCATCGATTAAATACAGTATAAGAAAACTTTGATGATTTATAGTTTGAATTTAAGTGGCCCAATGGCACCGAGTCACCAACATTTAAATTATGGTCGCGAGATTTGTACAAGACATTTGATAGTTGTCCATTGGCATGGTACCGTTAACGGGTAATTTTCTCACTGGAACAGGGTCTCTATGTTTTGACATCTGGCCGACTTTATCACAGGTTCTGAGTATTTTCCTGTGTTATTGCAAGAATTAAAGTTACAATTTTTATTTTAATTCAAATGAAGTTATCGAGGACCAAAGGACTTCATTATCTGCAAAGAAAGAACATATTGTTTTTGTTAGAGATACTCTACTATAACTCTACCTAATCATTTGACATAAGCGCACGTTAACTTTTCTCATTCGACCGTCCCATACTCAAGCTAGGCCTACCCAACGTCCGTTGGTTGCTATTACCCCCACGAGACCCTCATACGAATTTATTTGGAACCGAGCCAGCACTTATTTTGAACAAGCTTGATCCCTCATTTAGATGCGGCACAAAGACGAATTCTTACAGATACGCTTAGATATCATATTGCAACGACTGGCTCTCTTAACGGCATCATGGCACAAAAGCTTGATCAGATATTTCTAACATACCCAAGATCGAACCACGCTAACTATACACGTTTGATAAAAACCCACAAAATAAATACCGCTCTCTAATATCTCATTACGAAATACCATACGATACCATAAGTAAACCAAATAAAAATCAACGGAACTGGCTTCTTTAAAATCTGTCATCGAAGATTCAATTTCCTTTCAAGCCCTGATAAAGAATCAAATCCCTCAATTGGCCATCAACTCGTTAGGTACTAGTTTCTTTGGCCGATACCTATTATCTAGTTTCCCACCCCGACGGGGTCTGCAAAATGACGAAGGTGAGCATCGAGCTTACATCCTTTACAAAAATAACTCGCACGTCGGGAGTGCCTAATTCCTGGAACGGCCGGTATCCCGTGGGTCGTATCAGGAACTGATTTCCCTCACCTCTTGTCTTATCGCGGATGACTCCTCGAGATGTCCACCCGTGGCCGGCGAAGAGCGGAACATGCCTCCTGGAGTCCAGACTCCTTCCCTCGGAGTACCTTACGGGTTAGTCCCGTAAATATGTCCCGAGGTCCTCTCGTCGGGCGAGTCCTCGAGCCCCTGGCTCGTCGTCCTCGACGGCGTCGTCGAGCAGGCGCGATTTCGGACCCGTTCGTTGGGCTCGGCGGGTGGCTCGCACTCGCGGGCGCCCTTACTTACTGAATCCGCATCGACTCGAGGGGGACGGTCGAACGTCGATCCGATTGACACTAGTTCGCGGCCACTCGCTGTCACGGTCCCGCGCGACCGCCAGGCGGTGCGCCCCAGTTCGCAGGATATCGGGCACCGCTCCGCCTCTCGATCCCTTGTCGTTGAACGATCACCGATCACCGATGACACGGTTGACGGCTGACGGCTAAGCCCTTGCCCAGTTTACCGTCCTTCGACTCCTCTGGACTCCTCTCGGGATCCTGCGTCCCGATACGTCCACCATTTCGATTTTTGCGGTCACGTGGCTCAAAGGAGCCCTCCTATTGGCTGGAGCCGAGCGGCCACGTGATCGGTCGCCGAGCACGGCCAAGAGTAGGCACGACAGGGGTGCGCGCACCACCCGACGCAAAAATGAGTTGGGAGATTGATCACGGACAGGGTCGCGCGATATTGTCCTGTGCTGCCCCCCGGTGAAGGATGCGGACGACTAACATATATGCCACCTGTTTCCCTTTTATGGGCAATACATATGCACTAGTCGCCGCGTCCTTCACCGGGGGGCAGCACAGGTCCGATCGCGCGACACGGCGGCCATTTTGGAACGAACGCGCCCTCCGCTACTCCACCTCGGCAGGTGGCGCCCCTCTAAGTATATACGAATCTTATGAATTCTCCACGGCGAACAGCACGACACTGGAATTGCGGGAATTTTCAAAATCGCCATTGTTTTAACTCGATACCCCTTTACGTTCTTTTAAGAATTCGAACCGCTTTTATCCTTAGAATTCTTAAGATTTAATTAAATCGTTCGATTTTCAGGTTAACGAGATTCTGGAATTTATATCATTTTGTTCACAGGGCTAAGAAATCAGTTATGATGCGGCTTAAGTGCAGTTTGTAATTAATAAATATTTTATTCATTTACTCTGGATCGACGAAATTCCGTCATCGAGTTAAATCGTTCGGCTCGAGGTTCGAGGGCATTAATGATTGCAAGCGTACGTGCGTGTCGTGTGCGCAGGACACGAGAAGCGATCTCTCGTGGTCCACATTGATCGAGGCTTGCGCTTTCGAGGGATGCTGGCCACTCCGATCCCGACCCCTAAACACCATCCCCAGTCAATGCCGCGATTAAAATTTCGGGATTAGGGACGTTCAGGATCGCCGTAGAAGTTAGACAGCCATGTGGCAGCGTATTCCTCGTAGCTAGAGACATACTGATTTCATGAAGATTCCCATAACAAGTGCCTCACCTACGTTTAGATTAGCTATTACATTTTAACCCGAGCCAAGGAGGCGAAATTCCGGGAAATTCCGCTCACGGCATCGAGAGGAACATCACGGAGCATTTTCACGGTGAGTCACGTTATTCGATATCACATTCGAAAATAAATAAATTCATTCTATTAATCGTACATTTAAAAAGCCCGATGAATTAAATGAGAAATCCCGGGGGGGAAGAAATTGGTTCGCCAGATTTACGATCAATCGGCCTCCTGAATTAATAATCATGTGTGACACCTCGGAATTTGGAAACAGTCCACGTAATGAAATTCGGAAACATTCAACCAGTAAGATGCCTAGAGGTGATAATCCCTGATTATGTTAAGAGCCTCGATCAAGAGATGGCTGCCCCATTTAAATCGAGCACCGGTAATGTCCCAGGATTTGACTGTCTAATTTTAAGTGCAACTCGGATTCGCGTTTAATTACTTCTTTTCCTCCTCTTTTCAGTCATCACCGCGACATTTATCATCCCTCACCGCCAAACAATGCAGCGCCGTATTTCACGTTTTATCTAGATATCGGGGTGGAACAATGGATGATTAAGAATATTCTGAAGGATTCTTTATTTCTGTCCAGGGTAACACCTGAGATGGCGAATTTCCGGGGATTTTACATTCCTTCCATCGGAGCAACGATAAACGTCGCCTGGGAAACGCTCAAGGCAAAATGGCCCGAGAACAGTCCTTGCCTAGAACTGATCCGCGGCCCTGAAGGAGGACAAGGTCAGGGACAGCATGGTGATTTTAAGACCTTTGGAGAAGGTCAGGAGACTACGGAGATGACCTCAATGAACGGGGAACAGGGCTACAGGGATCAGAACAACGCGGCCGTTGCAGAGGATTCCTTCAGCTACCAAAGAAGCGGGTCAGTTGTTAACGACTCCCTAGATCATCTCTAATTCATCATTTATTTTTCTTCACAACTCGTGAAATTCTTACGAAATATAATTTATCTCATTAAATTATTTCTACTCAAAAGGGACAAAATCAGAACGGGAAGTCTCAGCAGCGGTGGATTCAGCGAGTTCGACGACGGCGGGGAATTTGGGAGTCCTGGGGTGAAAATCAACGAATGGCAAGCTGCCTGGAACGTAACGAATGCCATCCAGGTTCGACTCGTTGGTCGTTAGAATTATTAGAAGAGATTCTCTTTAAGAGTCATAGCATGAAATATTTTTGTAGGGCATGTTCATCGTGTCACTGCCCTTCGCCGTGCTACGCGGTGGTTACTGGGCGATCGCGGCGATGGTCGGTATCGCTCATATCTGCTGTTATACCGGTAAGATCCTCGTGGAATGCCTCTACGAGTTGGACACCACGACGGGACAACGAGTAAGGGTACGAGACTCCTACGTGGCGATCGCAAAGGAATGTTTTGGCCCGACATGGGGAGCCAGGGCGGTCAACATCGCCCAGATAATCGAGCTCCTCATGACGTGCATCCTCTACGTGGTAGTGTGCGGGGATCTGATGATCGGCACCTTCCCCGAGGGTGCCATCGACACCAGGAGCTGGATGATGCTGATAGGCATCTTCCTCATACCCCTAGGCTTCCTGAAGTCCCTGCAACACGTCTCCGTGTTAAGCTTCTGGTGCACCATGTCTCATCTCTTCATTAACGCCATAATAATCGGTTACTGTATTCTGGAGATAAGCGACTGGGGCTGGTCGAAAGTCAAGTGGACTATCGACATGAAGACCTTCCCCATCTCCCTGGGTGTAATCGTGTTCAGCTACACCTCGCAGATCTTCCTGCCTACTCTCGAGGGAAACATGGAAGATCGGTCCAAGTTCGACTGGATGCTGAACTGGAGCCACATCGCCGCCGCGGCCTTCAAGTCCCTCTTCGGCTGGATTTGCTTCCTCACCTTCCAGTACGACACCCAACAGGTGATCACCAATAATCTCCACTCGGCTGGCTTTAAGGGCCTCGTTAATTTTTGCCTCGTCGTTAAAGCCATCTTGTCGTATCCCTTGCCCTATTACGCGGCCTGCGAGCTGCTGGAAAGGGCCTTCTTCAGGGGGAAGCCGAAGACCATCTTTCCGACCATTTGGACCGTGGATAGGGAGCTCAAAGTCTGGGGACTAGCTTGGAGGGTAGGGGTTATCGTCTTCACTATTCTCATGGCCATTTTCATCCCTCATTTCAGCATCCTCATGGGATTCATCGGGTCTTTCACCGGCACCATGCTCTCCTTCATATGGCCCTGCTACTTTCATCTCAAACTTAAGAGGAACTCCATGGAAAGGAGCGCGGTCGCGTATGATTGCCTTGTTATATTTCTGGGGGTTCTCTTCGGTGTCATCGGGGTTTACGACTCCGGAACGGCTCTTATAAAGGCCTTCGAAATCGGTTTACCCTTCTAGATCGTTTTCTAGAATATAGAATGAAAATCGCGCGGTGTAAGCTCCGGGGAGATTCCTAATCGAAACTAGTCAATCGTTCAGATTTTATGTAAATTGGTCGACGATAAGTCGTGCCTGGTTCGCTGGAATCTTGCACGGATGTCTCGTAATTCGGGATTTGAACATCCCTGATCCAATGTCTTCCATTGTTCCGATCTTAAGCAGATAGATGCATCGAGATCGAATTAAGGCTCGCTTCGTGATACGTTGCGCGCGTATTGTACAATGTACAATGTATATCACGGGATTTGTAAGGCACTTAATCCAACGTCTTCCATCGCTCATATTTTACATGGTTCGATCTATGATAAATAGAGCGTTTTTGAAATGTTTTTCTCGCGCCGACACAAGGAAGAGTAGGATCGCTCGTTAAAAGTCCCATTTTCCTTCTCCTTCCGTGGCATCGTCCCTTGGAAAAGGACGTCCGCTTAAGGGCTTGTAGGCCTTAGCTCTTAGTGCGCACAGTGATCGTGACAATATCTTAAAAAATAAGAACGATGTCTTCCGAGTTTAGGTCAGCGAGAAATGCAAGGAACTGTGCGAGTTAACTATTGTTATATAGGTTTCCTTGGATTTTATAATTGTATCGCGAGTCGTATCCGACGTAAATGTTGACCATAAGACCAGTACGCGTAGAAAAGGGATTTCTTGAATTTACCGTACAGTTTGAATTTCATTTTTTTTTTTTTTTTCCTCGAAAGATCGTAGACCGTTCGAGCAATTTTTTGTTGCAGAAGAAATCGGACGTCGAGATGAATTTTCTTGGCTCATTGAAGTATTGGTAGAGTAATTCTCGTAGTTTATGACTATGTATATCCCTTGCATATCGTACTAGTTATTGTATTTATTTTTACTCTATTTAAGTAAATATGGAGAAGTTTCCATTCCACGTTTACCGTACGGTCGAAGAGAACTATAAATATATCAGAAAGTTACGTATGATCATAGAGATATAATCCATCGTCTTCCAGTCTTATCCGACGATAAGACCCACATCAGTCGAAGTGATAATTAGTACGCATAGGTCTTGCAGTGCAGGAACGTCGGATTCAGTTAATGTCACATGTCGACGACAACTCTTCTGTTCGGAATTCTTGAAGGCGTCGAAGAGAATCAAAACGCATATCTATGCAAAGACAAAGAAATGTTGAGGATGAGCTCCTTAATCATGTTGTTATCGTAACGTGAGTCTTCCAGTGATGTCTTCCAAAACGACGAATCGTATAAAATGCGTAAGATGCCATGTGTATTGTCAGTGACAATAAAAAGAAACGTTGTATTAGGATCTATAATGAGAATATTTATAAGTAAATGTCTGGTGTTTGATCGCTTGTTTGCAACAATTAAATAACCCAAATGAGAAGGTTTAATCGACCCTGTTATGAATATTAACATTCGAGTAGGCTGGGCACTTTTTATTTATTTTCATTCAACCAATGCGTAAATTTTTAATTACTTTTAATTATAGTTACCCATTGTCTAAGATGTACTCCGTGCAAACAAGTGATTACATAGCAGCAACGTCATCTACGTGTATTATAAATAAAGCTGTAGGAAGTCGTTCAGAATAAAAGAACGAAGAGTTTCATTTCAAGAAGCAGTGAGTTAACATAGTTTGACATCGTTTTTGTATTTCCATAGTCGATCGAACTTAGCGCGTTCGACTACCGTATGGTAAATGATGTAATTAAAGTGATATACATATATAAATATATAAACGTTAAGACCTGACTATTTCCCACTTTGGGTTTCATGTGCTTCCGCATCCGTGTAACACTTTTGTGTCAGTTTGGACCCGATTTTGTTAACGTTATAGTTAAATATATAGACTATAATAGGAGTTACAAATGATGTAAGCGGCTTCCGTATTACAGAAATGAAAATACATTATCGAAATTTTACGTTTCTGCTATTTATTCCCGTGCGGACGAATTTATGTATCATGTACATACGTTTCCGAAGTATAACGAAATGTTATAAAATATTTCCTTGCTCTAGAAAGTATATAAGCTGGTATTAAAACCGCAAAACTTAAAAAAAGAAATACTTTCTCTCCGAAAAACCTAGCGAACGCCCGAGTGAATTGTCATGCTCTAAATGCTTCTCATCGCCACATAAAAGGCCATTTCAATCAAGCTAGATACTCAGTTCGGCTTTTGTAATCGCGATGCAGCTCCTAGTAAGTTAACAGAAATATAAATATCTGTCGATTCTAATCATTTGTATATTTAAACAGGGTAAAATGCTGTTTCTCATGTGGTACATATTAATCATGACGATGACTGTCTACGCTGACGAGGAGGAAAAATCACGGCCTATTTTCGCTGAAGGAGATGGTAAGGAACTAATAAAAATACTATTTAATATGAACAATGTCAAATCGATGCAATGCTATTTATTTCTTATAGATATACCTCGTGTAAAAATTAAAGTATTTCGAGGACCCACGGAAGAAGAAAATGGACAAAAATTTGCTCATTGGGGTTTTTGGATAAAACAACCTAGTAACCATTGACCGAAATTAATAAAGTAGTTGATGTTAAGAATTTTGCTATGTTAACATCTTAATATTTTTATTTGGTAAATTTATGTAAATTAAATACTGTACACTTTATTTTGAAAATGTTGCCGAGGGTCATACGAGACCCATTATTTCCATTACAGCTGAATCGAAAGCTCTGAAAGATAAGTGGAAATAGTTCTCATTAATATTCTCGACATGATGTAAAAAATACGTCCATGTATAGAAATATTTCTAATTTATATTACATTTGATACTCACTTCGACGTGATTTGATCGCCAGGAATGTAAAATGGATTACACACTGCATTTGCATAGGCAGCATGTAATTTTCTAAAAATCTAATATCAATATCTTTATTAGTAACATATTAATGTACCTGATTCAATAATACATCCAGTAAAAATCACAAAATAATACCATTCTAACTTCATTGTCCCGTAACAAGGTGTTCGTTGATTGCAATAGCATTACGAACTTAATTTTTGTATTTGTGGCATATCCAAATCTAGAAGAATAGTGTAAAATGAGTCATCATCAAATACTAATGTCTTTAAATAAAACATACTGAATTACATTTTATACTCTTCTGTAGAACATAGTAATCCCAGATAGAGTTCCCTGCTGTCAACGACTGCTTTCTTTCCAACATTTAACTTCTCTTCTATGATATCAATAGAAGTATGAACTTTATAATGAAACTGTAATGCTGCCGAATCATCGGAGCACCTAATATACTTTGGAGAATTCTGTAAAATACATTAACTTGTCCTGAACAGTAATTTAACCTTAAAAGTAGCCTAGAAAAAATGTACTTACGTCTTTACCAATTACTGCTATGCACACAGCCATTCTAATACGAATGAAGAATTCGTCCAGAAGCGTGACAACTCAAATTATTCCTATTCCTGCATTTATACAAGTAAATTAATAACTCTCATCGCCTTCAAACGTCAAACCTGTCCAAACGTCACAAGCCCTTTAACCACAGTTATAGGTTATGTACGTTCCAAATAGCGCGTGAACGAGTAACTCTCAAACCAATTTATTTAACTTTTGGAGAACATATTTACACAGTATACAAATTATTTTTAACTATAAAAACGACTAAGAACGGCATTCAGTATACATAAATATTTTCAATGTACGAAAAATATACATTTACAACACAGCCCTTACGATCATTCATTAAACTACTGATCGTAGTATCTTTTCTTTAGAGTCCTATACTTTCGAAGCATATACAATGCTTCCAGTTCCTTAATGACAAAATTGCCATGGGCAAGCATTTTTTCAATTTTCTCTGGGTCGGTTTCGTTCCCATTTTTTTGAAAGACCTTTTTGAGTCTAATTCGAAAAAAGTCGTAGCCCTTGGGGTATTCTCGTCCCAAGTGCAGCAGCTGAAACGTTAGAAGACAAATGTTTTATTCTCGAATATCTCATGTTAGCTTTTATAAATTGATTAGTTACCGTTTTGTACAAGTCGATAACCTTGGTTCGTTGAGACATTACGTATGGCAATCCTCTACAAGCATAGTTATCAACTTAATGTATTGTTAACAATGCCCCCCTCCCCTTTGCGCCGACTTTGCCAGCTACCACCTCCACCCATGTGGCCAGCTGACACTTTGCTGGTGCGTCGAGTGACACCACGGTGTCATCGCTGGGTAGAGTTAACTACGTCGGGCTACGATCAAGTTCAATCGCCACGAAAGAAGCAGGTAGTCGCAGCTGACTTCCCCTTCCTCGACGGAGACTTCCGCGAGTCCGTGAAATTAAGATCGATCCGGAGATCAAGCTAGGCGAGTCTCGATCTAGGCCAGTAAAATCTTCCGAGACCCCCTAACCTCACAACGCGAGATAAAATACTGCTTGATCCAATTTTCCGGGAGTGTATTTGCACAGCTTTACCGACTTCCGGCAGAAGTTTGCAAAAAAGGTAAGACCGCTCGTTAGAATTGCCTGATCGTGTCTCCTTTAACAATGAGGAAAAGTTCAAAAGCTATATTAAAATAAGAAGCCAATATGTAAGACTAAAGTAGCAGTAACACGCTTTAGACTTGGACATTTGTTCCAGGCTCCACTCAGAAGTAGTTTCATCAGCCGTTGGAATGATATGTAATCGCCCACCTCCTTATCTTCGATAGCAGAGCACTGTACGAGTTTAGGATTAATTACAGTTAATGCTGGAAATACGTCGCAGAGTTACAATAACACCTTCGAGGTCTCTTTGTCTCTAATCTCTGCACACGTCCATGCTCTTGTCTTGTCGGTGACCTTGATAATTTAATTTCCAAAAAGACGTATTGATTAACTTTGGAAATTGTAAGTGTCGGAACGAATTTTGCATCTTGTGCATTTGGCATAATCCCTGGAGCATTCTTGGAGCAACTTTGCATTTCAAAAACACTTGTGATTATAATTTATCACTTTGCGTCAATTTTTGTTACACTTGTTTACCCTGAACATTGTTAATCGAACCGTACCTTTATCATAACTTCCTTTCTGATCTCCTTTTTTCTCCAAGAGAGATGAATGTCATTTTGCCGTCAAGATCTTGACAAAGACAGGTGCATGTTTCTCATGCAAATATGGCTCGTGAATCTCTCTTTTGGAGCTTACTCTTACTCGGATGCCGATTCCAAGTGTTAATAGCCAGTCCTAATACCGATACGAACCCACTTGAATATATGAGCAAAGATGAGCGGGAGGCACTCAAGTTAGTATATTTTAAGTAAAATTATTTATTATATCGTACAATTGAATCTATACATATCTAATGTCACATTATTCAATTTTTCAGGGAAGAAGCCAGAGACATGTTTTATCATGCCTACAATGCATACATGGTAAACTTTGCTGCTTCACATCTTAAAGAAACGATATTTCTAACAGAATGCAGCAATAAATGCTGATTGTTTAATATTTACAGGACAATGCTTACCCTGCCGATGAGTTAATGCCTTTAAGTTGCAAAGGAAGGTACCGAGGTTCCGAGCCACACAGGGGAGACATCGACTCCACCCTTGGAAAGTAAGAGCAATATAAATCTCAACTGATTCTATCGTTTCTATTGGCATGATTAAAAATTTTCAATGTTGCAGTTTCTCGCTAACCTTGGTAGATACATTAGACACGCTTGTGGTAAGCTAGAGCTATTTTACTTCTGAATTTTATGACCTCTTAACAGCTTCGATAATAAAAATTATAATGTATCAGGTATTAGGCGATTTGGAAGAATTTGAGAACGCAGTCAAACTGATAGCAAGAGATGTCACTTTCGATTCGGACATTGTTGTTTCTTTGTTTGAAACAAATATCAGGATGCTAGGGTGAGTAATATTTCAAATGGACTAACTTGGTTGATTTATATTCTAAAAATATTATCTTTTACAGGGGCCTTTTGAGTGGACACATTTTGGCAGAATATTTACAGCAAAGAGCCGACATAATGTCATGGTACAGGGGAGAACTTTTGAACCTCGCTAAAGATTTGGGATATAGATTTCTTCCAGCATTCAATACAACCACTGGGATACCATTTGGAAGAGTGAGTAGCAAATGCCACGTTCCGAAGCAAATATGTAAATCACACACAATCACTGATGTTCATAATGTGGTTTTGTACATTGTCGTATGACTTACTACAGATAAACCTGAAAAACGGTATGAAAGGAGTGCCTATCGAAATGACCAGAGAAACGTGCACCGCCTGTGCCGGAAGTATGATTCTAGAAATGGCTGCCTTATCTCGTCTTACCGGTGAATTCGTGTTCGAGGTAAAGCATAATTATTTAAAGCCTTGAAATTCGTTGCTTACACAATTTTAATTAACAGGAAAAGGCGCAAAAAGCTATGGACGTTTTATGGCGATTAAGGCATCGAGGAACCGATCTAATGGGTTCGGTGCTAAATGTTCATTCCGGTGACTGGGTGCGACGTGATTCTGGAGTTGGTGCAGGAATAGATTCTTATTATGAGTATTGTTTAAAAGCGTATATTCTTCTCGGTAAGCACATCCCCCTCCTATTATATAATGAACGATAAACCTAAAATAAATCCTGTATATATTATTTATTACTTCTTATCAGGTGACGAGAAGTACTTAGGACGTTTTAACAAACACTATCAAGCTATAATGAAGTACGTGAGTCAAGGACCGATGTTGTTGGATGTACATATGCATAGGCCACACACAAATTCTAAACATTTTATGGACGCGTTATTGGCTTTTTGGCCCGGCTTACAGGTAGGGTAATACATATTTCATTTCTCCGATGCAATTCTTCTTCACCTCATTATTCATTCACAGGTGTTGAAAGGTGATATAAAGCCGGCAGTAGAGACTCATGAAATGCTCTACCAAGTAATGCAAAGGCATAACTTTATTCCAGAAGCATTCACTACTGATTTTCAGGTACACTTTGAGGATCTGTTTTGAGACTGAGAATTATTTTTTATATATAGCACAAGTTTTAATTACATTAATCGAACCAGGTTCATTGGGGTCATCATCCATTGCGACCCGAGTTTCTGGAATCAACGTATTTCCTGTACAGAGCTACTGGAGATCAGTATTATCTGGGAGTAGGTCGCAAAGTACTGAAAAGCTTGCAGACATATGCTAGAGTGCCTTGTGGGTACGCTGCAGTCTCAGATGTCAGGACTAACAAACACGACGATACCATGGACAGTTTTGTACTCTCCGAAACATTCAAGTACTTGTTCCTGTTGTTTGCTGAACCCAACGATTTGGTACTGGATTTAGATGAATTTATATTTACCACGGAAGGACACCTTCTACCGTTGACTTTAGCTTCACTGAGAACAAATGTCTCCTCGGTAAGCAGACCTTATCTCTGTCTATTCACTTAATTTTAATATTTAATTTATATTTTTTGTCACACGTAGGACTTGGAGAAGGATGTTGTTTATGTGGACGAGTTTGATAGAGCTTGTCCAAACAGTCTACATTTGTTTCCAGCCTCTGTGAGGCAACCACTGAGGAACATGGTAGAAGACGTGTGCCCACGACGAACAATGAAACGTAGGCTGAGTGCATCTGAATTTCGGGTAAATGCTCGATTTCTGAATGTTAAACATAAACTTTACTCCACACTCTCCCTAAATTATTTACACGAATTCACGTTTCTCTATAGGCAAATAATTTGGAACATTTAACGATACTGAGTGACATGGGAATAACGATTTTGACATTGTCAGACGGGCGAATTCAGCTTCTTCATACTTTTTCCAATGTATGTTGTACCAATGATGAAATTTACCTGAGTCATCGTAGCACTGCTTATTTAATTAAATTTAACGTTTCAGGCGAAGACTCCACAGGATGCGGAGGAAGGTTTACTCTTTATGCAAGAGATGGTTGAACTCAGTAAATCGCAGAGTCAACAGTCGAAGACCAGGCCACGAACGGTGACATTTATAAAGCCTGGCTCGCAACCTCCTGAAGAAATAAAGCTATTGGCTGGACCAGCTCATTTTGGACCTGACCTACGTGGCCCTGATGCCAAGGTTACCGGGAACGTGGTTTTCGCGATACCTTTAACCAGTTGCAGCGATCTGTTAAATCCATCAGAAGTTGTTGGTAAAATAGCAATCGTAGAACGTGGTAGCTGTACATTCGCTGATAAGGTAAGGTTATATCTGTAGCACTTTGCGGCACAACATTCTTTGACTTTTTCATTAACCACCTTGATTGCAGGCTCGTATAATTCAGAAAGCTGGCGCAATAGCAGGCATGGTGTTTGATAATGTCGCTACGTCAAGTGTCGCAAAATCAGTGATGCTCACAATGTCCGGTGATGGAAAGGAAATTGATGACGTGACAATTCCTCTGATCTTCCTCTTCAATGCGGAAGCTCAAGTGTTACTGTTAGCTATCGTTCAAAACGGTGGTGATCTTACAGTGACGATAGGTAATTTATATATTATTACTATTAACCTAAAAACTTCAGCTTGTTCAATAGCTACCTATGTACCATCTGCTTACAGGCGATTATATATCACTGGACGGAGTACCAATTAAACCATTGGATACCTCGTCGTTGTTAACGCGGATTAAAGGTTCCTTCAAGGATTTCATCGCACAACACATGGTTCCACAGGTCTGTATTCGATGGTGTTTGATTATAATATTCGTCGAACGTCTTGCACTTTGGATTATATCGAAATTAAAACGGTAGCATATGCGTATGCTTTAACGCTGTGTATGTATAGAAGTACGTATGCGAGTAAGAATGTTGCTTAGTTGCATTTACCTTGAGAGCGATGCATTAATTCTAACTTAAAAACATTATTAATGCGAGCGGAGTGAGACAACTGAGCACATGCCTGACATGTTGGTACGGTTGGCACTAATCACTGCCCACGATTTTGTATTCGAACCACGAGAGGTTGGGAGAGTACCGTGTAAATACATTCCTTGAGCAGTTTTACATTAAATTCTAACATCAATACCGAATCCGTATTTTGTTCTCTCTCTTTAATTGGTTTTCGTCGCATTTTCTGTGATAGAACCGAGACTCCTCGGACGTATTGTCCAAACAAAAAGCGCCGGACGAGAAATCGATCGAGGAGCTCGCGACTTCTGACACGCAAGACGGGAAGGAGTTCACCATAAGATATGCACATTTGCAAGCGGTATTTTCGCCGAGCGTGCCGGATGGGTTTGCACACATCTCTGTGACCTCCTTAAAATCTGTCGAAACTGTGGAAGCAAGGCAACTTCCTTTAGCGTTCGATAAGTACGTGCAAGACCCGAGATATATGATGGTTGACACCATCTACTCAAGCAGTCTGAAACACTCGACATTTAAAATGATGATCATAAGTTGTGAAACGAAGTTCTTGCTCATGAAGAATCAGCAGAAGAATCGTACCGAGTCCTATACCGACACTGAAGGTAAACCTGACTCTGATATTTTCTCGATCATTTCCTGGTGCCTGAAGGACTTAAGTCAAATACTGCCACATCCTTGGATCGTCACACCAGAGAAGATCTCAGCATTTCGTAGACGGGAAGCATTAAAGCAGCATTTATTAACGAAGCTAGACAGTGCAGATTTCTTGAAATTATTGATTGTGAAGCTGCTACAGGAAATGCCTCACAGCATGCCGATGCATCAACTTCTGAGCCACTTGATAATCGATGACTTACGATTCATTAATTACGCGTTTCTTCGAAGAAAACTACTGCAGGTTGCAGTTGCTGGGAAGGATGAGGTGATCAAGCAACGCATTTCTGTGATGGATGATATCCGAACACTGATACAAACTACCAACCCGGAGATATTGATAGATTATGGACAAACCTGGTATGCTCGAGACGTACTTGTAGGCGCATTTACGGGCAAAAGCACTCTAGGGACAGTATTTAAAACGGAGGATTACTTTAACAAAAAAATTAATAACAATATTGCCATCCCAGACGAAATAGTGCTTGGCTTTAATAAATTTTGGTATTTTATATTCGAACAGATTACAAAAGCTGCCAATAAATTTCAGGCAGCTAATAAAAAAACTTATAGTGAAGGGGAATGGGAAGGGATAACAATGGATTATAATGAAAATTATCGAAATAACAAAAATAGATGGTCCAATAATGATTTTATAAGCATCGATGAAGGAAATATTCATAAGCTTCCTCCACTAGAATATCACTATTATGAGATGACCAAGAAATTTACGTTGCCTGAAACTGAGGATAAAATTAATCGGCAAGAAGAGCAAATCAACTCGGATGAATTAAACGCTTTTGTAGAATCAGGCTATTCGTCATCAATTTCTGACAATGAAGAAAGAGTGTTAGAAGATACCGAAAACAAGATCAAGCATATCAAAAATAGTGAAACTAATCAATTCGACCTTCAAGGGCTAGATCCTATTAATGTTATTGACCCTATCCAATCGGTGGAAGATTCAAAATCTTCATTAACAAACCTAAAGGAAGAAAAGGTAGTTGAAGCGCTTTCCAAACTTGAACAGAATGAATCATTTGTTAGTGATGAGCAAAGCTTAATGGAAAAAGATACTAAACCACAGTCAAAAGATGAACTATAGAGATGGTAGATTAATATATCGATATAATATTTTTCTGAAGATGGAAAATGCATCTCTGACGTTGTCCGCTGTTGTCCTCTTAACGATACTTCTTTTCTAATAGCTTTAATGAGATGAAAAGGCTTCAGAGTAGTCAATGCTTTAAGTTTTGCATAAGACAACTGACTGCTCCAAACTGCATTATATTAAGAGGCGAGGGCATGACTGCTCAATTATTTTTCAGAGATACTCTACTTTGGACATTGAGTCGATTTCGCGGGCTTGTTGCAAAAATCAGTGAACATTTTCTTGATAGAATCGTCCTATGATTAGAAATAAATCTGCTTAACAAGGGCATAACTCATTTTGTTGGAAGTCGACTTTTTTTTACCTTTGCATTAACCTTGGCTACTCAAAAATAAAACTGTAAATAATTCTGTATTTCTTCAAAAAATAGTTTAATTACGGACCTTTAACAAAAGCAATGACTGGTATCCTATGATTATGTGAAAATTTCCATTCATTCGTGATAACCCTTATTCAGATCGAAGCAACGGATAGACTGTCTTGAGGTTGTGTCCTATGGATTAAGTCTGTAAGATACATGCACACATGGGCATCGAACGTACACAAGTTGTATATTATTGAATGCATAAGTGTATTTAACATACAGTTTACCTGAAACGAACATATTTCTATAACCAAAGTAGAATATCATGCAAAACCAGAAGGAAAGAAAGTCAAGAGTACGAGTTAATTTCGATCGTTACATTCACTTAGAATGTGTATGTATGTATATTTTTACTTGTTCAATGCAGTTTTATTACAGTCTGCATACACTTCACTGGTAATCTATGTTCGCAATTGATAAGCTCCCTGTAACACTTTACCATTAATGTGTTATTTATCAGTGTGTACATATGTACTTGTTTAATTGTCAGCTGTACATGAGGCATCGACTATTGTTTTCTTACAATAAGTAACTTCTGCTGAAATCGTTTCCATTCTAACACCTCAAAGTTATACCTCTTGTACGATTAACCTATGATGAAAGGTATATTCTTTCCAAAGATTCTCATCTGTCAAAAGTCAATTAGAGCTGCATAAAAAAAAACTTGTCCTTTAGGGGATAATTATCCATGTAGAATGATTTGGATAATATATACCTTGAGTCAATGCTAGTCCAAGTTGTATCGCAGTGTGTGAAACTTATTCCTGAAAGTTTTGTGGGATACCTGCTGTATAAAATGTGATATAACATACCGACGAGAGGCAGTGTTTGTATAAAACAAATGTAACGTGTATCACAAGATCTGGCGTTAGTTGTACCGAGTAGAAGTTGCAACAAGTGAAATATTTCATGAGCGATAACGTGTAACGGGGGAGGGATCACCATAAGTTTGTCAAGAGTACTTTGTGCAGAATATGAGAAGTTAGGGAGATTCTTCAAATATTTTTCAGACGATGGTCTTCCGTATAACCTATAAAGTTAATAGCATTATCCCATTCGCAGAGATCGAGTTGATTCAGCGTTAAGATCTATTCAACGATGTAACGCTTTGTAAGACCTATGAATGTTACCGAACTTGAAGGCGGTATGTACCGCAATATTGTACAGTATAATAAACATAAAATAATTGTAAGCAAATTTGTATCCTGGTCTATTTGATGGTTATCATTATAACACGATTAATTTACCATATTATTAGTTTTTATACTGTTGCAATGTGTTAATTAAACTGAAAGTAATATCAATTCTCACCTAACCTCTTCTAAAAAAAAGTGACATCTGTGTCTGGTAACTCGTGGTCTTCAAGTTTGTAATAACTTTGTACAATGTAACGTTTTCTCGCGTATTTCTCCAAATATTTAAGTTGCGAAAAGGTTTTCCCAATCAATATTGAGATATTGATTTTCGCTTCAAAGTGCACCCGTGCGTTTACCGCATCGGTTTTTCCGCGTTTGCACATTACACGACACAATACTCCAGACGTAGTCTCAAGTGATTTCAGATACTGTTTCACGAGCGTACGCAAAAGATCTCGATTTAAGAAAAAAAATGAAACTCTTAACGCACAATATGTTGACCTCAAAGTGCTTGAAAGGTGTGACAGTCGGCTACCCTCTGGGAATTGTGGTAAGTATTAAATATCGTAACATTAGTTGCAGTGTGTTGGACTTTTTGAGGTTAGTTTCGACCACATGCGTAGATCAATCGTGTACAGACGCAATCTTCTTTTACAGGCAAAGGACATCAAAGTGTCTGAGGTAGATTTTAATTCTGAATTTATCGCGAGAATAATACCGAAATTAGACTGGGACACACTATGGAAAGCAGCAGAGAGTGTAAGTATTATTAATTCATCCATTACGTATTATCGATTAATCAGTTTGATAGTTAATAAATATCTAGATATGATTTTTTGCTAATTTCTATGTATTAACTTTGCGACAGATAGGACACGTCGGTGGATTGCCTCAAACTTTGGTACAAGACTTTGAGACGAATGAAGACTTCTTGAAGATGGTGCATCATGTTTTATTAGAAGTTGAAGTTATAAATGGAGACTTACTGTGTCCAGAGTCTGGAAGAAAGTTTCCAATCAATGATGGTATTCCGAACATGCTATTAAATGAAGATGAGGTTTAGGATTCGTTAGAATAAATTTCAACAGATAATTTACGTGCAAAATTTGAACTAATCTTTGTTATGCATTGGAAACATTTTGGGGAACTCAAATTTTAAGTATTCTAACAACTTTAAAGAAAAGCAAAATTATGGAAACTGATAAAATTTAATAGGGTAATGTTATAAGGTCAATTTGCATTAAAAATATTTGTTGTCCCTATATGATTTAAGTTATATCTGTTAATGCCAATGGAATAGAAGTACGAAAACCAAAATATCTGAATTTAATAAATCTTGGAATACCTTAAAAATCAAGTGTATACACTGACATAATAATGGGCCAGTTTGATTTAGGAAACAAACATTAATATGCCAGAATAGGTATGTGCAGTTGTGACAGCATATTATGGATAAATTATTGAGCAATATCAATGTTTTTTAAGTAAATATAAGTACCATAAATACTTACAATTATTTTATGCTGTTACGAATGCCTTTATTGCACAGATATGTATAAGTACAGTTGAATACAAATCGATTTTTTTTCTTTTCACTTTTTATACAGAATATGCTTTGTCCGGTCATTATTATTTATTGCTATCAAATGTGGGCTCTTAGATGTATGCATGTAACTACTTCCACTATAGTTTAAATGGCACAGCTTTCTAGGAATGCATATTACCTTGGCACTCGTACTCGTACACAGATTAATTAAGCTGTCCTCAATGGTCGAGGCTACTCAAAACTTGATTTGGAAATAATTTAATAGATAGCTAAATATATTCTCCCCTTTCAAAATGTCAATATTATTCACTAATATCTATTAAAAATAGTTGCTTTATTTCTATGAACATACATTCCACAATTTAAGTATGCTAAGGGAAATAACTGTCGCAAACTGCGAAGAGAGTCGAGCGCTGTCCTAAGTACTGGTTTGCTGTGCACATAAAAGTCACAATACACCACAGATGTTACGAATCAGCAACCTCTATACCAAATTTTACACAAAGGAACGAACTTACGACACGACAATGCATAAGACAATACTAGGAACGATATATTGCACATAAGTTAACATACAAATGCCAATTAAAGTTAACTTTTAAGACGAATTTAACCTATTTACGACTTTCAACACGAACACAATTCGCTTCTAATGGAAGTTTCTTAAGTAAGAAGTTATTTCAACCATTTGACATTGATCGCTCTGCTTGCTTCCAGTACTCGTTGAAACGCACTCGTTCCTACGTGAAATCGAAGAGCTTGCTCATGTTTTACTCAATAATAGTTTTACTTTACATACACGGTGGTACTTAAAATATTGAGAAAATATATTATATCGTCCACCCTTGTCTCCTTAAGAGTCAAAAAGCTATAAAAATAGCTCTCAACAAACTTCTCAGCCACAGCCCCGCGATCATTATTTTCGTATTCACACAATAGACTTGTGAAGGCAGGATGATTTCTGGGAGAAGCTATGAAAATACCTCTTTACATCGATAAAATCGTGGCACATTTGAATATTAAATATCCTACTTTTCTACCGGAGTCTCTGAGTCAACCATGGCTAACTCTTTGCACTGTCTTTGAGTCATCGGTGGATAACTTGCACTTTTCCAAATTGCATGACATCACATTCAGAGTGTAACTTAGTGTTGAAGTGATTGCAACTGTGAATCTATAACATCCTATCCTATGTTCCGGTTACTTAACAAACCGGAACAGCTATCCGTAACATTTGACAAACGAGTTGACCACTTGATTACATTTCTACATGTAAGATCGATCTGTCACATAAAAAGATACGTTATATCAATAACACGGGAAGCTACTCGATCAGATTTACACCGTTTCTTTTTTTTTTTTCTTTAAAGAAAATTCTGAAACTTCTGCCTTCCGGAGAAAACTACTGCTACAAAACTACTATAAGCTGTTAGTTTGTGGTAGGTATATAGATATAATCTATATATCTACCTATTGCGACATATGAATTGTTTTTCTTTTTTTTTTTTTTAAGAATGACAGTTGGAGACATAGAAATTAAACTAACCACTAACGCAGTTTTCAATGAAGACTGCAAGGGCCATTGAACTTCACCCTATACGAATACTTAACTATACACAGCTGTCACTTTCAGCTTGTCTCTAAAATTAGCATAAATACTAGCATGTTCTTTAACCAACGAGAAAAATCCTTGCACCGTTCCAAATTTACATAGATCGTGCGAGCGACATGCAGGAATTAATTTCTCTCGTTCCTATGTAGTTCCTATCGGACGAATACAACCTGCCTTTGAGGAGTTGAGCATAAACGCAAAAAAAAATTACAGCCAACCTCTAAATCTTGTAAAACTATAATCCTCAAGTACGTTCAAAAACTCCCCTCACTTTATCTTTGGTTTAACATAATACTCTTATCACCGTTGTTAGTATGTAACAAGATTCAAATCTAAAATACAAAGAGACTCTAAGAACAACAAGTCGACGATAGAACTATAAAAAGGACACCGAGCTGCATTTATGAATAAGTACGATGAATACTTATCGTCACGATACACCAGCGATAACCAAGATTTTTTTGTGGAACAAAATGAAATTAACAAGACTCCCATAGCTACTTGTACTAAAATAAAGAACACGGTAATTAATAAAAGTGTACTCCTGCCTCTGGTAAACTGAGGATTAAAGCAAACTTTTTGTACTTCTGTTTGCACGTGTGAACGCTAACCTAAACTAAATTCTTTAATTCCTCCCACTTTATCTTTGGTTAACAATAAACACTTATCGTCGTGGAGTTAATACTTCAACAAAATACTATCAGACTCCAGAGGCAACGAGTTAACATTAGAGCTTACTTTGACAACATCGAGCTGCATTCGTAATTAATCGTTGTATGCAACTTAGTTACGAGACAGTGGAATAAATCATACGTTCATGCGAAACGCGTGATCGCGGTTACGGTTAATTGAAGAAATGGAACCAATGATGGACGCAATGCAGCCAACGCAATTTACTTTCCTAATTACTGTGTGACCGTTGGACTAAAGGAAGCTGCAGTTGGACGTGTTTCATTTTCCACGGCTTTCAATGTTAGCTGCACTCCTCTGAGAGTAAATGGAGCCCTGAGCTAGTCCTCGTAGAGGCCCTTTCCTTAATTCTGGATTCGGGCCGTTGGCGGTAGTGCGACTACCAGTGACCAATGACGGATTGTGACCAACTGCTGTTGTATTTCCGTAGGACCACTTTGAAAGTATGTTGGGATCCGGACCTGTCCAAGGCGCGTAATCGGGCCTAAAAGAGTGCAGAGATTTATTAGTATAAATCTACAGATTTGCGACACCACACCACAAGAGACTATTCAACTGAATCAGTCGACAGCAGTGGCGAGACTTACAGAAGAAGATCATTGTTCGCTCCTTTATGTAAATCGGGATTTGGTCCGGTTGGCTTGCTTAGATATGGAGACTTGTACTCTTTGTCTTCGGTAGTACTGGTTCCTCGAGAAACTCTACAGTATTTTTGCATTTTCAGTTCTCTTTGCATTAGTTTAATCGAAACATATTAATTATAATTGTATAGGCATAAAATAACACGAATTTATGTAACATTTACATAACCAGAAGTGTCTCGATAGATTATCAGTACTGGCATAAAAACACGATTGTTTTTATTTTAATTTCACTTACCTAGGAGTTTCACTTTTGCTCTTAGATCGCTTGGATTTCTCGGTGTCCACCTCTATGGTAACCTTTTTAATTGGCGAAGCAGTCATCTTCAAAGCTTCTGTGATCGGAGGGCTCTCTTTACGTTCGTCACTCCTACTGCTGTAATTTTCAGGTGGATATTATTTCTTTCAGGAAATTATTATTATTTTTTTAATTTCTTTAACCTACCTCTGTCCACTCGATGTCCGAGGTGTTCGACTAGCCTCCTCGGCAACCATTATATCTAAAATGTGGACAGCTCGCTCTTCATCGTAATCAACACTGTCCATTGCTAGGAGTATGACTCGTTCTGGCACTGTCTTGTATTTTTCCATCAAACTAGCCTTCACTGTAACGAGCACGAAATCCATTAAGATTTTAAAAATTCACCGTGATATCAGATTTTCATTTTAATCTGGTATCGATGGGCGGATATTAATTAACACTTCATACTTTTGTTTTTCTCCTCTAAACTCTTCATTCGCGGCGGGGGGGTCGGTGCTGCCTGTCTATCCTGCTCCTGTAAAAAAGACAGTGCAAGCCCTTGAACAGAGAAATTAAAGAATTGCTGCAATACCTGTTCCTCTTCTTTCTTCCTCGCCAGCGTTCTGCTGGGTGCTGTCGGGTTCCTTTTCTCATATCCCAATTCGATGAGTTTCTCCGATGCCTTTTGGACATTGTTGTCACTCTGCTCCAGTATGTCGAGTAGTATTGTCTCATCCACCTTGGGAAACACATTCTTCAGGTACCTGAGGACACATATCAATTGATAAGTGAAATGTCGGTCTCTTTAGTCATAACTTGTACATACAAATGCAAAATGCAGTACTAGTTCTAAAATTTAGTTCTATGCTTGATGCTTTACTTTGCATTATTCTTCCATAGTGATTCGCCAAGGTGTCGGAAATTGTGCCAACAGTCTCTGTACAATTCACTATTAATTTCGGGAATGACCAACGATCTCTAATACAGGATTTGCATGTGACACTTCCATCGGCATTCTCGATCAGGTGATGTTACGACAGGCAATTAGGAATGCATATTACAGTTCTACCTGCACACTTACATTCGAGGCGTTTTCGTATTCAATCGAGGTCGAATACATCAGGCCTTGCAGGATTTCGGGAATATAACGCACATGCACGACCATTGTCACGCGATACAAGACATGGAGTCTCGTTTGGAAACAAATGAGTTTCTCTACGTATTCTCACTTATATTAATAGTAAATGTTACAACAAAATTACTAAAGATCTCGTTTGTTTCCATCGAGCATTTTTAACGTTTTATTTCTACTCAGGCTCGCCTACACAACCAATCAAAAAAGGAACTATGGGTTCAAATGAAACTGACCTATACTAGTGCTCATCAAATCATACGTCCAAAGAGTAACATATCGTAAACCAGGAGGGAAACTGAAAAGAAATGTTAAACATAAAGTAAGCGTCGCCATCGAAAGGTCGAATAAAATTAATTAAAATCCAGGTACGAATTAAAAGTATGAAACAAAAATTCATGGGAGAATCTGCTGAGTACAACGGATCGGTCGCACCATTACGTCGCTCTTGGCAATTTACAGTCATTCAGCTGTACTGTCTAACCTTAATATTCGCGTAGGGACTGCGGAATCATGCTACAGCTACACAGGTCTGAAACAGATTGTGTTCATACGAGAAACGCACCTGCCACTGAAAAATACGTTCCGAGGTATGATTGATATTTAGTTTAAAAATCTTGTCCCGAAAATAACGGAGACTGGTGCCGGTGCGTTTCTTATTAACTAATTCAAATTTAACGGGATCAACATCTAGCATCCAGACGGCGATCGGTCGAGACCAAAATAATGAATGTAGGATAAACCTAAGTTTCATTTTTGGGGAATGAGGGGCCGGTCTGCCCCCCCTAGGCGGACTCAACGTAAGACCCGCGTGTATGGCGTAAGCTGGTAGTCGACATCTCGGAATAGCATAGGCAGAATGTATGCCCATGGGTGTACACGGCCCAGGTTCACAAAATGGATGCTTTTCAACCTGGAGGGCACTCATGACGACAGCTGCTCTGTTGTGGTATCTGAAAGATATTGGCTGCGGGCTTAGCTGAATGAATCTTTCGACATAAATCAAAAGATAATTCAACTCTAGCAAATAGTTATTGGTCGTGCCTTCTTATATCAAAATATTTAACTGACGAAGGGCCTAATGGACTTCCTGTTTGAGCCTTGACGTAACGGGTGTACAGTATTCGGATAGATCAAGAAACTTGCAATATAAGTAAATAATTCTTATACGCCGATAACTTACTTCTTTAACAAGAGGCGAATATGAGTGTCAGAGACTGTGGGAAACATGGCACTAATCTTGGCTACTTGTATTTCAACATCTGAACTATCCGTTAAGACAGTCTCCATATTCCTGATGGGTGTGGGCGATCCAATTGTCATTCCTCCAAAGTTGCTTAACATTGCACTTGTAGACCTTGTTGACAACGGAGTCTTCAGATCCTATATAATTAAGGTACGTTTCTTAAATACTGCAACGTTTTGGACAACGAGTTTTTACTCTGTATCTTATCAGCGAAATGACGTGAGAATGCCCTTGAGCATACATGAAGTATACCCCTACTTGTCCACCTTCATACCCACCTGTATGCCTGGTGGCAAAAATGCAGGCTGTGGGTTGCGATAAGGCGATGAAGTAGGGTACACTTGTGGAGCTCTGTGTGAACCTGTATAAACTAAGTGCACTCCACCTCCACCTCCTCCCGTCTGTGTTTACCATAATTTTTTATCCAAATGCAGCATGTGCATATAAAGGAATATAAGCACTTCTCATTCGATAAAACCACGTGCATATAAAATTTTACTCCCAAGCCAATTTTGACTAACACCTCACCTCTAAATCTCGATATCGACCGACCTGTAGTGGAATGGATTCTGGGCCATGGACGGCTGTGATGGAGCTCGGCGTCGAAGAAGGATGTGCCTGGGCGTACCGAGCATACTGCCAATACCTCACTCTTGGATCTTCCCATGTTGTCGTTCTTGTAAAATGATTGACAAAGTACCTGCCAAACGTACACAAAAGTCCACCAACGGATCAGTACCAAGACTCAGAAGTAAACTACCTTAATTTTATCGATACACAATCGACACTGACGGCCAATTAGTAAATGAATAATCGTCAGTTCGGTCATAGTCCTAATTCATACAGTATCATCTAACATGCATATTCAAATTACGAGAACAGTTTCGCCCCACTATATGATCTGCATTTTACTTTAAAACATCCTGATTAATCAATTATCCTATTTTTGCGTAATTAGATTGCAATTAAGAGAAGATACACTTTCATGTATTGGCAGAAAAAATTGATGAATTAACTGACTGCAAAGGGCCTTATAAATTTGAGTGCTGGTTAAGTTACCAGAGGATTTGCCAATATTTCGATGTGCTTCTCGTTTTCAAGATCCTTCTGGAGTAAATATTTACTTACGGTCGTCCACTTCGAATATCGTATCTGCATTCCCAACCGGGAGGTAACTGACTCCTGTCACTTTGATCCGCCATCTTCCCCTGCGATTTTGACATTTTGAGGGACTTCGAAGGAGAGAGGAAACTCCGCAGTGGTATTTACGTATCAGTGCGTATCAGCGTCCTGCGCTGGCATTCCGGATACAGGTGGGGTTGTACTACAAGACGCATTCAAATACAACGAATATATTCCGTGTGTGAACGTCTAACCTATTCAGTGACAGACCACCCCCTTGTTTGTTCACTACCCTGCCCGGTGCATTGTAGAGGGCATTTAAAATTTAAAGCCCTTCCAACCGCGTCGAACCGAGCCTCTTACCAGCAAAACATATCGCCATTGGAAGAACACTGAAACAAGCATCTACAAATATATCGCACCGCTCTACCCTACCGATATATTTTTAAATAAGTATATTGAAACTTCGCCGAAACAGAGATGAGTGGCCGAAAAATATCCCGACCGCAACAAAGTTCCGTTTCGAGTAGTTCCCACCACCGACGCAAGCGACGCCATCGGAGACCCACGAGCGCATTTACGAACGCGGCCAAAAAAGCGCGGTTATATTCAAAGTCACATAAACAGATTTCTTCCACTTTGAGGGTTACCAGAAATTCTATTCCGGAAAAGTCGACAGGCACGACAACGTGGTTCACTTGGTTGCGTCCTGCAATGATTCTTACGGTAATCACAGATAACCGCTTTACTCCGAATGTTCTTGAACGTGAAACTTCTCATCTATGAGAAACCCCCATAAACATGTGTATCCTCAAATTATAATGAAATATTTCATATAATTCATGTGAATATAGCTCATGGAGCAGTAAGTTGCATTTCGCAGCGAAGTGCTCTCGCGAGTGGCGCGCTCGGATTCCTCGGCAGGGTGAGGTTAGGTGCGCTTGGGTCGCGCGGGAGAGCCAGCATGCGGCGCTTGGCGCGCCGGCAGTCAGTCGCTAGCCGGCAGCCGGTGGAGCTAGTGCTTTCGTTGGGAGCTCGGTGCGCCATCGGTTCCCCACCCCGCTCGACCCCTCGCGTGGAGGCTTCGAAACCCGCGGCCGGAAAAGGTCAGGTTAGACCGCGCGCGATGCCGCCGTAAGGAGCGTCGGCGCTCGAGTGAAACGCGCGAAACTAGTGCCGCAGGTGAGACTGGAGGCGAATCCACGCTCGGCCGTCCGCGGATGAATTTCGGGTAATCTCGGGAAATTTCGGGGAATTCCGGGAAAACCCCGGATCTCGCGGCGGCGGGTGCTCAGTGGTAATACGTGTGGTGCGTAAATAGCCAAGTGTAACCTAGCCGCAGTGTTTTGTTCACCACGGCCACCAGTTGCGAGCGCGAGGACGCGCGACCCCCCAGTCCTCGCCAGTGTCACCTTGGGATTACCGGATTACGGGAGGTCCCGGCTCGTCGTCGTCGCCGCCGACGCCGTCCTCCTTGACGGCGACCGAGAGGTGAGCCTAACTCGACCACAGTAGAGACCGTAGAATATTTTCTCGAAAGCCCCTCGTATTCGACTCCGTTAAGCGCGCCTCCCCAAGGGGAGGCGACGCGCCGACAAAGCGGTCTGGAATTCCTCTCGAGAGGCGAAGGCCATTGACATTCCAGGGGCGTATCTGGCCCGATAACACCGATACCCGGCGGGACGCGATCATGACCACGCGATACGAGAACGCGTCGTCGAAGATCTCGTTAATTTAGGGAAGCCCTCTCGCCCCTCGATATCCGATTCCGGGAGATTAGTCAACATTCGTCAGGCACGGCTACTGGGCATTCCTAAATTCGATAATTAATACATAAACGGTAATACGTGCATCCCTCTGAAATAAAACACCTCCCTCTCGGTTTATTCGTGTCCAGGGGATTTTGCCAAGGTTTGTACGATGTGATCATTTTAAGCGCACGCAAGAATACCATTCCTATCCGTCCCACCGGGCGCGGCGCCACGACGCGGCCGAAAAAGCAATTAAAACTGCGCTCGTAATTGGCTCCTCGCCTCGACGCGCCGACGCGCCGCGCTCGGTGTGACCCGGGCTCGAGGCGAGGGCGCAGCGTCGCCGCGGCGACGAGTGACGGCTCGCCTGCGCGCGCACGCACGGCCGCGGACGCGCAGGGGTGGCACGGAGGGAGGCTGCATTCCAAGGTGGGCGCGCATGCGCGGACTCCCACTCCAAGCCGGCTACCGGCACCCGCGCACGGGCGAGCGCGCGACGGCGCCTCTTTCCGAGCGCCCCCTCTCTCTCCCTCTCCCTGCCCGGCCTATGCTTCCCTCTCGCTCGCTCTCTCGCGCGCCGCGAGATCGCTGCCGGCGCTCCCTCCGAGTCGGACGATTTGCTCTCACCGCAACGCTGCCTCGGCCGGCTATTTATTTGCTACAGTTTTGCCCGAGATTTCTTTCTCCCCAGGGGGGCAGGGGAGGGGGCTAGATTATCGCATACCTGCGCACTCGATTAATTAGCCTCCGGTGTTGGTTGCATACCTCGTTACACTTGTTCCTCGAAAAAGGAGAGATAAACGGTATACCGGGGAACGGTAATCGACTTCCTATCTAGAACTGTTCTTTTTCTAGATTTTGGGGAATATTTTGTAGGATAGGTGACATGAATATTCTTCATTATTTTTTATTTTTATTTTTTTTTTTTTACCTAGGAAGGATGCGTTTTTATGGTTCAATCGAACGACGGTCGAGTCGGCCGGAGAAACCGGATTTGAAACCGCACTCGCCGGTCGAAGATCGCGTGGAAATGTTTACCCCGTTTTCCTAGAAGATACGAGGCGCGTCGATCGGCGATTCCCTCGACGCCGAGGCGCGCCACGTGGTGGGGCGTCGACGCCGTGTCAATGTCTCCGGCCCTGGCTTCGTTTAGTCACGGTCGGGTTGGAAGAGAGAGAGAGAGAACTCGACGTGCAGCCTGAGTGATACCGCGCTTCTTCAAGATTTGATTGCGCGATTTCCCGGGGTTATGTACCAGGGAAAACGAATTTGTAGGGGGAGATGCAGCGATGGGGAATCGTCGATACGTATCGGCGGTTATCACCGTTAACGGTCCGGCGCATTTACCGAACTCGGGTAACAGTACCGGGAATGCCTGATTGCGGGCGCGGAATCGTTTTCCGCCGATTCTTCGCTTCCGGGGATCTCGCGGAAAAATTTCAGGTCTTTGCGTAGGCGGGATTTGGAGATTTATCGTAATATATCCTGGGGTCTATTTGGGAGGTGAAAACGTGGATAACGTGGGTTCTCGATCTAGGACCCGACCAAGGGAGGGATACTCTTGCGCGGGCGAATCCGCGCCAGTCGGCCCGCGGAATGGCTCTCGGCTGCACCGCGGCCGCTCCGGCGCAAGAAAAGAGCCGCAAGTTACCGCCGTACGAGAAAGGGCTTTTTCCCCGGGCAGGGCTCGTTAAACTAATGGCGTGTGGAACGTAGCGGCCGGGCGCGCGGAACGCCGCTTTCCGGAACCCGGCGAGATAGAATTCTTCAGAGCGGGCCAGGTGGAATTTCTTCTTTTTTTCCCCTCTTTTTCTTCTTTTTTTTTTCCCCTCTTCTTTTCCTTCCTCAAAATTTGCGAGGCAGAGGGTTACCAGCGAGAAATTCCAGTTTTCCGCAATCGGCGAGCTCGGATTATCTCCAAGCCGGGGAGGTTTGTGTTGCCGAGACCGGCGAGCGAGCGTTTTCCGCGGCCCGGCGGCCGCGTTGCATTTAAATTGGACCGGCCTCGCCCATTGGACACACACCTCGCTCGTGCGGAATTCCCGAGCACGACTTAGTGCACTCGAGCTAGGGTGCAGATCTTGGCGAGGGCATTTCCGGCAGATCTGCGTTTCCGCGATTCGGTGGACACATTTAGACGAGAACGGAGAGCGAGCACCCTCGAGGGCAGTTGGACGAATTTTTCGGATGCATCTCGATGATCTCGAGTGCATCTCGATGATCCTCGAGTGCATCTCGATGATCCTCGAGTGCATCTCTATGATCTCCAGCGCATCTCGATGATCTCCAGCGCATCTCGATGATCTCCAGCGCATCTCGATTATCTCTTGTGCATCCTCCTCGACACCCGCGATTTAAGCCCCCTTACGACTCCCCTCGCTTTTTCCGCGTACTCGCCGGCGATCCGCGGACCATTTTCCGCGCGGAAAAACTGGCCCGCGACTCGCATTCCTCGCGCGAGTTCTTTCGCGGATTTCTTGCCGCGCTCCTCCGGGCTCTCGCGTTTATGTCACCGCGTTTCCGCCTTCTTCGATACCGCCGCGCAAATTGGCCGTGGCGAGACTTCTCGAAATTCTATATACACATCCGTAGCTTATTTCGCAGCGCAATTTCCTCTCACAAATTCAATCGAGTATAAATGAACGTATGTTTTTTTTTTTTTAAATCCTTTTATACCATCTTGCACGTTGCACATCATTCTTGGATAAACGAGGAGTTCGTATGTGGATTGTCAATTAATTGTTTAGTTCGATTCGGGAGGGTAATCTCAGTACTTTGCATTTTGCATGATTTTTATTTTTTCTCTCACCGGGGTGAAAATCGGGTGGGGGGGTCGGAATCGATCGGCTCGATTATCGCGGATAATCGCGATTTGGGTTGGATTTCAGAATGGGGCGCGAGGGGATCCCTTCGATCTCCGATATCTCTGGGGGGGATCGCGTGACGCGTCGTTAGGCTTCGCGGAATTCTCATTTAAAGATCGCGCCGCGATCGCGTCGACGCGGAATCATGAAAGCGAGATCGCTTTCACGGTCGGACGGGAGGAACGAACGCCTGGAAATATTCCCGATAGATACGAGACACTGGATCGCGTTATCGGCGGGTTCGAATACACCTCGGCGAGGTCGACGTTCTGAATCGGTCATTATCGATCATTGATCGCTCTTAATCGCACTCTCGGGAAATTCTCTCGGTGGTGTCTCACATCTAAGGCATATACCGAAAAAAAAAAAAAAAAAAAATTCATTGAACGAAAGAAATATTTCGTTGATTTTTTTTTAGGTTCTTTCTTTTTCAATGTTTTTTTCTTTTTTTTTCCCCCGTTCTCTCGTCTCGCGTTTCGCGTTCCGTGCAGGGAAAACCTCGTAAGGGAGAGGAGGAGGATCCTTCCGGCGATCCTTCGTCTCGGGTAAGATCCTTAATCGTGGTCACGTACGGTACCGACATACCGGCGTGCCGGCGTACCGATGTACGCGCGATAAGCCGCGCGCGCGATAACGCGCGGACGCGCGACGCACCGCGATTACGGCCGCGGCCTGCTGACCGGGTCGGCCGACCTTCCGTTTATATTTTTCATCTCTTGAGAGATGCCTCCAAAAGAAACAAGCGAGATATATCGCCAGGCGCGTTGGAAGCTTCACCGGAAGGTTGTTGGAAAACGATAACCCGTGTCATATGAATATGAAATATTATCAATGAATATTTTCTATATCAACTCATTACTCACGTGACACCGTCTAATTCGGTGTTCCGCTGTAAGAGGTTTTACTTGAAAAGTAGATATAACGTTAAGAGAGGGAGAGAAGCGATAGATAAGGACTAAGGTGGGGGGCGAGGTCGGGCCCCGGCACCGAGGAATCCTCCCGGTCGGGCCCCAAATATTCGGAGGATGCCGCGGGTGATTATAATTCCCGGTCCGAAGCTTGGTGGAATGTCGGGCCGCGGGGCGGCCTAAGACAAAGCGCGAGAGGGGGCCCCCCTTCCCCGAAGAGGGCCCGAATCCTCGGGAGAGGAGATTGGTATCTATAGGCGGGCGACAGATGGTGGTCGGTAGCCCCAAGGGCTCCGGGCCTTTCTGCCCTTCCTGTCGGTCCCGGTCTTCATGCTCTCCACCTGGACAAGACTCCCCTCCCTCTGGAAGAGGAAGAATCCAGCGAAGATGCCTCCCCGACCTTGTACACCTTATCCGCTCGGATATACCGAAAGATTCTCAAGTGAAACCTCCTGCGGCTGTAGATTGGAAGTCCATGCTCGTAGCTCATAAAAATACCTCGGAAGTGAAATCCCCCTTTTTATTTCTAACACTTAATTATATCGTTCGCGTTCGTTTTCATGCGCTTCATTACCGAGATTCATCGAGCTGAAGTTTCTGTCAATTTTTTTTTTTCCCCTAGAATTCGGTGCCACGTATTTCTTTTTCTTATGCCTCGGTACTGAGACAGTTGCGTGCGTGCGCAGTTCCATTATCGTTAGCGCGTCATTTTTGCCGGTTGATCGGTCGAAAATTCGGAGTATCGGTTAATTTCTTTCATTTCTCCGTTCGTATACCACGGCGCGTACTTCGAAGAGTTCGGGATAGTACGGTATGCAGAGGGACAACCGGAGAGAGGGAGAGGTCGAAACGTAGCGGTGCCTACCCCTCTCTATATATATCTCTCTCTCCCTCCCTTTTCTCTCCATAAGCCACCGTTCTCTGGGTGCTCTCTCGTGCGCGAGGTGCCCCACGCCATTATCATAATT